TGACGCCAACGTGGTCTAGATCTCATGACCGCGTAGAGCTCTAAATTTGACGCCAACGTGGTCTAGATCTCATGACCGCGTAGAGCTCTAAAGTTGATGCCGACGCAGTCTAGATTTCACGACCACGTCGGGCTCTAAGTTTGAAGCCAAAGTGGTCTAGATCTCATGACCACGTAGAGCTCTAGATTTGATGCCGACATGGTCTAGATCTCACGACCACGTCGGGCTCTAGATTTGACGCCAACGTGGTCTAGATCTCACGACCACGTCGGGCTACCCAACTCGCGATGAGACTAGCTCCTTCTTGGAGACTTAGTGATTTGGGCTTAAAAACTAGTATCATGAGGCCCAGTTCAAATAACACTAATTGTTATTAATGATCTGGCCTTATAAAGGCAGTTAGTGCATTGTAAGTAATCAATGTGGTACACTAGTATTTTTTAGGTGTAAACAAATGCCCCCCAACTACTTAGTGCATAAGAATTATGGACTAAGTAGTTGAACACCACCAAGCTAGCCAAGTAACGTGTTGGCTTATCAACACACCAATTTTACTTCGCCAAAATTTTGACTTTCAATAATTAGGCCAACACGTCCAGATGGAACACTGGTCATAACTTGTCCCATGCCTTAGGCAAATTTTGGTTTTTCGCGTCAAGCCAACATGGCGAGATGGAACTTGACGTAAAAACTTGTTCCATGCCTTAGCCAAATTTTGGCTTTTCCCGTCAAGCCAACATGGCGAGATGGAAATTGACGCCCAAACTTGTTCCATGCCTTAGCCAAATTTTGGCTTTTAATGATCATGCCAACATGGCCGGATAGAACTCGACGTCAACGACTTGTCCCATGCCTTAGCCAAATTTTGGCTTTTAATGGTCAAGCCACCTAATGCATTCAACGAGACACCAACCTCACTTTATCACCTACACCCTCATTGACATTTCGTACTTTGCCACATGGTTGAGAGAATAACTTAGAATTTTTCGCAGCTAGTTTGGCATAGATTGGCTCATCTCACCTCGTCACAAGGCTAGACAGCTTCCTCGCGACAAGTCAAGTCGTCTACTTTTTTGCCTTAGACAAACTAATGTTCATTTTTATGTTGGTAGAGACATTCTGGTCACCACTCCTCTACTACCACGTTTCAAGCCATCATGCCCCCCAGGCCGTGACTACTCGGGACAAGATAAGATGGCATGGCATGGCCTGATGTATGGCTCGTCATGTCAAGCCATTACAACGACTTGGTGGCAAGATCTTCATGTCGAAGTCTAAAAACTCCAACTCAAGATTTTCACTTTGATATTTTCCTTCTATCTTTTCTTTTAGCCACGTTTGGCTACAATATTTTTTATAACTAATATATAATAAGTACATTATATAAATTTATTTATTTTATATGGCAAGAAGTGACAAATGTCACTGCTCTCCATAGCCTTTGGCAACAATCAATGTACCGAAGGTGTAAACCCATTGCCAAGTCCATGGATCAAACCAGACATGCCATCCATAGACCACATGACTCTTTTCCTCCATGGGAGATAAATCTTCATACATTAACTTTGAATTTTCTAGCTTAGTAATGGGTGGTACATGGTCAGCATGTCTAGTCTTGGTGGCCTTGCATGAGGTCTCATGCTTCTTTGCTTGGGCCATCTTACTTGAGATGTCAAGGCTATCATAATTATTATTCTGCCTTGATTTCCTCCCACTTGATACATGCTTAATCTCCTCACAATGTTGGGGACCAAGTCTAGACTTGACAAGTCGACAACCACTCGTGTAGCTTCCTTGTCTTCGTCTTTCAACATCTAAACCTTGTTGGCCCCTACACTTAGCACTCAACCACCATTGATTCTTGGTGCAACCATGTTTGGCTGGTGTGTATGGTGACTTCTTATACATGCCCCCATGTCCACTCTTTGTGGTTGGTGTCGAGTACTTACTATTCATTGACATGGACTTGCCCCCCAATCCACCCTTATCCATAATCTCACGCTTACAAAATCCGTGTGGGGGTTTGACTTCTTGTGTCTTCTTGGAGATGCTCTCTACTCCATTCTTCATGGTAGGTGAAATGCTCCCTTGTCCAGACTTAGTCAAATTAGCATGGTTATGGCAAACATGTGTGACTTGCACTTCATATGGCTTCTTGGACATGTCTTGTCCATACTTAGCCAAATTTTCAAATCTACAATAACTTTTTATGGCTTTCTCACGTCGTGACTTGTTAGATATGCTCCCATGTCTACTGCAAGTGGTTGGAGGCATGCCCCCCTTTCCAGACTTAGCCAAATTAATATGTTTAGCACAAGCATGTGTTGCTTGTGATTGATGTGACCTCTTAGACACCACATGCCCCCTAGATGGACATCTCGGCGTCAACTTGTGGGAAGTTAGACTTTCATGCCCCCCTTGCTGAGCTCTAAGTGTTTTGAGTCCATCAGAATCGCCTCCTTGCATACTCCATAGGGGTGGCATTGGGGGCTGGCAAGCAGGTGGTGGTACTTGGTCCACATTGAATGGATCTTCACCATCTCGTCCATTGACAAGTGTCTCATCTGATCTTGCCTCGAGAACAAGAGGTTGAACATCACCTTGTACATGCAAGACCCCATGATTGGTGTTCAAAGTGGAGGTGGACCTATCACCATAACTATCACATTGATGGAGTGGTTTGCTTGCCACTGGAGGTGACAAGCTCTTCTGCCATAGTTGGCCATTCTGGTCATTATCAGAAGAGTTTGTACCATCTAGTGGCAAATCTCTTGATTGAACCACTTGTTTTATCAAAAGGTTTTTCAAATCATTGAAATCGTCATTATTTTTGTTAACCAACTCTATAAGTTGACTTACACGATTATCTAGATGAGAAGTGAGAGATTCTAGGCGGAGGCTTACTTGTTGGGTACCACGATCAAGGCTGACTAGGCATCCCTCCAAGGAATGACGATGTTCCTCCATGGCTCGGACGTTCTCCGCCCTCAACATGCGGTTCTCCTCCAAGGCTTGATGGTTCTCCATCATCATCTTGTAGTTTTCCTCCAAGGCTTGACGGTTCTCCGCCATCATCTTGCGGTCTTCCTCCATTATCTTGTGAAGTAACATGATGTTGGTGGTTATATCAACACTTGGTGCCGCCGGTGACGAAGTCTCCACCATGCCATTGTTTATGGCAACATCTTTCATCTCTTGGCCAAATTCAAATTTAGCCACGTGCTTCTTCACAAGCCCAGGTGAGAGATCACCTTCTTGTTGTCTCTGTCTTGGAGCCATCAAATCAAACACAAGTGTCCCACCAGGTGTGCCAAATTTGTTCTCCTGTGAGAAAAACTTGCGTTGAAATGAATTGATTGCAATTTGACTTCTTTGGACAACGATCACTAAGACACGGTTCACACCTCTTCAAACACAGTTTGAACGAGGGTGATCGATGTTTACACGACTCTCGAGACAGATCTACATTAAGTTACTCCTACTCCTATGGAGGTTCTAAGAGAGCTCCAGATCTACGACTACGACTAAAATTGCAGAGGAAAGGATAAAGGTATAAAATTAGACATTGTGTTGTCTGGTGTGAATTTGGCGACCTTCTCCTCTGTCGACTCCTCCTCCTATTTATAGCCCTTGAGATGATAACCGTCGTAGAAACTGTCTTAGAATAACTTCCAAAAGGAACTGCTCTCCTTCTTTCTCGGACGTGGCTGACGTGTCATTGCACGTGGGATACTCGGCAGTTTCTCCGTTAACCGCCTGCTCTTCATCCTGAAACTGTCGTCTTGTTACTTGCCTCTCCCACATGACTTGCCTTCTTACTTCCAACTTGTTAGCTCGGATCTTGGGCTTGGTCTCACGATGTGGCCTAGATCTCGCGACCGCGTAGAGCTCTAAGTTTGACGCCAACGTGGTCTAGATCTCATGACCGCGTAGAGCTCTAAATTTGACGCCAACGTGGTCTAGATCTCATGACCGCGTAGAGCTCTAAAGTTGATGCCGACGCAGTCTAGATTTCACGACCACGTCGGGCTCTAAGTTTGAAGCCAAAGTGGTCTAGATCTCATGACCACGTAGAGCTCTAGATTTGATGCCGACATGGTCTAGATCTCACGACCACGTCGGGCTCTAGATTTGACGCCAACGTGGTCTAGATCTCACGACCACGTCGGGCTACCCAACTCGCGATGAGACTAGCTCCTTCTTGAAGACTTAGTGATTTGGGCTTAAAAACTAGTATCATGAGGCCCAGTTCAAATAACACTAATTGTTATTAATGATCTGGCCTTATAAAGGCAGTTAGTGCATTGTAAGTAATCAATGTGGTACACTAGTATTTTTTAGGTGTAAACACTAGGTGAGAAGTAGTAGCTAGCTAGTTTCAATTGAATTGAATGCGTTGGTTGCTTGTGTCGATAGCACAATGAAATGATGGATCGTTTTCCTTTCCTTCCCCGACATACACATCATTAATCGCAGTAGCTGGCTATGTAGGTTGTCACGATCCAACACTGGCCTCATCTATCTAATCTAATCTAATCTAATCCCACAAGTTGAATGGTGAACTCCTCTGTAACCTGCAGATTCAGTTAATCCTGCAGAGCTGGTGTTAATCCTATCAACTGTAACATGCATCAATGAAGTTGGAGTATCATATCATACTGTTGTATCGCAAAGATTCCTGCAGCTTGAGCCGTCATTTCATTTGATAGATTTGCGTATTGCAAGTTGGTGGTCATAGACAACTCGGAGGTCACCATTCATCACCTTGGCCTGTGCTGCACAAATTATCCTTATGAGTTATGATCTAAACTACAGAGTTGAGCCCCGTCAATCTATAGTATTATATCAGTTGCAACTTGCAAGTATTGGATCATGGTTTGGTTTTATCATTACTCAAGCACTAGGTGAGAGTAACTTCTTGGCTGGCAGCTCTCAAATATTGGAGGATGGATGAGTGAGTGAGTGCGTGCGTGCAACAACCTCATGAAAAAAACTACTATCTGACGGGAGCACAGAGCTAGGCAGAAGACCCAAATCCCAACCAGATATGAATCCCAGAAACATCTGAAAACACCAGCGCCGAATGAAATTTGGTATCAAGCAGCAAACCAGACTACCAGAGTCTTTAAACTTAAAGATGTTCACCTTTATTAACACACACCTTCACAGGAATGCACGTTAACACGAGATGATCATATGACCAGCACAGCTTCCTACTTACTTAGCACCCTCTGCTGCCCCCTACTTTACTTAAAAGCATAGCAAGATGCACAAACCGGGACAATCATATTCAATGTGCTTGACAAAAACAAATCCACGACAGGGGAAAAAATAGTTTTAGCATTGTCTTAAAAAAAGAAGACGACTCTCCGAATTAGCAAAGAGTAGGAACGAGGGCCATCTCCAACGGAAGCATGGAACGCGACTAGTAATCTCCCCTGCTGCCACCACCATAACCACCACCACCACCGTAGCTGTCATTGTAAGCACGAGGAGCACTTGGCCTTTCGTTGGCTAGGCTCACACGAATGGGGCGACCTTGCAACTCCTGGGCACACAGCAAAGCGGCAAACAAAAAAAACAAAACAAGAAATCAGTTTATATGTAGTGGAGAGAAACCAAGGGAGCAAATTTACAAGAGAGGGAAACATGTCTCGTATCAGACTGACCTGTCCATCCATGGCTGACATTGCCGAGCTAGCAGCCTCCGAGTTTGAGAAACTCACAAACCCAAATCCTCTTGACCTTCCAGTATCCCTGTCATTGATAACTCTAGCTGGTTCACACAAACAACAAATCCAAAAGATGGAATTAGCATCATCATCTAAGAAGGTGCATCTAATTGCCATACCATGCACAACCATTCAAGAAAGATATACATATTGAAACAGAAAATTGGGTTTCAGCATTCAGATCGTACCATCTTCCATCAAGTAAAGAGCAAAGCAATTAACAGGCTCATAATAACATACTAAACTGACTACCCCCCTATAGAAACAAGACATTACTTCCACCCAAAAGGTCAAGAATACAATCAAAGCTCAGGCATGAGAAGCAAAAGGCAACAATATCCCTAACGAAGCACTAATACACAAAGCACAACAACATCCCTATCAAAAGCAAGCCTGAAATACGACATGCATATAACAAGTATAGCAGAGGGGAAAAAACTCACCCTCAACGACTTCACCATAGGTGTCGAAGGCCTGTTTGAGAGACTGATCATCGGTAGCATAGGCAAGGCCTGCAACATTAACAAAAAAACACACACACACAAGACAAAGCATCAGCATCCATGAACCAACAGAACACATCTAAAGCTCAAGAAAGACAATAACAATACAACATAGTGTTTATCTACCTCCAACGAAGAGCTTGCTAGACATGTAACGGGCGGTGTTCATCATAGATCCCATAGGGTAAGAGCTGCTCTGGGAAACGCTCTGCCTCAAGAGGCCACCCAATTTGTTGCAAAACGCCATCCCTGCAAAGCTGTTTCACAAAAAGGGAGAAAACCAGTCCACAAGAGCGGAAAGACAAAAACAATCAAAATCAAAACATGGAACCGGATACAGTTCAATATTGTACTGCTTAATCAAACTTCTTATACAAAACGAAGACACAACCGTGCCAGGCCTACAAAAAGGGAGAAAACCGATCGGCAAGAACGAAAAGACAAAAGATCAAAATCAAAACTTGGAATCAGATACAGTTTATCGTCATACTGCTAAATCAACCTTATGACACAAAGAAGGAGATACAATCATGGCACAGCCCAAATACACGAGCGGGAAAAAAAAAAGAGAAAGGCGACACCTTTCGGAGATTTGGGTCTAAACCATAAGACACGCAATCTCCATGAGTGGAGTATGAAAACCAGAAGCCTCAAAAGAACCCAAAATCAAGATAGGAGGGAATTACCTGGAGGAGGAGGAAGAAGGACCGAGTTGCGAGAGTGGAGAGGAGAGGAGAGGAGAGGAGAGGGTTTTAGGGTTCAGGGGTTTGAAATAAGAACTGAGGAAGCGGCTAGGGTTTAAGAAGAGGGCGAGACCGACACAAGTGGGAGATAAAAAAAAATATCAGTGGTTTCTCGACTTTTGTATTGTGCGGGCTGGACCTGGTGCGGGGTGTTTCAGTTTTGGACTCCTTTGGGCCACGAAATGATGAAGCCTATTCAGAAGCCCAACTTAAATGGACATCTATTTATGATTATATTACTTGCCAAATGGGTGGAGGAATGTCTATGGGCCTGCACTGGGCCCATGTGGTCGGAGATTTCGACTCGGGTACCGACTTCATCAACAACTGAGGCATAACTGGGTATGCAGCAGGATTCAATTTGATACGTGCGAAATCCACGTTTCAAAACATTTTTTTTTTAGAGATTTGATACATAATCATAATTAAAGTCTCCATTCAAAATACGATTTGATATATTATAGAGTAACCTACACAAATTACAAATCTAAAGGTTTGTTCAACTATGTCACTAAAATAAGAAAATATATCTATTATATCCCATTATGTTGGACCAATTTTTTAGAATTGAGAAACTCAAACCTCTAGCAATTTTAAATCTTGAATTAGGGATTCACTTGCTTAATCATGTAATCGAAAATAACCAACTAGTATTATATGGAATGTGATCCGAATCCGCCACAACTTGAATAAATTAAAATCTCACTTCGACCCGCACCCAAAACCGGGACGTGGTGCCGACCCGAGCCACGGCCCACGGATGGCTGGCCCACTTGATTGTTGATACAGCTGCGGGCCCACCTTGCATTTTCTGGAATGCCGCCTTGCTCTTGCTGCTGCCTGATGTGATACGATGATGGAGATCGAGTTGTGCAAGTTGTAAATGGGACGAGTTGAGTCGAATTTGGTTTAATTTAGGTTTTATCATTTTGTAGAGAAACAAAATATAACATGATAGACATAGTTAAATTATTTGAGAAGTTGAGGTTTTCGCCTACTTACAACTTTCTAATAGTTAAAATATGAAATAATAAAAGTAAAATTTTGTAATCTAAACAAAATTAATCAAGAATGAGATGAGTCAGATCGGAATGAGGAAAGTATCAATGCCTCCTAACCTACGAGAAAAGTATTATCAGCTCGAAAAAAAGAGTAAAACAAATTCGGTAAAACGAGTGAAGTAAAAATTATCATATGTACGAACACAACAACTGTTGATGTGACTTGAATCGGACTATCAGCCACTACGACTGGTAGTCGGGGATTAGGTTTAGACACACATGGAGAAGTACTATAAATACTTCTCATACTCCTCTGTAATCTGTAATCTCCTCGATATAGTGAAACTAGCTCTCTCTCGCCCGTGGACTAGCTAATACACATCGTGTTAGTGAACCACGTAAATCGTGTGTCTGTGTTTTTCGATTCTCGCTTTCGTATTCTTGTTTTATCGATTCCGGCGATTTCTCAATCCGTAGCAGCGCGTTTATAACAACAACGAGTATAACAAGATGGGTCCGCTCTCACTTTCTAGAATGAGCCAAAGGTAAACAAATGGGAAACCAAAATTGGGCACTCCTTGTCAATGAGCCTGAAGAGTCAAGCCCAATTGAGATTAGTGGTACAACTTTTTTTAAATAAAAAATTCTCCTTGAGGCCATCTTTTTTCTCCACCTCATTAAATCTTTGGTGAAGAGAGTGATGGATGAATCGGGATGGGTATAACCGTTGGATTTCTCTAGAAACTAATAATGTACGTAAATTCTTCGTATTATTAGAATTATATTGTCATAAAGACAATACATCTATAAATTATTATCCTTAGTATTAAGGTTTGATACACAATGATATTATTTTACTGTTTGGGTGCGACTCGATCACTCGAATGAAAAGCGAGTTAAATGTTGACAATCTTCACACCTAATCCAACCCCATCAATCTTAAAGACAGGTAAAACTCGAACCATCTCAAAATCCATCAACACCAAATTTTACCCATTTTAATTAGATCGAATCGGGCTGAATTCTAATGAGTTTGGATTCTTGGAATGGATGGTGGGAGCAGGCTTGTCTTCATCAACTAAAGTTAACCTAACACTTCATCATCATTATCGTCACCATCATCCTTTCATATCATTCATTCATTTCATGTCCTCAGTTTTCCACTAACACGACAACAAAAGAGCAATACCTCACCACCTCGCCCACCACGTCCACCCACTTGGCACGGCTCTGTCTCATGAATGGAGTTGTTTTTTTATGATTGTAAAATCGTATTGGATGTTGTATTCGAAAAGTCAGTAATAGATTGTTTTGTACTAAATCGTGGTTTAATCATATTTCAATCATTTCGATTTCATACCGCTAGAACTCACCTACTTATTTAAACTCTAATATAAGATTTTTCGAATCGGATCGCCAATAATGTTTACAAGCACTTTTTCTCTCTGTAGAATCTAGAATGAGAATTTTTAACCCTACATATCATACTCCCAGCCATTAATGATTGATCTCCAAATAAAGCAGGGTTTATGTACCTTTTTGTCTTAGACTTTACATCATTGTGTCTATCTATATTTGATCATTGTACCACCCTCCTGAAGAAGAAAAACTCAACAGAACTTTCGAATTTCTTATCATTCTACCACCCTCTTAAAGAAGAACTCAACATAACTGTCGAATTTCCTCCAATATCTGACCTTCGATCAGCCATATGTAATGTTCATTCATGTTTTTAAGCATGATAATTTATTTTAGGGAAGAGACGCAATCTTTAGAATGAAGTGTTGACGGTCATGTGTTGCATCTGTTAGCATTGTGGTATATAATTTACGATTGAACCTCTCTCAACAACTCGAGTTATTGGGATCAACTGGTTCTTGACATGGTATCAGAACCTTCTGTGGCCGAGAGGTCTTGTGTTCGATTCCCGGTGACCCCCATTTGTTAAGCACATGGTATTCTTGTCTTCAGACCTGTGCATACTTCAAGCCCTTGTGAGTGGCTTTCGTTTGAAGAGGCGTGTTAGTGTTGTGGTATATGATTCACGATTGAACCTCTCCCAACTGGAGTTATTGGGATCAACTGATTCTTGACAACATCTCTGTAGCATGACGATTTAGTCTATACGATCATTGTAAAACTAATACCATGGCGGTATAGTTCTATATCATCATGATACAACTCTATTGACTTGAGCATCAACATGTTTTTGATGCAGTGATTTTTTTATTTTTTGCTTTAGATTATATTGCAGTTAATCTGATACCTAAAAAATTTTAAAATTTTGTTCATAAACACAAATTATAACACGTCGTTAAGATCGGTGTTCAAAAGGGTGCGTTGAATGCCTCGCCTTCAACAGCGAGGCAAGCATCCAAAAAGCTGTGATGGAGGTATCACCTAGACATAATTAGGCAGATCTACTCATAGCGAGACGGTCAATATCCTGAGGGGGGGAATGACATCATCTGCAAAATCATTATTCTCTCGATATCTTTTCAAAATAATTCAAGAACAGTATCGGCTGCTGAATTGTAATTCCATGAACTTGTGCGCTTTTTTTATTCTTCGTATAAACTTGTGAGCTATTACGCTTATTGTTAAGCAAGTTACTAATCATCTAAGCTGAAGTGCTACCAAACCGGACACTTCATTCATCATTAACTACAAACTGTTATTTTTACTTGCAAACACCTCAGACGTGATTAGACCATCCTCACACACGCTCCCAACTCCTTGAATCGTAGATAAGACAATGGATAAGTGAAGTGGTGGAGAGAGAGCACGAACCAATTCTGGTACTGTGACCTTTTCTCAAGATGTATAGGTTTTGGATAAGTTATGAACATGTAACATGGCTTATGCTTCCCACCCTTCTATCTATGCGCTGGAGCCATGTTTATCCACTTCCCCTTTCTCTCCTTTTACAACACACAACTCAATTCTTCATCTAGATGGCATACCCAAAACAGAGATGGCAGAGTTTCTGAGTAATGTTCCCAACTTCCAAGTATATGTACCCAGTATCCTGCAAGTGGGCAGAACCGTAGAAGAATAGGAATATTAAGCCATAAATGCTTGAAAATGATGGTGGTGACTGGTGATTAAACAAATCAGATCCAGATCGCTGAGAGAATGAATGAATGAAGGAATGAAGGAAGGAATGTGGCCCTTCAGCAGCCTTAGGCCACATATCATCCGATTGCAACTGCAAGCTTGCTGGCTCTTCAGTCGACTCGATTCAACTCTTTGAGATATTTCAAGTGTCGCTACTAGGCGCCATAGACGTTTACAGCCCCTTAATCTCGCCAAAATTTGTCCTCCGATCAACAGATATTGCTCACAGGCTTGATTATCACTGTCCACAACCATGGAATCTGCGGCTCAAGTTCTAGCAAGTAGCAACAGAACACACCACAATCGATGAATGATTCACAGACATGCAACTAGTTCAAACGAGGCAGAAGGTAGATTGACAGAGAGCTTTTCATTATATACAGAGCATCCCCTTCGGTTACAGTCTGGATCTTACATGGCGAACCAAAAAAAAACCCACCCTATACATACAAACTTCAGATCCAGACTTCAACCCATAAGCTTGAGCCTCGAAGCAGCTGATACAAGTTAAATACCAAAAGTAGAGATTATTGAACTTATAATTATATTTGTTCTACAATCCATTGGTTGCCATTTCTGCCTTCTGGCGACGCATTCGAGCTGCCCATGACATGTTATCACTTCCACCTACACTCCTGCTCTCGCTTCTTCTCTTCAACTCAGAGACCTGCGATTGCCACTGGTTTCTCCAGTCTCCTCTTTCGCCGATTTCCTGCAAATTGTCAAAACCCAAATCGGATCAGCACAAATTCCTTTCAAATCTGTAACTTTTTCACAAGAATAGGCATATAAGGGTATCTAAAAGCTCAGATCTCTATCCCTTCTGTAGAAAGACCTGACAGAACAGGGTATTTATGCAATAACAGAGTAATTCTCGAAACTTCCAAGTTAGGTAACAAACAAGAGACTAAACAGATTCGAATTTGATAACCCAATTCTCCTTCATCCCAAAATACCCCCAAAACCAGAGATTTGAAAAACAGGGGAGGGTAGAAAGAATGAAAATGGAAGAACGTTTGGGAGGCGAAATTACCTCATCGTCATGGTATGAGGAACGTCTCCTGGCGGAGAAGGCGAGGTGAAGCCCTCTCGCCATATCCCGATCGTAGAGCGCCCTCTGCCGGGGATCCGACAGCGTCTCGTAGGCCTCCTGGACCCGAATGAACCTCTGGGTGTACTCCTCGACCCGATCCGGTGGCGAGACGTCTGGGTGGTACTTCCTCGCCAGCTGCTTGTACGCCAGCTTAATATCTCTCAGGCTCACCGACTCCGGTATCCCAAGCAGGTCGTAGAAGCTCATCTCCGCACCGGCGGGTGCCGTGCACGCGCCGCCGGAGGAGGCAGAGGCGGTTTCGTTCACGGTGGCCCTCGTCCTGAAGGACGCCATTGACGGGCGACCCATTGAAGGCCGGACCCGGAGAACCGGGTCGGGCAATCTGGCGGTGGAGGAAGGCGAGGCGCCGAAGAGAGCGGCGTCGGTTCCTGGCATCGTCAATCCGCAGCTCGTCATATCGATTGGAAATGATCTCGTTCTTGATTTCAGGTTTCGATCTTCGATTGTGTTAGTTTGATTTCTGGGTTTTGAGCATTTGATTGTAAAGTTTCGATTTTGGAAGGGAGAATTCCTGATTAGGGTTCGTGGAGAAGAAAGGAAAGAAAATGGAGATGGGATATGGAGCGTTTGAGGGAATGGAGGGGATAGATATAGGAGCTTTTGGGGGCACAAAGTGGGAGGTGAGGTGAGGTGCAAACAAATGGATAATAAGCTATTTAATTATTTTTTTTCGTAATTCATTCCTCTTATTATTGTATTTTGTGTTTTAACTTTCTCGTTTGCGTGGGGAGACGATATAACTGAGAAAAGAGACAGTGATGTTTGTTTGTATTAAAATTAGGGGAAGAATATTTTGTTGAAAGAAAATTAATTTTTTTTCTCTTTCCTTGCTGGGTTGAAATTTGGTGTCCATTAAATTTATTTATTTAACTTCCTTCTAGAGAGAAAACTGTGTGCCAGGTGAAGTTTGATATCTGTAATTCTGTATTAAAAATATATTGAATATCATCTCGAATTTATTAATTTTTTGGTATTACATAATACATGTACTATGTTATAAAATTTAATTTCAAAGTGTTATTGGTATAAGAAATTATAGGATTACGATCAACATATACATAAATACTGATGAGTGTGTATTTGATCTCTCTTTACTAGGTTCTCTCACTCACTACCAAACACTCATCCATCAAAACGGTTACTTAATTGTACATAATCCATTCCCTCACTATTGACAACATAGAGCAAGTTCATTTCGTTATTTGTAGTATGTTTATGGACTTCTTAGTCGTCCTCTATTTCAGTTTGGTGTTTAGTTTGTTAATCTGTTTTTTGGGCACCACGTTTCACTTTTTTTTTTTTGTTATCATACTTAAGATGTTTTCCATTTATTTTGCACGAATATTGCCACTATTGTTTGCTTTTAAATATATTTTGAGAATGTTTTGTGCGCCGGTGAATGATAAGTTTTTACTTTAATATATTTATTATAGGTAATTTTGAGCAAAGTTAATTTGGCATTTAGTATATACTAATTTTGAACAAAATGTTAGGGATTGAGATATCGAAACTATTTTTGAATGAGACTAGATTTAGCACAATCTAATATTTGGGATTTTGGTATTTAGTTATGGGTACCGATCCTATATCGATTTCCACCTCTATTGTAGCAGTATGAGTTTGACTCAAATTTCGTGAATCGTACTATATTGACGGTCTGATAGAAAAAAAAACTTATACCGAAATTTTAAATTAGTAGATAATTTTTAATAATATTAAACAATTGAATTGTGATTTAAGCACAAAATAACTTACCACTATATTTATTTTGTACAATTTACTGTGCGACAATCTTTTTTTTATATCTTGTAAGAAATGACACACAGAGCTAGTCCATTATTTTCGCATATATTCGGGGTTTAGTATTCGGTTCATAGGTCGGCGTAGTAATAGGGGGTAGCCCATATGGTGGCTAGGAAAGCCCTGTCTTTGTACTCTACCATAAGTCGTTTCTTTGACTTTCAGACCTAGCTGCTTTCCGGGATGTAACTTTCTTTGTTGAATCTATATAAGATTAATTTTGTAAAAAAAAAAAAAGACACACAGAGGAATGTCAGTCTATTTTTGTTTTATTGTTTTGGCCGGGACAAAATTGAATTCGTCAATAGACGAAGAGAAAATGGCACCAAACTCTATTTTAAAATATTATATGTCAGAACGTTCTATAAATTATTAGAGTGCCGAAACTAACCCTTCACTATGCTGATGGATGTCAAATGTCATTTGAGTAAATCAATATTCGATTAGAAATTGGAATAATGTCATATACCAAAAATATAAATTCAATTCAATCAATAATCAGACTGATTTTAATCTAGCCTCTTGTTTCTTACCTTTTGCTTTGTTTTAGTTTTCATAATCCAAAACACATTGTGAATTTTTATCGTAACTTTTACTAGTTGCATATTTTCATTTATCCTGACTATTGATTTCCAACCATGAGATACTGTACGTATGAATCAATGGTGTATCTTTCAAAGTTCCATAAATACCCCTACTAATCTTCATCTTTTTCACAACTTTGCCCCTATGTTTCCAGCTGCATGCATGCCTCTTTCCAGGCTGTAAAAGAGAACAAATTCGAATCATGAAAAGAAAAGGGAGGGAAAAAAAAAAACAATTCTTAAACGTGTAATTAATTAGGGGTTACTTAAAAGAACAATGGTTAACTTTTTGTAGGATTGCCATAAGACAACATAGCTCATACTGTATTACAGCTAATTAACACGTGAGCCTGGTGATTAAGTTGATGAATATTGATGGTTGTGCTGTGTTTGGTGCCTTTTTTTTTTGTTTTTGGTAAAAAGAATAATAGCATATGGAATAATATGATTATTAAGTTGGGTATACGTAAATATTCCTTAAGGTCAATAGTATGCCTGACCACAAGTGGACTAATTAGTGATTACTACCAACTAAAAAATAACATGCCATGTGAGTTTCTGGTATATATTGGGTAATTTTTGTTATAGATTCGAGAGTTTTTGGTATATTTGACGATTTGAGGAATAAATTTTTTAATGATGCGGATTCTCAAATTTACTGTGCATATTGTTATATTTATTAATAAAGCATATATAGCTCAGGGAAATAGAGGTATCAGTGTCCCTTTTGTTTTGATTCAATTAAGTAACTTGATTCTTATAAAATAAACAAACAACTAAACTTCAAAGTGGACCATATCAAATCTATTGCAATTTAGGACAAGTTGAGGGTACATTCCTTTTTTTTTTTTTTTTTTGTGTGTGTAGAATCCACCAAGCCTCAAAATCAAACTCTAATAATATCTTATAAAATTTAAACTTAGGTATTTGATCAATATGATGATATATTGTAGAATTACAACAGCTTTGTCCATTTTCGCTCATAAAATTTTACTAAATTTGTTTTTATGTGTACCAAATCAATTTTTAGATGAAAGACTAGCTAGCTAAGGTCAATGGCTGAATGATAGTGTATGGGCATAATCATCATATTGTATTACATATTCATAGGTAAGGGGATTGCTTCTAAAACTCTACAAAGTATTGGTTTCAACAACCTCAATTATTATTGACTATAAAACGCTATTTTAAATAATTTTAATTATGACTTATGAGGATGACAACTAACAAGGGTTTATAAATACATATTTTTTTTTTGTTTATGGAACAAATATTAGTATTTGAAATTAAACTTAGGAAAATTGTGTGTTAAGCAACTACAATATATGTCAACGTCTGGATAAAAGCCAATAACATTAAGACAGCACATATCTATTAACACACTTATCTAGCTAATGGTTTCAATATACAATTAGTAAGTATTAACGCAAACCCATGCCTATTTACACATCCCAAAGGCCAATCCCCATATATTTTTTTAAATTAAACCTCCAATATCATTTTTACACCTCCCATGTCTTAAAAAGAAAAGCAACTTGTATACTTATCGAAGCCAAGGAGTAAAGAGATCGATGGTGTGTAATCGAAAACTTTTTATGGTTTCTTAAGTTCTATCTAAGTGATGCATTGTGATGACAATTTTTCAAAGGATTTCGTGCGATCCGTCCTGTCCCGATCTGTTTGGTGTGGATATTGTCCGACTCACAGTAGTGCTAGCCGGAAGATGAATGGTGACATTTTTTTATATGGCTTTGCCTATCCCACGCCCGTCTTGTTCACCAGTCGTTCTATCACGTTTTTGCATCAATATCTACGTGTTTTTTTCCCCTCTTTTGATCTTAGTTAAATAATATTTTCATCCCAACAAAAATTTAAGACTTTATCTTTCACCTACTTGGACTAAAAAAAACTCATATTGTATATCTAATTCATTTTTCGAAGTGATTTTTCTTTCTCTTCTTGTAAAATAGTTAAACTTCGACGTTCTTTTCTTCAAATGATATATAAGAATGAATCGATCTGTCTCGGCCCGTCCCCTCATGGATACTACATGACCTGCACTTAATGTGTTGCGGGTCTAAGTATTGTACCCTCCCTGCCCCATTGTCATCACTAATTATCGAGTGTCAGGGAGCCGACAAGCGCCTTCGATAGAGTATTGACGTTCATCCTAGTTATTGATACTTTAAGAGCATTCTACCTCGACCATCATTTTTACACCTTCTTGGCTTATCCATGAGGAAAAAAAGCAATACTTGTATACATGGTTGTTATATTAGGTCGTACAAGAACACGAGTTCTAAAACATGGAATACATATAAGAGTATTATACAAGTATTAAACGAATTTTTATGACAAATCACTTTCAGGATATATAATTGAAAGAACCTATAAATTCATTGATTATACTTTAAACAGTGTCGTTCCATTAGAAAAGAATATCATCAGTGGGATGAGGACGAACCATGGAGATGAGATGAGATCATATGGAGCCACCCTTTTCTGAATCTGCAGACTCCAATTCAGATCGTTGTGAAAAGGACACAAACCAGTAGTAAATTCAACACGTGACCGGCAATTACGAATAATAATATACCATGTACCAAAACCTAAATACAATAATTAAGGATAGAAAAACATCAATAATTGTTCTCAGATTCCTCGTCGGCTACAATTAATGGAGGAGAGTTCTGATTGGTAAACGTTACAAGTTAACATTGATGGCACGATTAATCAGTTGTGTGTGAAGAGAGACAACTGCAAGGCATAGTTACTGCAGGGAGTAAGCATTGGTACCATAAAAACAAAAGCCAATGTGTGCTGTGTTCAATTTCCACTAGATTCCAGTCGCTCTCTTGCATTTGGTTCAGCAGATCATAGAGTTTATTACTACGATCTTCGTAACTCGCGAGCTCCACTGTGCACATTGGTTGGACACAGTAAAACTGTGAGTTACGTGAAGTTTGTTGACTCGACAACAATGGTTTCTGCATCAACGGATAACACGCTGAAGCTCTGGGATATGTCAGCCTGCGCATCTCGAGTCATTGATGCTCCACTGCACTCATTCACGGGACATATGAACATGAAGGTAAAACACCATTTCGTATCATTTTGTCATCAGACAATATGATACATTGCTTGTATAGTCGTCCTGTGCTTAACGATTATAGGACTTGGAGCATGTGATGTGAGACTTCGGTGTATATGGAAATCGTTGTTTTATTCGTTTGCATTCTTGATGTTGCAGAACTTCGTTGGTCTATCAGTGTCTGATGGTTACATTGCTACTGGCTCAGAAACAAATGAGGTAAGATCCTGAATACGTAACACAAGGCATCGCTTGCCACTTCTTTTGCTAAATTTTGATCTCCCTCTGGAAGTTTATCATGCTGCATTTGACACCCGTTTTAATCACAGGTGGTGATCTACCATAAAGCCTTCCCAATGCCAGCATTATCATACAAGTTCAACACCACAGACCCGGTCTCCGGGCATGAAATGGAGGACACGTCCCAGTTCATCTCATCGGTCTGCTGGCGAGGCAAGTCGTCGACCCTCGTTGCTGCAAATTCGACCGGCAATATCAAAATCCTGGAGATGGTTTGATCCGATTTGGCAAGCACACACCATTACATATACATGTAGCAATAATTTAGAGCCAGCTACAGAGATGAAAGGACCAAGTGTTGTTAAAAGCAAGTAGAGAGAGAAGAGAGGGGTGGGTACTTATTAGTAGTTGTTCAGCATTATGTTAGAGCCAGTCAATGTTTTCTAGATTATTACTTAATGCTCGTTGATTTTATAGCCTTTTTTCTCCTTTTTGTCATGGGTTGGCGAAACAGAAGCAGAAGCAGATGCTGCTGTTAATTCATCCACTACTATGTATATTTTGTAGTGCATATCATGGTCCAAATCATCATTCTTCTTAGTCTGTTAACGCCTTTATTCTTTAATCTTCTCTCCTAATCTTCGCTTTGGAATCCTAAACAAGACTAACATCTCCCAAGGAAACGCAAACAAACACGCATCTTGTCGCACTAATTAAGCTTCATGCTAATAACATGGCATTGTCTTTATATTAGTTAATGATAAACATGCTTATAATAAAGAGTCAGTCACAGTCACGGCTTTCTAAGCCAACTTCTTAAGATTGGTTCACCAAACAAAAGTTAATCTATGATAAGATGACAATCCCAATCCAGTAAACAAGAGAGGTAATGACTAATGTCAATCCCAAAACCAGCCACAACTGAAATGGAATCATGCCGATCACAGTTATTTCCCACTAGTATTTCACGACTTGGCTACCCCTATTTTGCAGCTGTTTTTCTTTTTTCTGCCACATTCGCACCATGAAAGTCTACAAGTAACAACAGCTACTATTACTGCAGAATCGTTGACTGCCCCAGCGAGAATGACAGGAATGAAGAGACCGGAAGGGACTGCAATGCCATATGTGATTATGCCGAGGAAGAATATGGCGCTAAAGAAAACAAGGAGTGTCGGGATGTGGAACTGTTTAGAGACCCCTGGGCTGAGTAAATTTTTGATGGCGTCGTCGTTGGTGTTGAAGAAAAGAGAGGCGAGATCATTGTATTGGTGTGATGAACACTGGAAATTCTTGTAATTACCAGACCGACCTGCAGTGGGACACTCCTCCATAAGGTGGGGAGGGCAGGGAGTGCATGATGAGAGCCATGGGAGACCATAAGAGAAACACGAGGTCAGAAGGGAGATGCACAGCACAAGTAGGACCTTGAATATTGGTCCCTTCCTGTAAGAATCATACACACACAAGTCCAAGGTGAGAAAACAATTGGTATATTATTGTGCTGACTAACACTTCACCAAAGATTTATAAAGATGAATAAGAATGGATCCTTTAAACATACTCATTAATGATGCTATAAGTGCGAAGGACCTTGTCCACTAGATAATTGTAAAAGCTTCCCAGAAGTCCCCCAAGCACACCAAGGAAGATGATTGCCAATAGATCTGGGGTGCCATAACTGGCAACCGACGAATTGACATCAAACATGATAAGACCGCCTTCCCCAAATAGCCCACACTTTCCAGACTTGCAGAAGTCCATGAAACCTCTCAACACCACTGCAACAACAGCCGTTGTAAAAAAAGTTCTCCAAAGTAGAGCACTCCTCCACCTGAAGATAAACCAACAGAAGAGTAAAGCAAGGGATCAACAGACAATCCGGAAGTCGCTATTTCATTTCAACACTGCATATGCTACTTGCTTGCAAAAAGCAGACCAAACGGCCAAAGGAAATTGAGAACCATTAAGCGGCACCATACATGTTATCAAAGCATTCAAATTTGTTCTTCAAGATTCAAACTTTTAGTTCTTTTATTTTCTTACTACTGATATTGATAATATTCATGACCTTGAAACTCAGATAACCGCTGCATTATGTGGAAATTACAGAAGTTTATCCAAAAGAAAAATACATAGACAAACCGAGCTATCATCACTTTAACCCCAATTTAGAAAAGAAATGGAAGTGGCAAGGGTGTAAAGAGAATGAGAGATATGTTACCATGAAGCAGCTTCTTCAAGAGCAAATAGGACACCACCAACAGGAGCTCGAAAAGCAGCTGCCACACCAGCTGCAGCACCACAAGTCACTAAATCTCGTCGATCCCTATCGTTCTTGAAGTGCCTAAGCCATCTCCAAGTCAAGTGATACTTCCTTGAACCACCTTGTCCAAGAAAGGCAGCTATGCAAGCTCCAGTGTGCACCATAGGTCCCTCCTTTCCCACGACCAACCCTGCAGCAACTCCAAAGATGGACCCAAAAATCTGCCAGTTACCAGGGCAGAATAAGAGTCCAAATTTTAAACCACTAGTTCGTTAGTTGAGCTCAAGAGTGTCAAAGAGCAAAAGATTCTAATGAAGTTTCAGGCCAATTTTAGAAAGGGAAAAGTCCAACCTTCACAAAGAGAGTGCTTGGGGCCAAAATAGAAGGAGCATCTACACCATTAAGGTATGCTTTAACTTCGGGTATGCCAGAACCTGCTGCAGCAGGGGCTCCGTACGCACAGAGGGCAGCAGCGGCGACAGCCAACACCGCATTGCAACCAGCAAATGCTCCGAATGCCAGGTAATAACTGTACTGGAATAACAATTACTTTACAGTTACATGAAAATCATCATAGTCTCAAAAATGTCATATCTAATGTGCGATTGCGGCATTAACTTAGGCAATGCAGGAACAGAAGATAAAAATGACTTACTTGTTCTGAAGCATTAGACTGTTCGTCCACATAAGCTTAAAACCAGCGATGTTCTCAACTGCAAGGTTGTTGAAAAAGCCAACAACCCCGGTGCTAAATCCAATCAGAAGGGCAAGTGTCCACTTAAGGACAACATATTGAACTATCTCATTCTTCTTTCTAGTCCTCCAATCTTGCTTAAACAATTCATTCTCAACAATCCTGCCACAGCAGAAGTCAGAAAAGCAAGATCAATCCCACAAAAATCTGGATGAATCTCCACATTCATCCTAGTATAATAACAGAAAGCACACACCAAAAGGTGGCCACCATCAAGTTTCAACACCTCGTCACAGCCAAATCAAGTACAACTTGTAATAAGTGATGCAGCTGACGTTAGTGCAGAGAAATGGATAAAAAAGGCAAAAGTGCATCTCACTTAACCCATGTGATCAACCACATGCAAATCCAAAACAATCAAAACAACCTTTGAACAAAATGGCCAAAGATCAACCACTAATCCACACAATCACTGAACAATTGAAATCTGATCACAGAGAAACCATAATTGAAGAGGCTTACTCATAATCCAGGCTTTCAATGGGGCAAACATTGGCACCAACAATGGCAATCTGGGAAGTATTGTTCTGCCTGTTCCTGAGAAGGAGTGGCTCTTTCATTAACCCGAATTCCTTGTCATCTCCGAACCCTCCTCCCTCTATCTCTATATCATTGTCCTCTGCATGATCTTCCATCTTCTTCAACCCTTTCTCCCCACACACACAAGAAGAAGAAGAAAAAGAACAGACTCAATTCTGCTGTCTACCTCCAATTTCCCCCTCTCCCTCAATATAATTCAACCTTTCCCTCCCCAGAATAATTCATTCCCTTTTACGGTGCTTATCCATTGTACCACCCAGACAGAACAATCAATCCGACAGCGAATAATTTCAATTTGTACACAAAAATGGAAACTTTCCCACAAATCAGACAGTGGGTTCTACCTCGAACCATCAACTCTTCCTCCTCCACCTCCAACTCCCAACCCAATCTCTCTCTCTCTCTCTCTCGCTCTCCTGATCCTCGAGTGTTAACAATGAGGCATTCACAGATCTTTGATAAAAGAAAGCGCCCGTGGTCTCTAGATGTGTACCAGGTCAAACCAACCAAAGGAACGTGAGTGCGTGACGCAACTCTCTTTCTCTCTCTCTCTCTCTGGCCTCTCCGTCTCCCGGTGTCTCTATTTGCTGCTTCTCTCTTTCTCTCTCTCTTTCCCTTTCTTTTCTTTTCCTCTGTTTTTGTTCCTTTCCTTGCTTGCCTCCTTGCCTTTCTGGCATCAAATTGAGGCCATGGAAACAGTTTTCCCCAAAAAGAACTGATTTTTATTTTTATTTTGATGAGTGGAAGTTGATTAGTCTATCGGGTTTGGATGATTAACGCCTGGATGTTGCCTGGCGCTCGGGCAAACGGATAGATACGCTACAACTCCCAGAGATTAATTATAGGAATTTTAACAAAAATTAAATAAAATTATATTAAGTATGGTCGGTAGCGACGGTACTAGTGGGAGATAACATAAAAGAAGCAGCACTTGCTCTCAAGGCCGGTTACGTTTAATACAAGGTACCAACCCTACAGCCATTGAATTAAGTTTTTCTAAAGGGATGGATATTGAGGTCATGTTGATCTCTGCACCAGCTTCGAATCAATGTGATGGACCATATTGTATGTTCACTGACCCACTTAACATGTCACGTTTTCCTCCCATTTGTCATTTCGCATTCGATCAGACCACTCGTTGTATTCTCGATATCTCTGCACTATGTGAGGATCCACACTCATATGTTATGACTTAGTCACAGACACGTGTGAATTTTGGTAAAAAGATAATAAGCTTTTGGACTTTGCTACGGTGACATGCATGTCACGGGGACATGCACTTTTCGGTTGACCTCATATAGGATTAGGTCAACCTAACCTGTTGTTTCAGTGCAAAAACAGTTTCAAGGTGCATACTTTGGAGATTCATATCTTACAATTTGCTACATGGAAATTGGACATCAATGGCTTGTTTTGAAGCTGAAGTGTCTCTCTACACATTCAAGTACTTGGGAGCTCAATAAGAAGTCCAGACCACCATTTTTGAACCTAATCAAAAGGCTATGCCAAAACTTGGAAACTGCCTAAAAATGGCCAAGTCTGGGAACGTATTTGTGAAGCCTACTTTGGAACTCAATTCGAGAAGCATGGATGTGAACCGAGTCCAGGGGCCTCTACCACGTTAAATTAGGTATGTTTTTATACAAAGTCAAGGCATTGGATGAAAGATTGGATATCGGTAAGAGTTCAAACAAAAGGGTCGAAGTTGCTACGAAGGATGTTTTTCTGGCAGCTTGCTTGTGCTCGAAGTCTGCCAGAAAAACAGTCTTCGTAGAAACTTCGACCCTTTTGTTTAAAGCTTTAAAGATATCCAATGACTTGACTTTGTATAACAATATACCTAATTTAACGTGGTAGAAGCCCCTGGACTCGAATCGCATCCATACTTCTCGAATTGAGCTCCAAAGTAGGCTTCACAAACACGTTCTCAGACTTAGCCATTTTCAGCCAGTTTTCTAGTTTTGGCATAGCCTTTTAATCAAGTTCAAAAATGGTATTTTGGACTTCTTATCGAGCTCCCAAGCACTTCAATATGTAGAGGGACACTCCAGCTTCAAAACAAGCCATTAATCTCCAATTTCCATCGAGCCAATTGTAAGATATGAATCTCCAAAGTAGGCACCATGAAACTGTTTTTACACTGAAACAACCGATTAGGTCGACCTAATCCTAACCGAGGTCGACCGAAAAGTGCAAGTCACCGTGACATGCATATTACCGTAGGCACACCCTAAGCTTTTATGTATGCTTATAGAAAAGGGATCAATCTCATTGTCACGAGGTGATATAAGGATATTTTGCCATAGGCTAAAGCTCACTTATTGTTTTCTCGATTGTCATACGATTATATGTATAGATAATATATAGGGTAATGTCTATTTTTTATCCAAACTTTTTTCAAATTCTTTTATATTATCCAAACCTATCGAAATACTAAGAATTAGCCAAATGTTAACTTCCAGTTAGCAATTTTGTTAGTAATATTGACTTGCCAACATGATACTGACTTGGACTAGACACATGAAGGTCAACATTTCAAAATTTTACTATTTTAACTAAGAAAAGAGTTACAAAATTATTAACGTTAGCGTAAAAATGGATAATGTTTTGATGCATTACGAAAGATTTGGCTAATTAATAGCATTTTAATATGTTTGAATAATATAAAAAAATTTGAAAAAGGTTTGGATAAAAAATAGACATTACCCTAATTTATATGATAAATTGGAGATTTAAACACACAACATATTCTATATAGAGGCACGAGTTTGTTTACGAATTATGCTACAAGCTCGCTTCTTGTATTTTTAATAACAACTTTAATTCATTTCGAAGTTTCAAGATTGGATTATTTCGTTTAGAGGTGGCAATTTCAATCCAATCCACCAATCCAATCCATCAATCCATTAAAAATATCCATCTAATCAAATCCATTTAAATCCAATCCATTTGATCCAAATCCAATTGGATTGGTGGATTCATGGATTGGATCCATGGATCATTGGCAAATTACGATTTAGTACCTATAATTTTTATTTTTTACATTTTGGTACCTAAAATTTTATTTTTTATACGAAAAATATCATTGGAAAATTACGTTTTGGTACCCAAAAATTTTCATTGTGCCATTTTAGTACCTAAACTTTTTACATTTTACATATTGGTCCTTGGTTGAGGATGTCATTTGAATTCATGGATAATCCTCCAATCCACTTGATCCAATCCATGAATCCACCAATCCATTTGATCCATGGATCCACCAATCCAATCCACCAATCCACCAATCCAATCCATTTGCCACCTCTAATTTCGTTTATTTTGTCATTCTTGTATGTTCCACCTATTTTTGTGTTTCTCTTGTGATAAGGTACCTATTTATTAATGGTTTGATATTGGTTAACCAATAACTGTGAACTACCTACTATACTAGTCCATATCAAAGATTTTATATTGGTTGTGTAGAAAAATTCAATGATAAGTTATTTTGTGCTAAAATCGTGATTTAGACGAAAATAATCATATGTCTTATACCGCTAAAACAGTCTACCAATATAGGTTCCAATATGAAGTTTTTCCGATCGACCACTATAGTTTTACACTCCAATTTGATTTTGATAATATACCAATTTGTTAAGATAGAAAAACATCAGGTACCAAATAGTAACTCAAACCCTTTTTCCTTTTCCCGAAAGCCGAAGGAGGAATCCCGGGTATATGAATGTCAATTTCGCGTCGGAACTGATGCTTTCTTTGCGTTGTTCGTCGTCATTCGTCATCTCCCTATCTCGTCGCGGTGTGTGTCTCACTTCAAAATATCAGAATCTCTCAAAGGGGAGAAAAAGGCGGGGAATCTTAGTTCCAAACCCTAGAATTCTAAAACCCTCAAGTAGGATCAGTTTGGTGGAGGGAACGGAAGATTAAAGCGGGGCAGGATGGAGGGGGAGAACGAAGAACTTAGCATAGAGGAGCTCACGTCCAATCTCTCTACATACAGAGAACAACTTGATAGCGTAAACTCACTCCCTTTCTGTTTCCTCTTCATGTTCGTAGTAAAATTAGCGTCTTTGGATGAACTATTTCGAATTTTGTGAATTGGGTTCGGCGAATTAGGGTTTCTTGTCGGGGCTGTTTGTGATTTCGGGTGTTAATTGGCAATAGGGTGAAGCTGAATTACGGGACATTTGTTTGGATTCATCTGGTTCTCTCTTTCCCCCCAATGTTTGTGGGGGCTGTCGTTAGAGTCATTCATTGTTGAAGAATGATAGCTCTCTTTTGCATCCTGGGTATGATTAACGCGTCTTACAGCTGCTTAGTTGACGACTTAACTGTTTTACTGTCATCATTGAAACCTGCATCTAAAAGGGTGTGTTGCATTGGTTAATTATGATAATAATATGCTATTACCAATATCATTGCAAAATATGTGTACTCAAGTAAAAAATTGTCTCTTTGCTTATGGAGTAAGATCTTTCAGTGTTGTGTATATGCAGTGACTCATGTATTGTTTTTGTGCTTGTGTTAGGTTCGACAACTTTTGGCTGATGATCCCGACAATTCCGAATATGAGGACATGGAGAAGGAACTTGGCGAGGTGATCTGCTGACATAATTGTGATTCAAGTTGTTTCTTTTTCATAGTGTTGGATAATTTTAGGGGACGAAAATGGTGGTGTTTGACTACGGCTTCTACTCAGCGTGTGATAAGTTTTCCTGACCGAATACTGGCTACTTTCATAGTGGCAACTGGCAAGATCCCCTAGAATAAGTTTCATACACTGTAACTGTACCCGGGTAGATGGTGGAATTTGAGCAGCTAGGTTCTTTCATGAAATTTATTTTCTATATTGGTTTTATCTCTTCCTCGTCTCACTTGAAGGAAAATGTTGTTCATCAAGCAACATTAATTAGCTGCTAATTCTTCCATGAATTTTTGATATTGTATAGTGTTTGAGTAAAGGTGAGGGTGTTTTCTTGTATAATGAAGAGTTTTCCAGAATGTGAATGTATATTAGAGATCGAGAAATTTGACAAAATGCCCATCACTCCTATCTTGATCCAATTTGCAGGTGTGCTAGATGTCTTGTGAAGGGCAGGCCTGCTTCTCTACGCCACATGTTAGAGATCTTGGGATTGTGTGTCTGTTAACAGAAACTACAATTTACGATTAACAGTGGTGGTGTTCCTGCTTTGGGTCTCAGGGGATTAACTAACACTCTGGGCATTGCAGGTCATTGCTTTAACTGAAGAACTCCTTGCAACTGCAAAGCAGAGTGAGGTCATTGGATCAGGCATTGGTACCAGAAGTAGTGTGTCTCCGACATTTGGTCAATCTAAGGTTGGTCAAATCATGTAGCACTATTTAATATTTATGTTATTAGCTCCCCAGAGGTGTGGTTTCCCTAAGCCAAGTATCTTAGAATGACTACATAGTTAATTTGCTCCTTTTCTCTATCAGGAATTAGCAGACAACTCTGATCAGTATGGAAAGTTTCCTGTGGGCTCTAGAGTTCAGGCTGTCTGGAGTGAGGATGGAGAATGGTATGTATAGGGCCATGAACAAATGATTTGACCAATCAAGAACCTTTCTTGTTGCATTTGCTTTACCGTCTTTTTCTTTTGTGTTTGATTAGTTAATTGTGCAGGTATGATGCGACGGTCGAGGCAATCACCCCGAACGGCTATTTTGTCGCCTATGATGAATGGGGCAATAAGGAAGAGGTGCGTTTTCACTACTTCACTGTGCTTCTGAATTTAAAGTAACACTGTCATTGGGAACTAATGGAGTGAGGTAATTATTGACTGTTGGGTGATTGCCAGGTGGACCCCGATAATGTTAGACCAGTTGAAACCAATGCTCTGGTTGAGGCTGAAAGAGTAGCTGAAGCTACGAAACAGGCCATCAAAAGGAAGATTGCACAGGCTGCTTCATCTGATTTCCAGGCACGCACTTTACCAGCAAAGCTTCGCATACAGCCTGAGGACCCTGAGGATGTCAAAGTTACAAAGCGGAAGAAGATACATGCATTCAAGTCCAAGATGAGGGTTGAGCAGCTTGAAGTTGCACAGAATAAGCGCCAGAATGCATGGCAGCAGTTCCAGACAACTAAAGGGAAAACTAAGAAGGTAATTCCATTCCATTTTGTTCAATTTTCCATAACCAATTTGGTATATTTCTACTGGTTATTCACTGTTTGCTAAAACATGGTGGTACTTTGATTAAAAAAATGTGGCTGCCTGATAATGAGGGTCGTCTTAGTTATGGAACTCTGTTTTTTCCCCCAGGTCGGTTTCTTCTCTGGCCGAAAACGAGAAAGCATATTCAAGTCTCCAGATGATCCACATGGTAAAGTCGGTGTGACCGGGAGCGGAAAAGGTTTGACAGATTTCCAGAGGAGGGAGAAGCATTTGCATCTCAAGGGTGGATCTGCAGAAACCGACGATTAGAGAGTGTGCTTGCTTGCTGTCTTTAGTTGTTTTGCTTACCCTTCGTCTTTTATACTCTGAGCCAGTACTCTTTGATATTCTGCGTATGAACAGTGGTGGGAAGATTGTACTTTTTTTTTTTGTAAGTAGTGGGAAGCTTGTACTTAACCGAGATTCTTGTTTGATGTGAATTCAGATGGCCATATGCGTCCTGCCCACCACTACCCTATGGGTTCACTGAACTTTAGAAAGCTTTGTCCTTTTGGTTTTCAGCAAGATCAGTCATTTTCCTTGCTGCCGACATTTTCAAAGTTGGCCTTTATCTCGTGCTTGAACAGTTTGTGACCTTGATGCTCTTTGGTTGTGGGGTTTGGAGTACCCCATCGTGACGTTAACCAGTCTAAAGCAAAGACAGAGACTTGTCTCGTGGTCACTGGTAGCCATTGAAAGCGTAACATTGAGATAGTTGTGCGCATTATTACGATGAATTCATGCTCGGACATGATTTGTATGAAGTTTTGCTTGTGGATTTGGATAATTGAGATTGAGATTCCAAGTCAAAGTTTAGTGCATAACAACACAGCCGCAAAATCAAATTTTAGAGTCCTACAAAAAAATGCACGAATCTTCCAGGATAGAACTTGAATCTTGTTGAAACGGACTAATAGCCTCCTGTTCTGCTGGGTTTTTCAATATTTTGTACATATTACAACCTCAAACCAAATACCGACACGTATCTCGGCCTCCGAGCAGGGCAGTAAAATGACCACACTACACAGTGAAAGAAATTCTGAACCTTGTTACAAAAGAGGCGCGGAAAACTTTATAGGTGCCATCTAGGTACTTGTCAATTGTGCTAGGACAGAGTTCGTCTGTTGAAAGATTCCACTGTTAAGTTTGCCGTGAAAGCTGGGATGGAATTCATCTTGCGTACGAATATGTCGACCTGCGAATGTCACCATAAAAAAGGATGTTCAAAACTCAAGGGTCAAAAGGTGAAATGTCAGAGCATGCAATGGACAAATTGCAGATTCATTGGTTCTTGCAAGTTGCAATCACATGACTGATAACATTACACAGAGACAGCCCAGTAAAACGGTTGCAGATGAAGATGGGTAGGCGTCTTTTGATCCATACCTGCTGAGAAATTTCTGAGGTTGAGGTGTAGCCGTTTTCCTGAGGAAAGAAAAATGACAGCATAAGCTTCTATAAAGCAACATGAGTGCTGTGTACATCACCTATTTCAGGACTACGGGAAAATAAACCAGAAGACAGCACAAAGCTTTCAATGCTCACCACAATGTTTGTATTCCCAGATTCATATTCAAATTCAAGCTTCTCATCATCATTCATTGCATATATGGACTGAAGGGTAAACCGAGTAACAGGGATTCCATTAGGACGCTGGCGTTCATCCATCACGATCTGCCAAATTAAATAAAAAACAGCAAAAACATAAATCTTGCTGAACTCCCATAAATAAGATTCAACAACAAAGAAGCTAATTGAGGTATAACTTCAGTTAAAATCGAAAAAGTTTTGAGAGGAACTGGTGTAAATGGAGCACCATCGAAATACACCAATTTCAGATGTGGAACTTATAATCCATACCTTGTATCCGAAAAGTTCACAGCATGCCCTCCTAAAAACTGAGATTCTATCCGCAAATACTGTTTTGTATCTGCAAGAATGAACCAAACGATTACATCAGAAGCTGGAATTTGAGATGCTAAAATTGCACCTCTAAATACTATATTATTATCATTCCACAGATGACACAGCTTACCGTTCTTCTCGTTTCTCAAGTGTTGCAATTTGTTCTTTTAATTGTGCCACCTTGCCGGACATGTATGAGTCTACCAGCTTGCCAGAATTACCTGGCCAACTCAAAGGGAGTTAGGGAAAAAGACTGCAGTAATCAGGCAGCAGAGCCAATGAAGGCAACTAGGTTCGTACAATACTGTGCTATCATGATCCTGGAGCATACAGAAATGTCTAAAAGGCAAGAACCAAGTACGCCTGCTTTAACATACACATGCATCCTTCCAGCCCTCCTTGAAACAATTCGGTGAACATATTTGAGATTGCAGGTGGATTCTAAGCCCAATAGTGGAGTGGTAACTCTACTTAATTTGGTTCACATTGCAAGCAAATACGGAAAGTTTCTCAATATTTAATCTTCATCCCAATCACAAAACAGAACCAACATTGTGCCTACTTACTGATCAAAATCTTCACACGACAATACTTCTCACTTCCCAATAAGATACCCAAGCAATGTAACGAAGAAGAATTTAAGAGGAGGAAAGAAAGGAAAATAAAGAAAATGCTCTCCAGATAGAGGCAAAACATTTCTGAAAATCAATCACAAACAAGTACGAGGAACCCAAATGACAGAATTCGTACCCGACTGACTCTTATATTCTTCAAGTGCTTGCAACTTCTCTTTTGTCCTCTGCAGCTCACTTTGTAAGGCCTCAATAGTTTGTTTGGCATCATTACCTACTGCAAGAGTGTTTACCATCCTTAGCACTTTGGTATTGGCAGCAGAAAAGTCACCATGACCTAGCTGTGTGCAAGTACATAACCAAATACAAAAATGTGAACTCCTCAATGCCAGATTACAAGAGAGGCACTCATGTCTTCCAAAGCATTGTAACAATGTTAAATAAAGGCAGAAACAAATACAACGTGTTTTTCATAGCAGAACTGGCGGCACCATTTGGTGCCTTGGGCACTCAAACCCCAGATATTGAGTATAAAATGAATTGCATGATCTTCACAATGAAATACATGAGAGAATATCCTTGGGTATACCTTCGACTCTAGCAGAAAAATCTCTGAGCGAAGGCGGTCACTCTCCCTCTCCAAGGATTTAACTTTCCTAGCTTCGCTATTCAGTCTGTCATGAAGTGACTTTATTTCATCTTGTTGCCGGGTATTGATGTCCTTTTGTGCAAATAAATCTCCCTCCAGCTCTTTAATGTAAGGTTCTCTTTTCAAGAGAGATGATTCAAGCTCCTGGATGTGTACCAATAGAAAGTCATAAGTAATCATTAGAAAAGGTGCAAGGTAGTAAATAACAAAAAGAAGAAACAGCGTTAACAAAAAAATAAAGGAGCTGGAATGGAACTTCAATACCTGCAAGGCACTACTACTTGCATGCCCCCCTGCTTGTTCATTCTTTGATTTGAAATCTTCAATGGCAATTTTTAACATATTCCGCTCTTCAGAAACAGCAGAAAGCTGCAAATGTTCATGAAGGAACATTGAGAAAAGGAATGCTTGGAGGAGTGAAAAGATAAGAACCTACATCTGTTTACATGGAAGTACCAAAACCAAGCTTACCATCAAGTTCATCCTCTTAACCTCGGCTTCCAGCCGGTCAGCTTTCTCCTTAGCCAATGCAGCTTCTGTTTCAGTTTTTTGTTTATCAAGTTGGGTTTTGTCCAAAACCACCTGCATTTGTTTCAAATGGGCATTCACCTCACCCAACTTCTTCAAGTTATCGATCACCTCTCTGAATTATAGATGAAAGGACACATCGAAATAATTAGAACTGAAGATGTATTCAACCAAGATCTGAGCCTTCTAAAATTAAAGCAATGTATTCAACCGAGTTCTTAGGTATCAAATATTCAAGTGATAAAAGGGTGACATAAATCAAATTATTAAAATGGCGATTAGGAGAGGAGTTATGTAGCATACCCCTAAAAGGTGGTGGTGTGCTAGTGAACATGAAAACTACAAGTGATAGTGGCACCAAAATCTGCACCTACTCCGTTATGATATAAAACAAAATGACAGGTTCTACCAAAAAATAATGACAGGAAATTTAGAAAGACTCCCCTAATTTCTACTGTCAACCCACCCAACTTTCATAAGAAAAAGCAAGTAGGAAAAGCTATGTAAAAAATCTTTGAAGCTAGTTTTCATTTCCAGAACATATGCTTTAGTGAAGTTAAAAGGCATTGTATAAAAGTTACATACTTCTGTAAAGCTGAAATTCGCAAAGGCACATCATCACAGCACGAAACACCTGGGATATCCTGAATCATTAGCTTCCAAGCAGATAATTCATCCTCCAATTTATTAATCTTGAGCTCATATTCTTGCAACTTAGGTAATTGTAACTCAACCCTCTCTCTGCGGCTCTTTTCTTCCAGAAGTTTTTCCTTCATTAATTCAATGCTGTCATGAGCAGATTTCAGTTTTCTTGCCTCTCTGACCTCCGACTCCTGATAACATCATACCCATAGTCAGCAAGTTTCAACAAAGGCATCATCCTAGATACATCAATCTACACATCGGCAGATAACTACAGAGGATGAAATAAACAGAAATTTTTATGTTGTAAAGTACTAATGCAGGAGTCATACAACAGCACAACAAAGTGAAAACGGAAAGTAGAGGCACGGTGTTCACAAGAACTTCGCGAACTTCAACAAGTGGCCCTCCCCCAGTCGATTGGCCATAAATGTAATCAATCCATCTAAAAGGGTCAAGAAGCAGTCAGGCACCAGCACTGATTGTGATGAGTAATTGTGTATCACAATCCATCAAGAACGGTAAATAGCCTTGTCGAGATGGTCAAAGGGGAACAGAATCCATCCATTTGACAATTTCTATACTCACTGCCACAAATTTTGGATATTCCATAATCTACAAACACATTGGCTACAATTTCTAAGTTTCTTAATTCAATTATTAATACCAGGGCAGGACCCACTTCCCATGATCTACCTCTTAAAATCTCTTATCCAGACAGTCATGTTTTGAAATATATTATTTTCAGAATCTATTTAATTTAAAATGTTCACATCCCCCGAGGTATTCGTAGGATTAAAGACGAGGGGTACGTAAGTTTCTCTGTTTTCATTTATGCCACATTTATTGATTGGAAGTGAGACATTATAGTCAATAGTTTGTATTTCCGTGGGCCAAGTTCAATGCTAGTTTCACCATATTTTTTGCTTCTTAGAATTTAGGAGCTAAGTACCTAGCTCAAATAAGCATATGACCTATCCAAGTGGTGAGTGGAAGTTGATGGCAAAGTAGCAAGCACATTAACATCAGACATCACTGAAGTACCGGCAAAAACTTACATAGTTCCGAAGCTCTTCTTGTAGATGCTTAACCAAAATATCACTCTCCTTAGGAGAATCATCTTCGAATGAGAGGCTTGTTAATCTTTTCTCTAATTCACTCTTCTGGTGCAAGCACTGGAAAAAAAAAAATACATCAGAACTTTACGAACAAAAAGAAATCAAACATTTATTTCATGAACTCGAACTTCTTAATGAATCTTCACTCCGTAAGCAAAAAGCTAACAACTCCGTCAAGCGCCATACAGTAAGCAGGAGATAAGAACATCTTCACAAAGTCATTTCGGTATAGTGACGAGTCAGGCATCTTAATGGGTTGGGACACGCATCATATTGTTGTGTAACTTTGACTAAATAAGCCAGCAGGGAGAACCTAAGTATCATGATCAATATGTAAAGAAAGGCACCTCGGAAAATTTGGACTGCAGATCCTCTTGCTGCTTCCTCAGCAGCTCAACTTCTTGCTCGGAACTTTTAGCTCTGAATTCCATTTTCTCAAGCTGAAATAAGAGAGGTTCAAGTTAGCCAAGAACAGAGGCCGACTTTGTCAGATTATATTGTACTTCACAAATCTGACTACTCACATCCACAGTTATCTTCGTAATGGAAAACTTGGAATCCCGGTTCAGCTGAGCAAGTTCATTATTGAATCGCTTCTTCTCCTTTTCTATGCTTTTAGAAATATGGCCAAGTTTTGCCTCCAACTCTTTTGCTTTATCTTCAGCAGCAGCTGCAGTGGATTCTGCTTTCTTACGAAGGTTCTGTTCATTTTCAAGCTTTGCCTAAAGCAGAAGCAAATAAACAGGGTACATTTAATATAGTTCAACACATAACGAAAACTAACTCCAAAAAACATATAACCAAAACCGAAAAGATCAAATGGATAAAGCGAGTCGGTAGTAAAGGATGCCAAAACATTGATGATGCATACCTGAAGTTTGGCAGACAATTCTAATTCTTTTTTCAACCTTTCATGGGAGTCATTAACCTCCTTCAGTAGTTGATCATGCAATGCTTGCTCTCGTCCTTTCGCAGCAGCAAGTTCTTGCTCTACATATGATAACTTCTCCCTAAAAGTCTTCCTCTCCTCATCTGCAAAGGGTTACAATTCTACATGAAACTACAGACTCATGCTTATTGGGATGGAAAAAAAGTTAAAACAGATTTCAAGATACCATAGTATATTCAAAGGAACTATTTTAAAAGGAAAATCTAACACCAAGGAAATAACAAACTCCTATAGTACATATCCTAGCATGTCCAATTTCTGAGATGGAGAAATGCCTGTAGGATATCCCAGCCCTTTCTTTGCTTCTCAACTAAATTAAGTGAACCAAGCTCTTATGGTCATGTTACTAGTTATTCAACATGCTTCGAACTGGGGAAAAAAACAGTATATTTGAGAGTGCGCCTGCATTACTGCAAGAGTAACTGGTTGCAGATCCAAAAATCAGTTCTGGCATGGAAAACTCTATAAGCAAACAAACTAAAGGGAAGAACAAATGATTACCCACCAGCTTTACCGAAGTTATCATTCAATTCAGCCAGTTTAGACTGATAGTCCTGAACTTGCTTTTCTGCATTGCTCAAGGCATCGAGAAAATCTGCTTTAACCTACAAAAAACACATATGGGCTCAAATTCAAAACTACATGTGATATAGATTATGAAAAAAGTTCAGAGTGAAGGCATAATGGATAATGATGATTAAAAACCAAGAAAATTCAGAACAAAGGAATCATGTTCTAAAAGCAGCTATATGTTCAAAGAATATCCATCTCCTCCCACAATTGTCTCATGTGGAGAAACCTACCTATCATCAGAGCATTGGAAAACCCTAAAAACTTGAGTAATTAAGAAAGATCGTCATTCCACCAAAGGTTTGCAGCACCCATAACCAATGCTTTGCACACTACCTAACCTTAATTTGATACAAGAATTTGATTATAGGAGAAGAACAAGCACCCGAAAGCACAAATTCTCATATCACTGCTTCGTCTTTGTTTTCCGAAAGTGAAGAGAAAGATGGAAACCAATTAAAGCTACAACTACAATTTTTTGGCTAAGAACGCAAACACTTACCTAAGCTATAATACTACTTCTCGCTTCTAGAATCACCCGCGCGCCACGGGCGGAAAGGCACAGATAGGATCGCAGCAAAAAACAGAAATCCCTAAGAACGAATTGAGTGTTCTGATTCTTCTGAAGAATAGGTTAAGAGAGCGAACCATTTGCCGGCACTGGTAGGTGCAGAGCATGTGTTCTGACTGTTGGGAGGGCTCCCGGCGAGCAGGACCAGCAGAGGAAGGATCTTCATAGATAGCGAGCTGCCGGTGATCGGAACCGACGGGCGGGCTCTCGATGATAGGAGCGGGTTCGATTGGCCTCGCCCTTTTCGGAGCTGGAGTTCTGAGGATCATCCTGGGCTCTGTCTTAACTGAAAGAAGCGGCTTCACCGGCGTCGGTAATGGTTGCCGAGAGAGAACGAGAGCGCGCTATTTATTTGAAAGCAAAGGCGCCATTTGGGTTCCACAGGAGAAAGGACAGAAGGGTCGTGTCGGCTTACCCCAATGAAAAATTACGGTGGGCAGCTTTTTATTTGTTAAAGCTTTTGTTTTTATTTTTTTATTTTCGTACCCACTAGATCGAGAAAGCTGCAGCCACTCATTTTGGAGGAGGAAAAGAAAAAAATCTCTCTTCTTCCATCTCTCACCGAACTCGGTTCTCCGAAACTACTCGACATCTTCTCCGGCCGGCCATCAACCTCGGCGCCGTCGACAGACACGTCTATCCCCGACCTTCTCGATCATCTACCAAACTATAGAGTAACCCGCTTCACTGACTGCCGCGGGTTATTGACGCCAGCGCCAAAGGAAACCTAAAGACTCCGCCATTTTGAATCGAAATCTCCGTCGACCTCCATAGCTGTTCTCCTGCCTCCTTATAATGGTAATATATCCATCTCCGAGTCCCGATCACCTCTTAACAGCATCTGATTTGGTCAGATCAATACCGGTTGCCACTTTTTAAGTTCCTATGTTAACTTTTCGATTTGTTTCACCAGACCCAAAATGGGTTAGTGAGTTCGAGTTGTTGGGGGAAGTAGGAAACTAGAAGGTGAAGTCGGAGAAGTCTCTTCGCTTTTGCTGTCGCAAGTAGGAGGAAACTAGAAGCGGAAGCTGTAGAGCCAAAGAACGAGAAATCAGGGTTCTTCCCTTCTTTCTTTGGGGAAGCTTCTCTCGAATGCGAACCTTCTCCATCTCAATTGGTAATGCTTCTTCCTCAATTTACCTTTGTGTTTCTCTCATCCGACCTAGGGTTCCTGAATTTTAACTTGTTGGAAACTGAGTTATTTTCACTAGAGATGTTGTATAGAAACCCTATAATCTAGAGTTTAGGAAGGCTGTAAAGAAATAAAGAGGAGGGTGAATAACACTAAAAGAGATGAACTTTTAGTGATCCCTGTTTCACGATCAAACGAAGTTAGGATTGTTAAATGCTGAATTCAGGAGCTTCATATGCTGTGTTGGTTATCTAAGCTACTTTGCAGTTCGGATACTACTGATAGTCTATGCATCTTGCCAACATGAATGTTGCGGTAGCTGGGGTGTGCTTATCTCGCCAGCCAGCTGCCTTTCTTCTGTTTATCTTGCAGTTAGATTTTTGTGTCCCTTGTCCGCCTGGATTCTGCTGCTCATATTTGCTTGTTCCGCTGAAATATTCTTTGTTCCAACTTTTCCCCTTTCTTGGTTGGGCATTGATGATTGCGAGTGATATACTTGTGCATGCCTCCCTTTTTCTTCGTTTTTTACAACTGTCCCATGTACTGCTGCCTCTGTTTGCTTCCTCGTTGATTTAATTGCTTACCATCATAAAAAAAGGTGTTGAACTTATTTGACGGGAATCCCGGGATAGGTATTACTGCAACTACTCTGCATCTTTTAGGCATTTGATGATACTTTTTAGTGTCCTATAATCTGTGGATTGTTTGTAGTGGCTTAGGTATGTGTGATGTACCGGTGTATATTTGTATTCATGGTCTTTTGTGTAGAGAGTTGTTCTTTCCATAACTGATTTTAAGAACAGCAGCATGTTCCTTCCTACTGAACTTCATGCATTTTTGTTTTTGGTGAAAGAAAGGCTAATTATTAATTTATTAAAAAACCATAGGAAGCGAAACTCTAAATTATGTTATTTTGGTCCTCTAGAGTTATCGAAATGCAAACTTATAAGAAATTGAGACATGTACAGTAGTTTACAATTTATGCCTACTCACCATTCACAAGTTCAATCATATAGAATAGAATCTAAACTTTGCTCAGCCATGTTTGTACATAATTTGAAAAGACAATGAAAGGATATCTTTCGGACGTATTCAAGTTGTGAGAAATCTTATAGAAAAGACACTGAGAATAAGGTGTGTATTTAGTGAACGTGAGGGCCAAAATCTTGTAGCTTGTAGTTTTTGCAGTTTCCCGATTGTTTAATTAGCTGGGGAAAGTGATAGGGAGGGAATTACTTTTGATATGGGCTTCTTGTCGGTTTGAGGTTAAATGAGGTCTAATTTGCTTTTCCTTTATATCGTATTCCCTTTGTTTCTAGATCCTGTTACAATGTATTGATTGTTATGGGTTCAGGATGATTTTTCTGGGTTTGCAAGTTTTAGCCTCCGTATGTTGCTTTTTTTTTTGAGTGCATATGGTGAGTGAGTTACTAAGGCTTCTTGATTAGCTGTATGACTCAATTGCATTGCTGTATGGTGATGCTAAATTATTCAATGTTGATTGATGGGTACAATGGTCTAGCGCTTTTGGAGCTATTAATATTTGAAGCTGTTTCCATTGTGATTGTCTCTGCAGGTTGACCTGGTACTAGTGGAGGATTTTGCCTTACCGAGTTATGGCATTCACTGGTTCGAATCATCCATCTGGAGGACAACCCCATCCAGGTATCTGCTGGTTGACCTTGATTTGGTGCCACGAATTAAAGTAAAATGTGTGTGGCATACAGAAACTGTAATAGTAACAGGATGACAAATCCTATTCAATTGAGCTATGGTCTTGGATTACTTAGAAGAGAAAATGGCTATTGCCATTATTCTTATGTTCTTTTTGCTTTATCTTCATGCAATATGACTGATGCCTTATTGTTGATAGGGAGCTGCAATGATGCTCTATACAAGGAGCTCTGGCACGCATGTGCTGGACCTCTTGTTAGCCTTCCGAAGGAAGGGGAGAGAGTGTACTATTTCCCACAAGGTCACATGGAACAGGTGCCTTATTTAATTGGCTTTTGGAAGGATGATAATTTATCTTCTTGGGCTTCCTTCCTGTCTGCCTTGCCAGTGCTGCTATCTCTTGCATGCTGACTGTTCTCTCTTCCTTTATCCAGCTTGAAGCTTCAATGCAGCAAGGTTTAGAGCATCAAATGCCCATGTTCAATCTGCCGTCTAAGATTCTGTGTAAAGTTGTTAATGTGCATCGCAAGGTTAGTGAGTGGTGATTATTTTTCTTGTCAGTTGTATATTATTTTTTGTAAGTTACTAGTGATTGCTTTATTGCATTGTGGCTTGCTCTGTGTTGAAGTTACTATTTCTTTGTGGCTGATAGGCTGAACCTGAAACTGATGAAGTATATGCTCAAATTACTCTGCTTCCAGAGCCAGATGTGAGATCTCTTTCCCTATTGGAAAAAGGTTCAAGCTCGTTTTCATGTATTGTTTCTATCTTTTCTCAGCTCACCTCCTATTTCTTCATGAATCAGCAAAGTGAGATTACTAGCCTTGATACTCCCCCACCTGAACCTGAGAGATGCACAGTCCACTCCTTTTGCAAGACACTTACAGCTTCTGATACTAGTACCCATGGAGGGTTTTCAGTTCTTCGAAGGCATGCAGATGATTGTCTACCTCCACTGGTTAGCACTGCCATTTTTTTATTACAATTCTGGTTATATTATGGATAAAAATTGCTGGTTATTGACTGTATTATTTACCAACTCTGTACCAGGATATGTCCCAGCAGCCCCCTTGGCAGGAATTGGTTGCCACAGATCTCCATGGCAATGAATGGCATTTCCGTCACATTTTTCGAGGTGAGTTATCTTGGTAGTTACAAAGAGTAGCTGTGAACTTCATTGTAACTTGTGTTGTCAACTCGTTAGAGATCCATGATTTCTCCAGTTTTGGTGTACTTGCTTTTGGATTTCATTGCTATGCTATGCACGAGGCTTAGCTTTGGTTCTTCAATGTGTAATATTGGGGTTTATATATTTGATATTCATTTACTACCTTATGGCTTATACGACATTTAGGTGGAAACTTGGTGGTATACTGCTAATCTGAGCACTAAAATATTGGCTACAGGTCAACCCAGGCGCCACTTGCTAACCACTGGATGGAGTGTATTTGTTAGCTCGAAAAAGTTAGTGGCAGGCGATGCCTTCATCTTCTTGAGGTAACTTCATTATACATGATAAACTTGGCTTTGATTTCACACATAGCTGGATCATACACTGTTGATTCATTTTCATTTATATATTGGAAGGGGGGAAAGTGGAGAGCTTCGTGTTGGAGTTAGGAGGCATATGAGACAACAGACAAACATGCCATCTTCTGTCATATCAAGCCAAAGTATGCATCTAGGTGTTCTTGCGACGGCTTCTCATGCGATTGCAACTGGAACTCTTTTTTCTGTCTTCTACAAGCCAAGGTTCGTGCGGTTTGCTTAATTTGTTAGCTAATTGTCTTTCATGCGTTTCTCTGGTCTTTCCTTATAAGCTGTACGGTTACAGTATTTACAATGTCCCATATTAAAGTAATTGTTACATCTGAAATGTAGTTTTACTTATCTTGTTTTTTGTCTGAGCTTTCCTCTGCCAAAACCATAATTTTCTTGGGTATGATGCCTATGGTATTTGTTTTCTGATGTGGGTGCATAACATGATTATGATTCCTTATCCCAAGACTTGTCTTATCCTTTTGTTATTCTGGCCTAGATATGTTATGGTTTCAAAGCTATACGTTCTTATGTTAGCTTTATGTTATTCTGGCCATAGCTTTATGTTGGCTTCCATGACTTGAGGGTATTTTCCTATTGATGGGAACTATCATCCTATTCAAAGTGTCTTCTTTATTGTGCTTTCTGGTTTGTCAAAGACCCTTGCTTGTGGAGTTGGTTTGCCTTTGTCTAAAGACAATTCAGTGTATTCTTTCACCTTGGCTGAAACTGTTGTAGAATTATAAATTATAGCTGAATCAGCAATCTGTTTGCAGGACAAGTCGGTCCGAGTTCATTGTAAGTGTTAACAAATACCTTGAAGCTCGAAACCACAAGCTATCTGTTGGAATGAGGTTTAAGATGAGATTTGAGGGCGAGGAAGTTCCAGAGCGAAGGTCTTATCTCTTAAAGTTGATTGGATGAAATATATGCTCCAACTAGTTGTAGTGTGTAACCTCACTCTTGTTGAAAACTACAGGTTCAGTGGCACAATTGTTGGTGTTGGTGAAAACTTATCATCAGGGTGGACTGATTCTGAATGGAGATCTTTTAAGGTTAATGGCCCTTCCATCTCTTCATTTTATCTTAACAAAGTTGAAAGCTGTGAGAGGTCTTATTTCTTGGTTCTTCATCTTTGTTTATAGTGTTGATGAAGAGTTGTCCAAATATTTGAAGCAAAACTCAAAAGCTTTATCTTTCTCCCAATGTTTTGCTTTTGTCCTTGTTCAAAAGGTCCAATGGGATGAGCCAGCTTCAATTTGGCGACCAGATCTAGTATCTTCTTGGGAACTGGAGCCACTTGTTGCAACTGCTCCTTCAAACTCTCAACCAATGCATAGGACTAACAAGCGGTCACGGCCATCCATTTTGCCTTCACCGAGTCCTGACCTTAATGCCCTTGGTTTGTCATTTACTTGTTTTTCCTTTCTCAATTTTATTTGAATCGGCTAGTGGCAATAACTTGCTGTTTTCACCTTAATATATTAGGCATGTGGAAAGCACCTGTTGAGCCCTCCAGTCATTCGCATCTTGATTCACAACGAGGATCCCTATATCATTCACCCACTTATCCTGTTAAAACAATGGCAAACTCAGCTGGCTTCAGTGGGAATAGTCCATTATCTGCTGTTACCACCACTTCGTCAATGTATTGGCCTAAACAGGTGGAGGGTGTTACAGAGTCTCTTTCCCCAGCCGTTAACAGAATTTCTGGCGACATGAAGCAAGGCTCAGGGAATGGCTACAGGTTGTTTGGCATTCAGCTGGTTGATAACTGCAATAGGGAGGAAACATCACCAGTTGGTGCTGTTTCAAAACCAGGACAGGCCGATTGCCCAATTCTGTCACTAGATGCCGAGTCTGACCAACAGTCTGAGCCATCAAATTTCAATAGATCTGAAATCCCTTCAGTAAGTTGTGATCCTGAGAAATCAAGTTTACGATCTCCCATGGAGTCACATAGCAGACAGGTCAGGAGCTGCAAAAAGGTATATACCTTCTTCTGTCCAATATTTGCAGTATGTAGAAATGCTTCTTCGTTCTGGTTTGGTTAGCAAGCTGCACTTGCAATACACAGGGATATTGTAATGAGCCATAACTGAACCATAGCTGTTCATCATTAGCTGATTTCATTGTATGATATTTGTGTCAGTTGCATTACGGGTAATGAAATCGGTTTCTAGGTTCACATGCAGGGGATTGCTGTTGGAAGAGCTGTAGATTTGACACAATTTGAGTGCTATGATGACTTGTTAAGGAAGCTGGAGGATATGTTTGATATTGAAGGTGAGCTTAGCGGCTGCAACACAAAGAAATGGCAGGTTGTCTACACAGATGATGAAGATGACATGATGATGGTTGGAGATGATCCATGGCAGTAAGTTCATTGTTACCCTTCGCTATTTCCAATTTGACGGCTGGTTATTTATTTCAAAAAATACAAGGGCACTAGATTTTATAAATCATTTGGTAGTTGGAAGAATGTGTCTTTGAGAATGCATACATCTAAATAAGGTGATTGTATAAATCAATTGATTGTCAGAATAAATTTGGAAGTTGCGATAGTGATTGCGACATATCAACTGACCGCCTTTTTAGTGATAAGTTGATTGTATAATTCTCTCAGGGGTGAAAATTTTGAAATCTCAGCTCCAAGTTACGGTTTTGATATATTTGAAAGGAATCATTCTCTGTGAAGTGCATAATTTCATTGTGCCAACTATCCTAGCGTTTGAAATGCATGCATTATCTGTGCGCACCATCTGGTAAGCCTTATGTGGAAGCCTGATGACTTCTACATTTCTTGTGTGTTCAGCGAGTTCTGTAGCATGGTGAAGAAGATATTCATCTACACAACAGAGGAAGTTAAGAAGCTGTCATCTAAGACAAAACTGCCGGCCATGGAAGAGGTCAAAACAACCAGTGCCGATGTTGACGTGGATGCATCAGCTCATATGGAGGATCAGTCATCCATTATTGGGTCCGAAAGCTGAACTGCTCCCAAAATGTTTAAACGGTAAGTGGGTCGAAGAGAGGGTTACTTAATGGTTGGGAGGTGGCATTTGTAACTGGGTAGCCATTCAACGAGTGAGTTGTCTGTGGATTATAGCTGTTGGGGCTTTCTATTTTGTTTCACCCTCAGTTTTTTGTTGCCGTCATGGTAAAGGTTAGAGTGTGTTGGTTCTTGCCTGTTCAAGTTCAAGAAGGGCTGAACAGCAGCTTCTCCATACGCGACCCTATCCCATTCTGTGAATGAAAGAATACTCGTATCCGATTTGCATTTGTTCTGTTTCTGAAACAATGGCAGCTGGTGCCCTTGTGTATCCCTCTGTTGGGTGGACTTTGTTTTAATTGTGTGATGAAAAAACTTTTCGATGTTCTAATTCTTCCCTGTGTATAACTCCAGGCTCAATGGTGGCGTGTTGGAGAAGAGCTCAGGTCCTTGATGTATTAGGCCATTCGATGGTACGACATGTTTCCTTTTAAGTGCGTACGAATATAGTTTGTCCCTTAAGTTACTTGAACAAGTGCGAGATTTACTTGTAGCGCAAGGTTGGTTCATCTATTTAGCCGAATCATTTGATCATACTTGATTGGCATATGGTATCAGCGAATACCCAAGAGCATAACATTTTCTTTTTAACATAATTGAGTACTTAACCAAGTTTTCATTAACAAAGATTGAATCAAGAAGAGTAAGAACAACAATAAACAAGGACACCAATCCATGAAAATGTTGCCTTTTGCCTCAGGTGAGTTGCCCGCCTCATCGTTGATTGGAGCCACCTCCGGTATTTGTTTCGGCTTCCTTCCTTCCTCTCTTGTGGCTAGAAGAATGAAGGCAAGATATTTTCCAAACACTGATATCTTGGAGAGTAATTGGAAGCCAAGTTACGATGGAGGGTGGGAGATTGGTCACAAATCATTGAATGAGGGTCTAGGAGGATAATTGGATTTTTGACAAGCTTGATTTTCGCCTTGATCCCAACCCAACTCGGGGTGACCCTAATGCTTTGGTTTCAAGTTTCATTGACAAGAACTCTTGCTCATGGAATCTATCGTCCTAAATAAGGTTTTTCGCAGAAGTCTGCTAAGCTGTAATGCAAAACCTCTCTTAGTAATCCTCTAAGAGGATGAACGTATCAGGGGCCTACTCCTAAAAACGATGTAGAATTCTAAGATATCAACTAAGGTGAAGGTTTACTATGGAAAAGTGAGTTGATAGTCTTACCTAGTGACATCCAATTGGTAAACAAGTAAAAAAAAAAAAACGAACCCGAAACATTCTTTTGGTGACCGATACAATGATTGAGCAAGTTTGTGGTTTGTTAACTAGCGTGAGTGATCATCACTCACTATTGCTAAATTAATCGTAAAACTCAATCCTAGGGGATCACAAACCATATACTTTAATCCATCCAAATGGGAGCTGAGAAATGGGAAGTAAGAAACTTGCCCTATTAGGCATGTTTCATTTCTTTAATGTTTTTCCCCTCTAAGACAACCTCCAGTGGATCTTTTCGAGGGGGAGAAAAATAGAATACTCGCACTTTCCGTCTGTTTTCCAGGAAAGAAAAATGGGATCTTTTAGATATAAATATCAGAAAGAAAAGGAAAAAAAGAAGAAACAATGATATTGGGTTGCAGGCTGCTGCAGTTGAATTTGAGGTGATGGTGGCGCCACGTCGTTGAGATGTGAATAGAGCGGGAAAAAAGATAATGAATGGCCACAGAGCGAGTGAACCTCATGCTTCCATAGTCCATAAACAGATAACACTTCCAAGACTTCAGCCCACCATTTTTATAAAAAAATAATCTTTGCATCATAAATGAAATTGTAGTCGGTTGGCTGGCATAGCCGTAGGGCCTCCTGATGAAGAAGCAATGGTGTAGAATACAAGAAGTGTGCTTTTTTATTTTGGCTCTGATTTCTTTTATAGGCTCCCTTTTGTTCCAGTTTCTCCTCCCAAATCTGCATGTAGGTTTTTGTTTGTGGGTGTTGCCTTTGTTTTCTAGTGGTGAGGAAAAGAACAGAGAACCCACATTAAAGGGAGGGGTGGGAGGGGGGAAAAAGATCAGAAATTCTTCTGAGGTTGTCAATTCTCAACAATGCTTGCTTTTCTTATAATTTGTCTCAAGCTGCAGCAGTAGCAGTGTTGGTGATATTATTGTTTTGTGTGGTTCAGGAGTCTTCATCTTGTTTCCTTCACTGAATCTCTGGTACGTTTCCTCTCTTCTGCCTCTCTCTCTTTCTCTCTATCAGGATTGTACTGTTGATCAATTACTGAGCTTTCTTTGGTTGTGATGGTGGTTATGGTTGTGTAGAGTGCAGGTGACAAAAGGGTAGTGTTGAAGGAGTTGAGGGGTTTTTTGGTGAGTAATCTTTACTGCGGTGTGGTTGTGTACTTGTGTTCTTGTACTGTTTGCTTTTCTTGGTTGAAGCCTGAAATGTGGCTTTATATGTGAATTCTGATATTGGTGATCAATAGTTTATCTTATCTTGAAAATCAGAAGCAAGTCTTTATTGATCAATGGTTCCTTGTGCCCTTTTCTGCGCTTTCTTTCGTTGCTCTTACTTTACTTTGTTTTTTATCATGATTCTACTTGTGCTTATTGTATCTGTTCTTTATTGCACAACAGGAAGTTTGTGCATGCCACACAACTGTGTGCTTAAGGGTTTTTTTGCTTTCTTCCATGGGAATGAGCATTTGAAACTGAAGATGGTCTTTGTTGGAAGTAGAGGTCCTGGTAGAACTTGGGGAGTTTCTCTACTTCTTAGGTGTTCTTGTTCTTCTGGCTTGAATGTGTTCCACGGAAGTAACCATGGAGCGCTCGCTGACTCTGCGCGATTGAAGTCTGATAGTGCTATAGAATCTAAGAGCTTTGTAGCTGCCGACTGGATTCAAATACCTGTGTTGCTTAATTTCAATTCAGGGGAGGAGGCTGTTAGGGTGGCAGCGGGAAGCCATAACTTGAGCCATCAGGTCACTTCACCTGGAGGATGAAGTTTCTCTGGATCAATTTGTCTAGGCAATGAGGTGGGGAGGTGATGTTAGCTTGAGACACTGGTTGGACAAACCTGAAAGATCTGTTGAGGAATACGAGTGTTTGCACATATTCTCTCAAATTGTTGACATTGTAAATATAGCACATTCTCAAGGGATTGTAGTCAACAATGTTCGACCTTCTTGCTTCTATATGTCCTCCTTCAACCATGTCTCTTTCATTGAATCTGCTTCTTGTTCTGATTCTGGGTCTGATTCTTTAGAAGATGGGTTGAATAATAACCAGGGCCTTGAGCTTAGAGATTCATTCTCTCCTTTGCTTCTTGCCATCTCCCAGAAGCAGAAGAGTGCTGGTGGAAGTGAGGATTTTCGGCCTGTCTCAACAAATGCTTTCTCTGAAACTAGCTGCATTCAATCAAGTTCAGCCTGTGGGAGAGTGCCATTAGCAGAGGACAATGAAGAAGATAATAATAGGAATGTTGGGGAAGGAGAAAGAAAGCAACAACTCTTCCCAATGAAGGAAGTTTTGCTTATGGAGACTGGTTGGTATACCAGTCCCGAAGAGGCTGCTGGTTCGACAAGCTCCATTGCATCAGATATATATCGGCTTGGTGTGCTTCTGTTTGAGGTGAGGGTTTTAATTTGTATGGAACCATCTGTACTTTTTTATTTTACTTCATTTTGCTAGTGGTTGTCTGGATTTGAAGCTTCATACTCTGCTATTTTCTCTTTCTACACTGATGCTATGTAGTCCAATTGATGGACAGTTGTTCTGCCCTTTCAATTCAAGGGAAGATAAGAGCAGAACTATGTCTAGTTTGAGGCACCGAGTACTTCCACCCCAACTGCTGTTGAGGTGGCCAAAAGCAGCTTCATTTTGCTTATGGTTGCTGCATCCGGAGCCTAGCAGTCGGCCAAGCGTGAGGTGAGTAAACATTTCATATTTAAAGGTGTGTTTGGTTTGGTGTTATTTGTCTCAATTACATGCTATTCATTTTGTATTTCAATGTGCAAGGTGTATTCGTAATAACATGTTTTTGGTTTAGTGCATTTGTGTATATAATTTCTGTCAGAAATGTAGAAAGTCATGTGGAGCTCACTTTTCTAGAATGCATTTTCAGATACTCCCTACTTCCAAGTATTTGACAGTGATGCATAGGGGATTGCACTTGGAATCGTAAATGCATCCAAATAGATGATAAGTGTCGAAAATAACGATATGTTTGTTCAATTGCATGCTATTGCAAATAATATTATGTTAAATACACCCAACCAAACACCTGTTGATGGATTCAGTAATGTGTTACCTTTTTATGCCCCCTTTGCCTTTAGTTTCTGTTTTCCTATGTGTTACTTGCAAGACTTCAACAATCTTGCTTTTGTACACAGAACAATCTTGCTCTTCAGAGTTTTCTCATTATTTGTCTCCTCTACAAACAGGGATGTGTTGCAGAGCGAGTTCCTTGCTGAACCAAAAGATAAACTAGTAGAGCGTGAAGCAGCCCTACAGCTGAGACAGAGAATAGAAGAGCAAGATCTGTTGCTCGAGTTCCTGTTATTGATACAACTGAGGAAACAGGAAGCTGCTGATAAGTTGCAAGACACTGTTTCTCTTTTGTGCTCTGATATTGAAGAGGTCGTGAAGCATCCATCCTTTCACGGGAATAATGTAAGCACCGCTGCAGAAAAAGGGAAGGAAGATCTTCTAGATTCTGATCTCCTGCTCATGAACCCGTCTCAGACAGATGATCTTTTCGGCCTGGGTTCTCGAAAACGATGTCGACCTGGCTATCAGACTAATACTGAGGAATCTGATGATAACATGGAGGATGTTCAAAACTCTAGTATGATGCCATCACAAGCTCAAGGAAGTCTACTGTTTAAAAACTCACGGCTCATGAAGAACATCAAGAAATTAGAGGCAGCTTATCTGCTGACAAGATGCAGACCACTGGCAGCAGTTAGGCCACTGGGAAGATCGGTTGGTAGACATTCCCAAGTCAGCAGTGATGGAAGAGGTTCTGTTGTAGCGAGTGAAAGAAGCTCCATTAGTGGGTTACAACCAAGACCCCGCATGTTGTGGCCAGACAAACTGGATGGATTAGTCCATTCCTTGAGGGTTTGTGCAAATACTTATCTCTGAGTAAGCTTAAAGTCAAGGCGAATGTGAAGCAAGGAGATATGTTGAACGCTTCCAACCTAGTATGCTCATTGAGTTTTGACCGTGATGGGGAATTCTTCGCTGCTGCTGGTGTAAATAAGAAGATAAAAGTGTTCGAGTGTGATGCAATCATAAATGAGAACCGTGATATCCACTACCCAGTTGTTGAGATGGCTAGTAGGTCGAAACTGAGCAGTATATGTTGGAACAGCTATATTAAAAGCCAACTTGCTTCAAGTAACTTTGAAGGCGTGGTGCAGGTGTGTTGGCGAACCTTATTTCGACCTTTTATATTTTGTTCACCAAAGATGGAAAGAACTTGCTTAACCATGTTCAGGGGTACCTTTTATGATAAATTGTGTAGGTATGGGATGCTTCAAGAGGTCAGGTAGTTACTGAAATGAGAGAGCACGAGAAGCGTGTTTGGTCCATTGACTTCTCATCTGTAGATCCTACACTGTTGGCTAGTGGGAGCGATGATGGTTCTGTCAAGCTATGGAGCATCAATCAGGCAATTCTACTTTTTCCACTTGTTGGATGTGAGCTTTAAAAATTAAACGTATAAACGTTATCTGATCTTTTTCCTAAAGCGTGCAACGTTGCATTTTTGCACGTACTGCAGGGAGTAAGCATTGGTACCATAAAAACAAAAGCCAATGTCTGCTGTGTTCAATTTCCACTAGATTCCAGTCGCTCTCTTGCATTTGGTTCAGCAGATCATAGAGTTTATTACTACGATCTTCGTAACTCGCGAGCTCCACTGTGCACATTGGTTGGACACAGTAAAACTGTGAGTTACGTGAAGTTTGTTGACTCGACAACAATGGTTTCTGCATCAACGGATAACACGCTGAAGCTCTGGGATATGTCAGCCTGCGCATCTCGAGTCATTGATGCTCCACTGCACTCATTCACGGGACATATGAACATGAAGGTAAAACACCATTTTGTATCATTTTGTCATCAGACAATATGATACAGTGCTTGTATAGTCGTCCTGTGCTTAACGATTATAGGACTTGGAGCATGTGAGACTTCGGTTTATATGGAAATCGATGTTTTATTCGTTTGCATTCTTGATGTTGCAGAACTTCGTTGGTCTATCAGTGTCTGATGGTTACATTGCTACTGGCTCAGAAACAAATGAGGTAAGATCCTGAGTACGAAATACAAGGCTCGCTTTCCCCTTCTTTTGCTAAATATTCATCTCCCTCTGGAAGTTTATCATGCTGCATTTGACACCCGTTTTAATCACAGGTTGTGATCTACCATAAAGCCTTCCCAATGCCAGCATTATCGTACAAGTTCAACACCACAGACCCGGTCTCCGGGCATGAAATGGAGGACACGTCCCAGTTCATCTCATCGGTCTGCTGGCGAGGCAAGTCGTCGACCCTCGTTGCTGCAAATTCGACCGGCAATATCAAAATCCTGGAGATGGTTTGATCCGATTTGGCAAGCACACACCATTACATATACATGTAGCAATAATTTAGAGCCAGCTACAGAGATCAAAGGACCAAGTGTTGTTAAAAGCAAGTAGAGAGAGAAGAGAGGGGTGGGTACTTATTAGTAGTTGTTCAGCATTATATTAGAGCCAGTCAATGTTTTCTAGATTATTACTTAATGCTCGGTGATTTTATAGCCTTTTTTCTCCTTTTTGTCATGGGTTGGCGAAACAGAAGCAGAAGCAGATGCTGCTGTTAATTCATCCACTACTATGTATATTTTGTAATGCATATCATGGTCCAAATCATCATTCTTCTTAGTCTGTTAACGCCTTTATTCTTTAATCTTCTCTCCTAATCTTCGCTTAGGAATCCTAAACAAGACTAACATCTCCCAAGGAAACACAAACAAACACGCATCTTGTCGCACTAATTAAGCTTCATGCTAATCACATGGCATTGTCTTTATATTAGTTAATGATAAACATGCTTATAATAAAGAGTCAGTCACAGTCACGGCTTTCTAAGCCAACTTCTTAAGATTGGTTCACCAAACAAAAGTTAATCTATGATAAGATGACAATCCCAATCCAGTAAACAAGAGAGGTAATGTCAATCCCAAAACCAGCCACAACTGAAATGGAATCATGCCGATCACAGTTATTTCCCACTAGTATTTCACGACTTGCCTACCCCTATTTTGCAGCTGTTTTTCTTTTTTCTGCCACATTCGCACCATGAAAGTCTACAAGTAACAACAGCTACTATTACTGCAGAATCGTTGACAGTTCTTCACAGCCCAACTCCTCAGTTAAAAGTGTTGAACAATGGTGTCATCATTCACACTTGCTGGGCTCCCCACAGAAACAGAGTCAACTACTACAAAGTAAAGTAAGGCATGATCCAATTATTGGAAAATAGTTCACAGTAAACATATTCAAGAAAAGGGTTAAAAGGGTACACCAAAATCAACTGTTAGAAGAACACAAACAAAAGAAGAACTCTATAAGATGATGGAGAACCTACAAAAAGAGAAAAAGAAGAGTTACCCTTCTCCCATTCTATAATTCTGTAATCTAAAGCCGCCCCCTCAAACAGATCATATCTATTTCTGTTGACAACAACAACTAGCTGCTTGCCTTGCAACTCTGGTAACAATGATCCCGATGGCTGCAGCAGCAACTCCAGCATCATACCAACCCAAAAAATAAATTCCTCTTTTCTTACATTAAGTTTCTCAATGAGCTATATATCTAGGTCTGTAGACTGGGAATGAACCCAACTTCCCCCTTTCAAGTTGTTTCCTTGTATCAGCATGCAAGCAAGAATCGTTTCTTGCAAAATCTATTTACACTGATTCTCTCCACGCCTTGCCATCAGAGCTACCCTAGCTATCAGATGTTTAAGCCGGTCTGCTCCTGGACCTGGCTGGACTTTGTTAATGTCCCCAACTTCAGTGCAGTCGGGGCTATTCGAACACCACCCACCAGGGGTGAATGCCCCGACCTTCCTGCCAAGCAAATCGTTGTCAATCTTATCTAGGACGGGGTCGTTGTGCTGAAACTTCCTAGCAAAGGCAGCACCACTTGCAATCATCCTTTCGGTGTCGTTGAGGGAGAGTACATGTGGATGCTGCTTTGGAGGCGTATCCCAAGCAATGTAGTGCAAGTCGTGATTGATAGCCGTCCGAGCATACTCCGGCGCATTGCAAATTACCGTGTGGAAGTAGCCCTCAGGAGAGGACACAAAGTTTGCATAATACATGAGCAACGTTCTCGGTAGGTTATCCCAGCCCCAGATTAAGTATTCGACAAAAGGACGGGTGAGAACCATCCATGCAGAACCTGTGGAGCAAAAGATGAACATATGGTTTGATAGTAAGTAGTTGGCAAAGTGGCATGTATGAATACTTTGGACATACCACGAGTTACAACTAAAGCAGTGAGAAGCTTTTGAACATAGATAGATAGTGAAAACGGATATCATCGATGGTTTTCATGAAAACTTGATCAAGCAATAGATACATTGTCCCAGAAGCATAGCCAAACTCCTAAACCATTAGATTAAGGAGACTAATAGAAGCTATTTCCAGTGAAACATAGAGCTTCTATTCAGTGATGAACAACTAGTGATTTGAAACTATCAAGTAGAAGATGCTGATTGATTGTAGCGACTGAAGTGTCCGGCTTTGACTTCTACCTTCGTAATGATAAAATTTACTAGGATCTCATAAAAAGAACTTTGTAAAAGGTAGGGAAACCGTTTGCAATTAGACAAAGTGAGTGAAAAACTACACAGTCAGTGAATACTAATTAATGAGTAGAAAGACAGAAATTTCAACTGGTTTTAGCATAGCGGTAAGCATGCAGCAGTGAAAACACATGAATAGGTTAATTACATATACTAACCAGTAAACAACTTGAATGCTGTTGGCAGAGGTCTCCGAGGGTTAGCCCCAAAAATGTCTTCCTTAGTGGTGGAATAGAGTCCAGGATCCACGATTAGTGGCATTGCTCTCTTTTCCCTGAATAACACCATAGGGTAGCCTATTACTTACTACTAACAACTCCTAAACTTCTACCTCCACTGTGGATGCTGATTTTAAAATTTCTCGGGAGTGAGGTGGAGAAACAGGGAATGGAACTTACTCTTTCCAACCCAGCTGACTAGTATGCTCGATGAAGTTAAGATTTCGGTTCAGAGTTGAGAAAGTGTCCAGAAGATCTGCATCACATAGCAAATGAGTAAGTACCCATATAGAAAGCAGGAGCTTCCTATCGAGAAGATGAAGGCCCCAAACTAAATTCACTTTGAAGACATAAAACTGACCATCTTGCGTCACAAGAGGATAATCAGAAGCACTGAGGTTGATGAACCAATCCCACTCTTTACTTCTTTTTAGAAGAATTGCACAAGCATGTAGTGTATTTGAGACCATGGTGGGTCCTCTATAGGTCACCATATTAGCTTTGGAGTTCATGTAGACGTTCCCATACTTGGAGAAAATCGGATGCTTCTCCACTCTTGCAGCAAGCTCTAACCTTTCCTCTGCCGGGGATTCAAGATCCAAGTGCACAACGTAGTGGTTTCTCGGATGGTAAAGGGCATGAAGCGTTCTCCAAAGCTTATCCAGGTCACCTTTGGATCCAGATACCAAGTAAGCAAACCTAGGAATTTTAGGACCGGGGGGAGGTGGAGGAGGAGATTGTAGAACAACTTTTGTTTCAGCAAAACCTTTGCCTCCTGTTTGGTTGACACGGGACGGGAAAATATTGAAGATGTGATTGATGGTGTGGAGTGAAGAGATGAGACCCATGTTGAATGAAGTTGCTAAGAGGAAGACACATATGAGAGAGCTTATGACTAGAGGGAAAACCCACTTCTTCTCCATGTTCAGAGACCCCATTGCAGGACCTTATCATGGATTCCAATGAATGATCCTCTCACATCCAATTTCAAATGAGCACTTAAGAAACTCTTTCTCCTCTGTACTATAGAGCGGCTCTTGCCTAGGATGCCACAGGACGAGACTTTGTTTGAATACAGAAGAAACAGGCTGCTCTACATAAAACAAGAACGATTTAAACCCATTATTATCATCACCACGCCCTGGTGGTATACATTGAAATTGAAGACCATTGTAGTCGATCAAAAATGACAAAAAGGATAATCAAACAGGTAACATTCATTGAAATATACAAAATTAATATAAAAGATACCAAAAGCGTTCAAATAAGTTCTGGAAAAATTAAGCTACAACAATAGGCAGAAAATGCATCACGGGGGAACCAAGCCTCTACCTACTAGAAGCGGCCAGGGTTAATTATAGGTATTTTTTATTTTTTATTTAATCTTAAAGGAAACATTTCAGTGTTCTAGCTCAACAATGCTACGAACCAGGAAATTCTCCCAGCTAAAGATCCCAGCTTTTGAAAAACCAACTAGGTAAAAGGATCCCTTTTACCCTTCTGATACACGAAACAATCAACACCGCACATCTCCACAACCCAATCAGCTAAATCGCAGAAGAAAGAGATCGCGAAATTAAGAAAGAAACACAGAACCCAAATACGGCAACTCAAGATTCAAATTATATGGATCAATGAAGAGAAGAACCCAGTACTAGAAACAAATCCAGAAATGGGGAAGCAAGGAACTCAAAAGATTAAAGAATCGATTGAATTACGAATCACACAAATGGCCAAACCAATAATACGCTGTGTTTCCCGGAAAAGGAAAGAAATCTAAAGGGCGCAAAAGATTGGCAGAAACCAAAAGGAACAAAAAGAAGAGCAGAACCCAGGTAGGGACAGAGCGTTCCAATCAATCATCAGCCATGTAACTACCTTTTTCTTCCAATGCAGATTGCAGGGTGGAGTTGAATCCAGCTCCCTTTTCTCCTGGGGCGTCTCTGAGAATGGGGCGGAGGAAAGGAAAGGGGAAACTAGATGGAAATACAGAGAGCGATGGAGAGAGCGTCGTGATTAAAAGAATTGCTAAAAAAAAAACCTCAGATACGAGAGAAGCACAAAGAGAGACAGCGAATGGTTTCAATGTGAACAAGAGGAAATTTTTCAGAAAGAAACAATTTTTATTTTTTGAAGGAGACTCGTGTTTCTCTCTCCCTCTCTTTTCCCTGCGGGGATGAAGAGAGTTTCTATTATTGCGAGCAAATTGCGGATTTTTAGGTTTTCTTGTTCCTTCTTTCCCCCTCAAATTTCCCTTCTGTTTAAAAAAATTCCCTTTTGTTACTCTAGGCTAGGGGAGAAAAACTACACTTCACTCCTTCTAGACCTAGCAATCGGGTCGAATTGAGGCCTATGGTTACGGGTCGAGTCATGTTGTGTTGTCTAATTTCGGATCAAATATTGACCTAACCCATTCGATTTCGGGTTGGGTTACAGGTCACTTCGAGTTATGAGCGCTCTCAGAAACAATATCAAACATGCTTAATGAACACAAATTTTTACATATATATGAAAATAGTTTACCTAACACATGTCAATTAACATATCTCAAATCCCATGCTAATGAAATGGAATATAAATCGGGCAAATCGTCAAAAAACAATCACAAGAGTAATGCTACTACAAGAAACTCATGATATTTGATTATCCTTAAACTCCAAACATGTCATTCAAATCCTTATGAATTTTTTTAAATATCTCAACAATTTATGAGTGATTATATCATTTTGGGAGTGATATATAAAATGGAACGGGTCTTACGAGTCGACCCGCTAATCCACCCAACCCGACCCAAAAAATCACTCGTTATCGGGTTCGGGTCATTCGAGTTATAAAAACTTCTACTTTTCGAGCGGGTTCGGATCGGGTCAACGGGACGGGTTGTAATTTGCCAGGTCTAACTCCCTCCTTAATCGTCCCTTGCCAATTCAAAAGCGGACGGATACCTCAATGCTCATAATATCGGTCGCATTTTTTAATGTTAAATCATTTTGGATAATCTGAATTGGACATCAGTGAAGACTCAAGACGTTATATCTATAACATCTATAATTAAAATAAGAGTAAATACAATTTAATATCCAAACCTTTCATTTTAAACAATATAATAGCCAAACCTTTTTGAAAACAATTTAATATCCAAATCGTCAACTTTCTGTCTATTTGACCGTTAGTTGACACTTCAAAAAAGTTCGAAGTACGACACTTCATCAAAATCTATCGATATCTTCTCTGAAAAACCACAAACATATCGTAGTTTCAAACCGAGAAGTCCATGACTCCACCATGATGGTATAGAATATCTAAATATTCACTCATCTGCAATGCCAAAACAAGAAAACAAAGTTGTATTGTGACAATTTCCCCTAAACAAAGTTTTTTTGAAGTGTCAAGTAACGGTCAAACGAACGAAAAGTTGACGATTTGGATATTAGATTGTTTTCGAAAAGGTTTGGCTATTATATTGTTTAAAATGAAAGGTTTGGATATTAAATTGTATTTACCCTTAAAATAATATGCTGTAAAAACTCGTCTGCAAAAATCAGACTTTTGCACGTTCGTGTAGAATGACGTGAGTTGCTAATATAATTTTCCTTATGAGCATTTTCAAAGAATGACTCCAACCCCAACACATCCAACTCGCTAAAAATGGTAAAAGAACATGCCTCCACGATCCATAACAGATCCCTCCAAGCCCAGAGCCACATCTACTCATCTAGTATTCCTCGACATACACATCACTCCATAGTGATAATGGTTATGATCATGGATCTACACACCGAGTTCTTTGTGACCATGATCGTCGACCAGAGATTCTCTTTGACCGATGGAACCCTCCTTTCCACAAAATAATGCTAGAGAACATGAAGGACGAAATGGGGGGAAACGATAGAAATTGTGGAGATTGCTACTGAACAAAAGCAGGCAATCAAAGCCATGAACTTTATAGACAGCTGACTACTTTAATCCATCAATAGTGCAGAACAGCATATAAACCAGCTTCCTATAACACAAGTACACAACCAACTCCACAGAGGTTCCCCACTCCGCTCAACAGAGGTCTAGTTCCCTCCGTCTGTTCCGTTATCCGCAGTCAATCTACGATAATCAAAATTGTTACAACCTATTGGGAAGAAAACTCAATGACCCTAACATCAAAGTGCAGAGGTGCCAAGAAGCCCAAGGTTCCAACTTTGCTTTAATGTTCAAAGGGAGAGGAAATGAACGTAAACCCGTACCACAGCTATCAGCATTCCAGCTTCATTCGGATTTGTAAAATTTAACCAAGTAGGAGTTTTCTGAATACCATCTCGACGTATTAGAACAAAGCTAGGACAAGTTGTGCTCACGCATCAAAGCTTCGATCTTCTCAACATCTTCCGGGGAATCAACACCATGAGCTTCGTGGTCAACCTTTATTACCTGATAAATCAGTAAAGTTTGCTGCTTAGTACAAACAGAATAACTAAATTCTTCTGTAAATTTTTCATTGTAGTTCAACTCCATATCTTAAGTCCATACAAAAATCCATATCTAGGAATTCCAAATCAGTGTGGCCTCTATTAAGTGTTGATCACTACAGCCAGCCTTCATTAAGTCAAGGGTAACATAGTCACATAGATTGATTGTTCTGCTTGATTCACTGCATTCAATCATTTTTGGAATTGCTCATTTTCGTTTTTGCATCCACATGCTTATCTATAACTAGCCATTTTATTTAGTTCAATGTGAAGAATAAATGTGTGGTGTCAAGACATTCAAAATACTGTGACTCAGCCAAGTTAAATCATAAGGCCAAACAAAACCACCCACCTTCATTTTGTAACCATTCTCAAGGACTTTAAGCTGTTCAAGATCTTCTTCTAGTTGCAGAGGTGTAGGTGGAAGTTCTGCGTATAGCTTCAGAAACTTTGTATCATAGCTCTGGAAAGACCATATCACATCATTGTGAAGAGTTAAAAACACAATTTGGCTAGTGCTGTACAGCAATAACAAAACGCTGATTCTCCCTTTTATTAATGTCCTGATGCAGAAAACAGTAGCAAGGAACACTCTTGTCCATACCTGAATACCAAGGTGGAGCATATAAGGAAACCTTGGATTGACTTTTCCTGATCTGCATTTAGTAGGTTCAAACATCATCGTCTTGTCCAAACTAAAGGTTAAAGAACTAGATACAGTAAAAGGAAATCAAGATGGAGATATTTGATAAGCTCACTTATTATAGGGTATCAGCCCTCTGGAAAAATAGATGGCGTAACCTTTGTTATCCACCACGCATTTGACACGGTTAGGATCGAATGCATCTTCAGGTTTCAAAGCTGTTACAGCTGTGCTAAACACTGCATCTGGGGCTGCCTAGATAGACAAAATGTGACTTCAGTTAAAAAAAAGCACCCGATGAAACCTTATCGTGTAAAGAAGCTACAAGTAGGCAATTCTGAAGCTTCTGCTCAGAAATCTGGCAATCTGAAATTAATAGAGGAAAGTAGGAAACGGCACATAACTTACCTGCAAAGCTTTGACAATTCCATCAATTATCTCGGGTTCAATCAAAGGCTCGTCTCCCTGAATATTGACGACAACATCATATTTTTGCTGAAGCTTTTGTAGAGCTTCATTGCAACGTTCAGTACCTGTTTACACACCATGAAATGTTGTAAATCAAGATGCAACGACAAAAACCAGCAGATAAAGAGATGAAACTATTACACCACTGGCACCAAAGTATCTCACCATTGCGACAGGATTCTGAGGTCATTATAACATCAGCACCAAACCCTCGACAGCATTCTGCTATCTTTTCATCATCCGTTGCCACAACTGCACCAGCAAAGGCCTCTTAAAATCAGATATCCCAACTCCCAAGCATGGGCGACAAGCACACGTCTATGCAAATTCCAAATTCCAGCCAGAGACACAGCTTAAATTTTGAAAAACCACCAACAATATACAATACAAACTAGACGCAGCTGAGGGTAATGGCTCGGCGTACCTACATGATTCAGAGAGGTCGCAAGCTTAGCCCTCTCCCAAGTTCTCTGCAAACGATCCAACGAAATCTCTAGTCAAATCAATTTACACAAACCTCCTTCCTCTGGGTTCCAAATAATTCCAGTAAAGATCAGAAATTTGTCATTTCTACACATAATTTTACTTGATTCAATAATGCATCGGCCGAAAGCAACAGAGTACGAAAGCCAGAGGATGCATTCAAGAACCAATGAAACGAATAGCATTGAATCCCCAGAGAAAGAAAGCGAAAGGGAAATCGCACCTGTATCATGGGTTTCCCCAGGATTTGAACGAGCGGCTTGCCGGGGAAGCGTGAAGAGGCGAAACGAGCGGGAATGATCCCAACGACGCGGCTCCTAAACTTTCTGGATCCGCCGAGATAAGTTCGAGCTGCGAGAGCGGCGGCAATGGCGGCACCGGCTACAATGCCGTGCACGATCCATGCCTTGGTCGATGAGAAGGAGGAATCCGACGACGACGACGAAGAGCGAGATGCACGATCCATTTCTCCTCTTCTCTTCTGTCGCTTTTCAGGTGCTCTGGCTCCTTCAGTCAGTCAAATCATGAACGACGAGGTTTGGCCTTCACTCTTCACTCGATATGGGCCCTAGACTGCCCAGCCCATATAAATCCTCGTAATCGGCCCAGCCCAGATCGCGAACTTGGCGATTTTCTTCACCATTTTGTACAATTCATCATGTTTAAATGATTGGCAACAAAATGTCAATTTGCAGGATTTAAGATGGACAATGCTCTGCAGTTTTGAACTTCCATTCATACATCAAAGACATTAATCACTTAGTTGGTTTTAAACGTTTGATGAAGGCATTAATATTGTAGGCACTGTCATTCAAAGACTGCATCATTAAAACTGCCATACATTGAATTTGGCCTGCCTGTATACAGTAAAAATGAGATTTCTTCTCATAAGAAAACATGCAGAGAGTAGTAACAAATGGCTACTGGTGAGCTTGCTTCAATATACATGCAAGCAAAGCCTTTAGCTCTCTAGCTAGCTCTCTCACTCTCGTAACCAATCTTCACTCTCACTCTTCACGTAAAATGCATCCGAAAAATTAATATCGAACATCGAATTAGGGATATGAACCCCAAGGGGGAAAAATAAACAGAAGAGATAAAATACAAGAGAACTGATATCATTGATATGAATGTAGAAGGAAGGAGGCATATGGATGAAGGACTCTTTGTCATCTCTTCAGTTCTTGTTTGCAGAGAGGGCAACATGATATGATCCTGAGCCATTGATCCACACATTTCAAGTGAAACATATGTAAACATGGAAGCTGTCTTACTTCTTCCTTGTCTTTGTATTTTGCTAGACAAATGCAACATTCCTAATCATCACCACAGTAGAAAAAAAGATGTCAAGTTTTGTATAAGATTGAATATGACAGAGCTGTGCAATAAGGTGATCTGGAAGAGAAGAATTATTGTTAAGACTTACCTCACTTGCAGGGGCTGAATTGGAATCTTCATCTTCCTTTTCGTCGTCATCGAGACTTTTGTAATTCCAACTTGGGAGGCTGGAGATTTGGTCATCGGAGGCAGCTCTGTCAGCAGAGCCCATGTTCATGTTGTAGCCAAGGAAGGTGCTGATGAGAGGGACACAGCAACACAGGAGCAAGAACAACAGGAAAGGGAATGAGTAGCAGACTGCGTTCCATGCTAGGAGGGAGACGCAAAGCACATTGAGCTTCGGAGCTCGGTTGATCGACCCGAATCTTGAGTCGAATATCCAGACGTTTCCCATAACAAACCAGATTGCAAAGAATAGCTCAAGCGACGTCCGACATTTGTTCATCAAGTGGGTGCACCGGTACACGCTGCTACTGTTTCATAGAAATGGGGGAAATTTTCTGTCATGCATAAGAACAACGAACCAGAAGACTTGGAAAAAAGGAGTTTCATTTCACCTGGACTCGTTGATTCTCTGCTGCTCAAGATCGGGAAGTGGAAAGCCTTCTTCTCCATGTGAGCGGTAGAGTTGTCTGAATCGACCGTAGAGCAAGAGCAGGTTGAGTGCGCAGCCAATGTCGTAACCAACTACCCAAATTCTCATGGGCCAAACAGGCTTCTCTGTTTTGGAAACCGACAGAGTGAAGCCACTCACGGCGAGCTGAAGGATCAAAGCTACAAGCTCCAGCAACATCCAGGTCCTGGAATTGAAAGGGTTGGTGTCGAGATCGGACCTTGAGCCATTCTGGTAGTGGAAGACCCTTCTCAGAAAGCTGAACCATCTAGCCCTTGAGACCCTCATCGCAACTCGTATCAAGAACGAGGTAGGAGGGGAACGAGAAGACCTGTTTCTGACGCCGCTTACATCTCCTTCTCCAGCTTGAGAATTTGATGCATATGGAGTTGCAGAGCCTGATGAGTTATACAATGAACCTACTGTAAAAGGGTACCTCATGTTCATTCTCATCTTTCAGAATTTCGAAAATGGGCAGGCTCTAGAATAGCTCAAATAGCTAAAAGAAGAGAAAGAAAGATGATTTGGTGAACGTAGGAGGGGAAAAATGGCAGCTTTCTTTTCCTTTCCTTCCTTGATTTCTTTTCGGGTAAGCAAGAACACGTCCTGGGTGAGGGGAGAGTAGTTTGGAATTTAACTGAATAGCAACATGAAGTTTATGTGACGACTCTAACGAAAAACACTCACAAAATACCAGAGTGAGGCCCCATCTGAGTGGCGCCACGCCATAGATAAACCATGAGCATTCTTTGAGGCAAAAGATCGAACACCAACAAGGCACTCCCAAATCCTCCGCCAATTTCCACAACTTCCACAGAACTCCAAAAAAGCTCGTAACCCAGAAAACCCAAGTGGGTAAATTTGAACAAACTATATAACCCAGAAATATTTGCAGGAGGAGGGAAATGGTAAACGGGTTTATAGCAAGAGAGAAAGAGTTGGGGAGAAAAGGACAGGAAGGTGAAGGGTTGGGTTTCAGATGGTGACCAAGAATCAACCGCACACCTTCTGCTCTGGCGTCCCCTCCCACAGCAGCAGCATCAGCAGCAACCCTTTAACTTGGTTTCCAAGTTGGTCGCCTCCTCCTAACTTCCTTCGTCTTCTTGTTGTTTCTCGAGTAAGCAAAGCGGATGGAGATATAGACATCAGCACCTCACCTATAAACTACACGCAGCAGCAAGCAAGCAAAACCCTCTTTCCTACTTCAACTGCACCAAATCTTCCCACCAAAGGTAAGCAACCTAAGATTGTGACCCCTTTTTTCTGTTTGCATCAGCTTCTGATCGGTGTGTATTGGTTTAGCTACTAATAATCCCGATTTGGATAAAGAGATTTAACTAATAAGGAAGATTGGAGATGTTTGAATTGCGGCGGGTACCGTTTCGAAAAGGGAAATATATTGTAAGGTGCGTGAAGTTGGACAACCAAACCCACCAGCTTTCTCTGCCACGGCTCTACAATGAATGATCACGTCAAGCAACCGCAGCCATGGGAATTCCTCATCCAAATGACCCATGAGTCTTCTCACCGGAATCCCTCCGGTAGTAAACGCTGCCGCCGACGGATTCCGCGACCCCGCAAACACCAATTTCCATGTAAGCTTCCCCCTAATTCTCCTTCTTCTGTTAGATTCCGGTGATTCATCTCCATCTTCCATATCCACTTTGTTGTATAACTTATGTTTGATTTCTTTTGTGAATAACCGAATGAGCCAAGTTTTGAAGTGGGTTCCTGATCAATTTTTAATGGGGATCCTTCGACTGGCAGTTTGAGCAATTTAGAATCCTGTTTGCCAAATTCCAAATCTTTGTGCCAATTTTTTGCCTCGATTGGTTCCTGCATTGAGTAGTTACAGAAAGCAAGAACATGACTTTACTTTGGATGGGATAATACAGGAATGCTTAGAAGAGTTAATTGTGTTTTTAAGCAGATAAACATGGTCTACTCGCCCTAAATTAGTATGTTATCCCGATCGATGTGTTCCTATTGTGATGTTGCTTCTTGCCGCTGCCTGCTTTTATGGTGGTGCTTGTAGAACAGCAACTAGGAATCAACTCCATGATTACTGGAACATAATCATCAAAGAGATCATAGGTTGCCAAATCCCTAATTTTTTGGATTTACGATAGTTTCTTTTCATGGATTCGTAGTTTGTGAATTGCTTTTTCTGCTTTTGCTATAATCTGAGATGATTTGTGGATTTAATAGCGTAAAGCTATTTCCTTGAGGTTGGTCATTGTATCTAAGGTTTTGTTCTTCAAAAGTACTAAATTCAGAGCTCGCCTGAGCTGAAGTCTTCCTTGGCATCTGTTCTTTACACCGTTGATAGGACACAGTCTATAATTAATTTGATACTTATTCTCACCATTTTGAAAGGGAAAATGAAAGAACGCATCTTTGTCAATGCACGCTTGGGACCTGTTCACTGGATTCTGCCAACTTATGGACTATGGTTACTGGATTGCCTATTCTTAGGATGGTGTATTCAGAATAGATCGATTGGGATCTCTACTTTCAGAGATGGGTTTATGTTTGCTAATTGTCTTCAGTCTTCCTCCAACAAGGACTAAGATGTCTCATATGAACTGAAGATCAACTAAGCTAGCTGGTCATGAGAGATCACTGGTTGTGTTAGCAACCAGCTAATGCTAGCAATACTTCTCTCAACCAACTCTAGACACCGAGTCTTCCCCTCTGATTAGAGCCTTATATTCAAATAACAACCACCACTGATGAATTCCGCAATCTCGCAAACACCGAACTTCGAGTAAGCTCCTGCCATTTTTTTCCCTTTTCCTCATCTTTGTTTGCTTCTGTTAGATTCCATTGATATGCTGCTGTTGATTTCTTGCTGCTGGTTCGCTAATTGAGATATATGTGGCTTTTGCTTTGATCTATGAAAGGATAATGTGGGATATCTATGGCTTTGTATTGATCTATGGAAAATATTACGTGTAGTAGAGGATTCATTTGGATTGTTGTGAAGTTCATTTGTTTAGATGTGTGTAATCTGGTAGAGTTTTAAGTCAGTGCCTGAGTTATAAGTGAAAGAACTTTCTGTAGAAGTGAGGTAGTTGAGTTTTACCTGTAGTATGATTCTCCACATAAAATCATTACTGTGGATTCTTCAATCATGCTTCTCAGGTGAGATCAGAAAGATGGTACTCAGGTCTTAGGGTGAGTGTGGGGTGGTGACCCTTTCGATTCAAACCTGGGACATCTAGATTAGTTTCATAATCACAAAGCCAGGCTGAGAACTAGATTATTGTGTTTTTTTTTTCGTTTCGGACTACTTTTTATGAACTTTTCGATTCCCCAATCCCACTAACACCAAACTTCGAGTAAGCTCCCCCCTGATTCTCCCTTTTCTCTGTTAAGTTCCAGTGATCCTGATAAATTAGTATGCTGCTGTTGATTCCTTGCTGATGGTTGGCTAATTGAGATATCCATGGCTTTGGTAATCTACCATTATGCATTACAGTTATCAGTCCCCATGTTTTGTTTCCTAACACGGATTCTAAGCAACATTGTTGTTGAGGATCAATGAGCATCTGATTGACATGAGGGTATTGTGCTATGCACTTGCAAGAAAGAGATACAGGGAGGAGAATGATTATATATTGCAAGAAACAGTTACTGGGAAAAGTCTGTGGAATTTTTTTTGGCCGAAACTGAGTTCAATGGTTAGTTCGCATATCAGCCTTGGAGGTATTAGGCAGGGTCTGTGAACTGAAAAGCTGACATTATTCCCACGGAAGGCATAAAACTGCATTTGTGGTCGGTGGCATGTGCATAGCTATGTTCAATGTGATGATTTAACTCGTTATGTTTTTAACGCTTTTGTAATCTTCTGAGTTACCTCTTTCCATGGCAGGTTTAGGGTTGTGATAACCGTGATGGATAGGTCGGCAGAATTGACAAAAAATAAATAAATAAATCACGAGGCCACGGAGATTCTCTGCGACTTGTATGAGTGGGTGGTAATAGGGGTGGGCATTGGGTGGGTCGGGTGGATTTTGACCATAAAATGCACCCATCCGCGCTTAAACGGATTGATAATTTTTAACCCACCACCCACCCACATTTAGTCTCGGGTTGGGTCGGGCGGATGATGGATGATTTGGGTGGGTTTGTGGGTTCACCCACATCACAATGTATATAATATAAAGGAGTCAACTTGACATGATAATAGGTGAAGAGAGTTATCTGGGGAAACAAGAAGATGAAATAGGGCGAAAAATATCGAATTAGTTCTTAAAATGGATAGAAATTCTATTATGAAAGAGTTTTCTACGGATTGAGATGATTATCAGGTGCAAGGAACTAAGAAAAATAATTTCACAAAGGAAAAAGCAGTGATCTAGGCACAAGAATTAGAGGGAAAAATAAAGGGAAGAAGAGGGGATCGCTATTTGGAAGGTTGGCTTTGAGGTTCAAACTCCAGGAGCAGTCCTAGTTTATGTCTAACATCTCCACTCTCCCCTCTCTAGCGCCGACGACTTTGATCTTTTTGTTGTTGGGTTGAGCGGGTCACCCGCGCATCCACCCACAACCCACCCACCACCCGGCGGATGGCTCCCAGCACAACCCGTCACCCATCCATAGACCCACCCACTTAACGAAATTCGGGTCAAATGCGGGTGGGTCGGCCCAAACCCGCGGATGATCCGCCCGCATGCCCAGCCCTAGGTGGTAATTACAAAACTCTGGTCTTTGTATAAAGTGGTTACAAAGTTTCATTTTTACTACACGAGAGTGTGAATGTGTAATAAAATTATCATTTTTGATCAAATTCATTTCGTTAAAATCGTCCAAAAAAGAGCTAAAAATGGGTAAATGGCTTTTTAGCTCTAGGGTTGGAGTCAGTCTTAGCAGTTCACGTCAATGAAAGAATAAAATAAAAACTTTGCATCTCCATCAAGAGTCACCCAGCCATGTTGCATACTTATTTTGACATTTTTTTATGGTCATTTCGCTAAATTATTAAAAGAAGCGTAATTATTTTGTTACAAAATGAAAAGGCTTTACACCCATTTTGTTTTAGAGTGAACTGATTTTTATAGTCAACTTTTTAAAAATGATAATGTATCGACTCTTGAAATGATCCAAAATTTTGGATGGAGATTGACGAAAATGATCATATTGTTACATGTCCAAACCTGTACTGCCGAATCATACCAAGTACCAAATAAAACTTTTGTTATCATTTTGTACAAAATAAAATAAAAAAACGTTTATGCTTATTAATATTATCCTATACGGCTATGCCGAGTTGGTTGACAAGACTGGAAGTGAGGACAACTCGTCCGTGCAGAATTTTGGAGCTCCAACGAATAGGATGTGTTTGAACCCAGTAACTCCGGGCACGAACAATGATATTTGTGGTGTGGGAGGACTCGTAATTCGTTCGTCTGATCTCGTCGGGAGGGAAGAAACCTGTGAAAGAGTCGGGGTTGCCCCCCGGATTAAGCTCCGACGGTCAAGTTAGTGTCGGTTTGTGGAGAGAGTTGAGAGAACAGATAGAGAGACCAAGTATAGAGAGATAGTGAAAAGTAGAAAATGAGGAGAGAGGAGAAGTCCCCCCCTTTGGAGGGCTTCAAGCCCTTATATACCTGTAGCGGGTATCGAGCGTTGGGCATCGCCGATTATGCGCCCTACTGCTTAGTCTGTGCGCTCTGTCCCTTAGTAACACCCCCAACAATTGCCCCCCAAGCTGGTGGTGAGTTTTAATTCATCACTAGCTTATATTTTATTTTTTAAATCTTTGTCGGTAATTTTGGGTGGGGCCTATGTACCCCAATTGCCCCCCAGCTGGTGGCGCGTTTGAGTGACGCGGCGCCAGCTTCTTGCGTCTTGCCCCCCATTAGCGCCATTAACGCTTAGGATAGTAAAATATTTTAAAAATTTAATAATGATGGAGGGATAGAGTACTTAGCTTTATATTGGCAGTGGCGGCAGGAGTAGTTGAAAGGCGGGCGCTGCGCCGTTGAAACAGAACCTGAGTGGTAGCCTGCAGGTTGTTCTTTCGAACTGGGCGCGAATAGTGCTGGACTATTGCTAATTGTTGTTCTTTCGAACTAGGCGCGAATAGTGCTGGACTATTGCTAATTTTTTGTTCCGTGGAACTGGGCGCAGAGTGCTGGACTCATACTAATTTTTTGTTCTTTCGAACTGATTGGGCGCGAATAGTGCTGGACTATTGCTAAGTTTTGTTCCGTGGAACTGGGCGCAGAGTGCTGGACTCATACTAATTTTTTGTTCTTTCGAACTGATTGGGCGCGAATAGTGCTGGACTATTGCTAAGTTTTTTCCGTGGAACTGGGCGCAGAGTGCTGGACTCATACTAATTTTTTGTTCTTTCGAACTGATTGGCGCGAATGTTAAAATTCAGACGCCACACCCATTGAAACACAAGGTACTTGTGGCCTGCTGGTAAGGATGCTTGCCTGTCGAAGGAGTGGCGCGGGTTCGAAGTCTGGCGACGACTACATTATTTTTAAGTAGTGCGCCTGTTGAATGCGGGCCGCAAGTACGCTTGGGCGCGAGCAAGGGTGCATTGCGCTTGTGGACGCGGGTTGAGTTGGGATGGGCCGCGAATACTGAGCCGCCGAGCGGAAGTGGGCCGCGAATAGAGAAGGCGGGCGGGCTAAGTTGAGTTGGGCCGCGAGTGCGCTTGGGCGCGAGCAAGGGTGCAGGAGGTTTTAAGTTGGCCGCGCGCCATTGAAACACAAGGTGTGCGTGTAGCCTGCTGGTTGCGTCGCTCCTTTATTAGAGAATTGGCGCGGGTTCGAAGTCGGGCGGCGACGACATTTTTTGAAGACTTCCGTGTCTATGGAATTCGGGCCGCGAGTTGGGCCTGTGTGGGGCGGAGCATGCTTCGAAGTGGGGTTGGCTGATGTGGGCCGCGGGTCCTTGGCGAAGCGGGGCGGAAGTATGAAGGCGGGGCGGACACGGGTCCGCGAGTTTGGGGCGCGACTTCGGGCCGCGAGTTGGGCCTGTGTGGGGCGGAGCATGCTTCGAAGTGGGGCTGGCTGATGTGGGCCGCGGGTCCTTGGCGAAGCGGGCCGGACGCGATGGGGATCCGCGCGTCCGGCTGATGTGGGCCGCGGGTCCCTGGCGAAGCGGGCCGGAAGTATGAAGGCGGGGCGGACACGGGTCCGCGAGTTTGGGCTTCATCTACGCGTGGAATGTTGTTGAAATAAGAGTACCGCGTCATATGGTCACAAGGCGCGTATGTAGACTGCTGGTAATGTCGCATGTCTGGCATAGGAGTGGCGCTGGTTTGAATCCTCGCGGCGACGATAGTTTTTTGAGGCGGGACGTGCCGCGAGTTGGGCCGGATGCGGAAGGTTTTTAAGTTGACCCCGCGCCATTGAAACACAAGAGTCTCGTGTAGCCTGATGGTCAGAATGCTTGTGTAGTGCAGGAGTGGCGCGAGTTCGAATCCTCGCGGCGGCAATATTATTTTTGACGCGGAGTGGAGCAAGGATAGACGGGGCAGACTTGAATGGGCCGATTGGATCCGCGAGTGCGGGTAGGCCCGCGTGCACACTTGGAGAGATTGTGGGGCGCGTAACCTAGTGGGAGGCGGCCAGACTGAAGGCGGTCCTGGGCTAGACGGCCTGACATGGAGGCGAAGCAGGCTGTGTGATCCTGAATGGCTAGATGGGCCTGAAGCCTTGGTTGCAAGCGACCCAGCTGGTGACGTGGGGGAAGCCTGCGCGTAGAATGGAAGTTGGATGGGCCGCTTGTGGACTTGGACGCACACAAATCAAGCCTAGCTAGTATAGAAGTTAAGCTTACGCGCCTCCTTCCCTAATTCTCATCTTCAATTTGTTCTTCGAGCCGCATTCCTCTTTTCTATTTGAGAGTTCCCCCTTCTTTTCTTCCTCTCCCCCCCTTTTAGAACTTCCTTTCCAGCTTTTCATTAGGCGCATCATTGGGAACTGCACCAGCTCCTTGGGAAACTCGTTCGTCAGACGAACACCAGGGGAGGAGAGTGACTGAGATAAAGCAATCTGCTTTTTCTTGATGTGACTCTACTGTAGGTGAATAGTCTCCTTTTTTCATAGTAGGTCATAGGTGGCGATGGTGATGTAGGCTGCAGTACTTTACTTTTGGCCTCGTCTGAGCTCCGGCGTGGCGTTGGTGAAGATGAACACCCGGGACAACGACGAGCTCTGCTGGTGGGGATGAGTGACTGGGTGCTTGTCGGCGAAGATGAACGGGTCTCCTTAGATCTTTATTTTCTTCGCTTGTTGTCTTTGCTCCGGCGAGCCTTGGCGTGCTCGGCGGTCGGTCGAGGAAGAACAGATTTTCTTCCCTCTCTTTATAGATCAAACATCAGAATACCCATGTCACGCCCCACGGTGGGCGCCAATTGTTTGAACCCAGTAACTCCGGGCACGAACAATGATATTTGTGGTGTGGGAGGACTCGTAATTCGTTCGTCTGATCTCGTCGGGAGGGAAGAAACCTGTGAAAGAGTCGGGGTTGCCCCCCGGATTAAGCTCCGACGGTCAAGTTAGTGTCGGTTTGTGGAGAGAGTTGAGAGAACAGATAGAGAGACCAAGTATAGAGAGATAGTGAAAAGTAGAAAATGAGGAGAGAGGAGAAGTCCCCCCCTTTGGAGGGCTTCAAGCCCTTATATACCTGTAGCGGGTATCGAGCGTTGGGCATCGCCGATTATGCGCCCTACTGCTTAGTCTGTGCGCTCTGTCCCTTAGTAACACCCCCAACAGGATGCAAGGTGCATATTAAGATTAGTGACTTGAGTTGATGTAGATTGTAGGGACAACCAATTAATCTGTTAAAAAAAAAAGGACAACCAATTAAGAAAAGCCTCTGTGATTTATACGCTTAATCACAAAAATGTTTTTGATGTTGGGTCAACTCAACATTGCTCGTTTATCTTGTCAAAATCTATGACCATATTTGTTTCTTCTCTTGTAACATTATCACACCTAACTAATGACAAATTGACAATGTTGAAACCGAGATGGTCAATTTAAACATGTAGTTTTAGATGATTCGGATGTGCCGTGGATGTGCCGTAACTAATGAGTTGCAAAACCTCTATTACATATCTCATCGTTATTGAAACCTAGTGTTCTATTTATTTATTTTCTTCATGTCTCTATATTTTAGGGAGAAGGTCGGAATGGTTAGAGAAAAAATTTGATGTTTCTTCATTAGTGTGTTTATAGTTTTAGAACGAAGGTTGGAACGGTTCGGTTTCAAATCCTAACTCGTTAACAGTCATGAGTTGTGTAGCTATATATTTTTTGTTTCTTTTATTATGTAATACAAAATGTTTTTTTTTTTTGAGAATATGGAAGTCTAGAAATAAAGTGACTTTTGAATTTTACCAACCTCATGTCTGTTCCCTAACCGGACAATTCTACAACTAGGTCCTTGAAGTCTCTAGCCTCCTCCCCCCTCCTTCGCCCCACAGATCTCTCCTCCCTCACCACCCACCCGTCACTTGGGTTCCTCCGACGGAAGATTATTTGAAGATCAATTTCGGCGCAGTTGTTAGTGCAACCGGGTGTTCGTCTGGGCTTGTGGTCTGTGGGTCCAACGGACATGTGGTGCTGGCATTCGGGTTGTGTCATCATGGAGTAGTCAACCCCCTACCTGGCAGAGCTTTTAGCTGTTAGAGACGCTATCTCCCTCGTAGTCTCCAAATCTTTGTCTCACGTGATAGTGGAGGGCGGTTTCGAAGTGGTCGTCAATTAGATCCGGCAATGCGTCTTAAAAGATTCCATTGGTGGTCAGGTGCTCCGGGAGTGTCATCAAATTGTCAGTCTGTATAGAGTTTAGGGCGGTTCCTAGAGTCGCAAACAGTTTTGCGCATAGAGTGGCGCGTAAATCACTCCTTTTATCTATTTTAGAGCTAGCATCTTTTGAAAGGCTTCATTAGTCTGTCGCTTGTAAGAGGTACTCGATAGTTTTGTTTTTTTTTTTTTTCTGAGTGATATCAAAGAGAAATAATAGTTAATCTTACAATTCTACCCAGGACCCCTAATAGACTCTAAAGAAGCCACCCCAAGAAATCAAAAGATTCTAGCTCTACAAGAGACAAAAGCAGTGCTTTACGCGCCACTCTATGGGCAGCACTGTTGGCGGATCTAGGTACCGCCCTAAACTCTATACAAGCAGACAAAGAGCTAAGGATCTGAAGACACTCTCGAAGCACCGGACCACCAATCGAGTCTTCTGAGACACCTTGACGGACTTGCTTGACGACCACTTCGGAATCACCTTCGACTATCACATGGGTCAAGGATCTTGAGGCCACAAAGGATATAGCATCCCTGAGCGCTAGCAGCTCAGCCAGATAAGGGTTGACTATACCTTGATGCTGCAACCCGATCGCCAACCACACATGCCCGTCTGCCCCGCGGATAACAAGCCCAGACGAACACCCGGAGGCACTGACGGCTGCGTCGACGTTGATCTTCAAAAAACCTTATGGAGGAGGGACCCAAGTGGTGGCAGGCAAGGTTGGTGGTAGGGAGCTGCGGGGAGGAGGGGGGGGGGGAAGGAGACTGGAGAGTTCGAGGACCTGGTTGTAGAACTGTCTGGCTAGGGAACGGACATGAGGTTGGGTAAATTCAAAGGTCACTTCATTTCTAGACTTCCAGATTGTCCAAAGTAAACAAACGCATTGGAGAATGTGGAATGGGGAGGTCTCGGAGACCATGACTTGTCGCCACCATAGACTAAAGTTAACTGTCTGGGCGGTCTCAATAAAATTGCTCAATCCCACTAAAGTCCACAATCTGATGGCTAGGGGGCATCTGAAGAATAAATGTTCAATACTTTCTCTATGTCTCCAGCAGACAGGGCATCGTTTAAGGCAGTTTACTCCACGAGATTGGAGGGCTACTATTGTTGGTAGTATGACTTTGAGGCATTGCCATATGAAGAACTTGAGTTTAGGCGGAACTTGGATATTCCAAGTCTTTTTCCAAATCGGAGGATCGATGATATGCACTATCGGTTTTCGACTTGATGCCAATGTTATTTCCAGAGCTAAGTGATAACCCGAATTTACTGTGTATTTTCCATCTTTGGAAAAGACTCGATAGTCAACCCCCTACCTGGCAGAGCTTTTAGCTGTTAGAGACGCTATCTCCCTCGTAGTCTCCAAATCTTTGTCTCACGTGATAGTGGAGGGCGGTTTCGAAGTGGTCGTCAATTAGATCCGGCAATGCGTCTTAAAAGATTCCATTGGTGGTCAGGTGCTCCGGGAGTTTTGTTTGCATAATTCTTCTCTTGATATCACTCGAAAATAAAATAAAAAAATCGACATTGATGTCGTATGTACGTCACGACGCACCGCAGGGCGTGGAACGAACGCGCCATTGCTCAACCCACGTGCCGCCCCATAGCCGGAAAAAGGCCACCCGAAAAAACTATTTTTTTCCCCCTTCCTTTTCATCACGGAAAATATAACCGTTGAGCATGGCCACGTGTCATCCAATCCATCCACCTGTCAATCTCTCTCTCTACTCCTTCGGATTCCCATCTAGGCCCCTCCATAGTCGTCTTGTTGCTTGCTTCATCTCCTTCCTTCCTCCCTCATCCCTTCCCTTTTACGACAGTCTATTATCACCACTACACCCTAATTCCCCCTTCTCTCTCCCTCTCTCCCACACTCTGCTTCTTCCTCCGTCGTGAATCCTCTTATCCATCTTCCCGATAACCCTTTTCCTCTGTGCTTTCAGTTCACACAATCTAATTCTCTTCTTCCCCAATGGCTATTCACTACTAAACCAATCAGCCCACCAAATGTTGTCTTCTCCCAGCGTCACAACATTTCTTCTCGTTCTTCTGCTCTGTTTTCTGACCTCTATCCCGTCCCCTGCCTCCGCCGCAACCGATTTCGACTTCGGGACTCTTACCCTCAGCAGCTTGAAGCTCATAGGCGACGCCCACTTGAACAATGGCAGCGTCCGCCTCACCCGCGACCTCGCAGTCCCCAACTCCGGCGCGGGAAGAGCTCTCTACACCAAGCCAATCCGGTTCCGACAACCCGGGACCCACTCCATCACGAGCTTCTCCACCTTCTTCTCCTTCTCGGTGACCAATTTAAACCCCTCCTCGATCGGCGGCGGGCTGGCTTTCCTCATTTCCCCTGTCCCCGACTCGATCGGCGCCGCCGGCGGATGTCTCGGCCTCTTCAGCGGCGATGGGCTCGCCGCTGGGTTCGTGGCAGTCGAGTTCGACACGCTGATGGATGTTGAGTTCAAGGACATCAATGGCAACCACGTCGGGTTGGATCTCAACAGCATGGTTTCGTCTCAGTCCGGAGATCTGGACTCGGTCGACATCGATCTCAAGAGCGGCGATCTCGTCAATGCCTGGATCGATTACGACGGGCCGGGTCGGGTTCTGGAGGTCTCGGTTTCGTACTCGAATCAGAAGCCGAAGGAGCCGATTCTGTCGGCGGGTCTCGATCTGGATCAGTACGTCGACGACTTTATGTACGTCGGCTTCTCCGGGTCGACTCAGGGGAGCACCGAGATTCACAGCGTCGAGTGGTGGAGCTTCACCTCTCTGTTCGACTCAACGCCGCCGGGTAACGGCGGCGCAAGTCCGGGTCCAACCGCCGCCTCAGCTCCGCCACCGCCGCCGCCTCCTCCATCGATTACTCTGCTCAGCCCGGCTGCTGATTCCGTCAAATCCCCACCGCCGTCATTGCCCCCAACTGGCCCCAAATCAATTAGCAGCAATCAGGGGAAGAGCAGCAAACCGTCCTCCTCCTGCCACAACAATCTCTGCAAAAAGGGACCAGGGGCGGTTGCCGGAGTTGTAACCGCCAGCGCATTTCTCGCCGTGTTCGCCGGGGTCCTCCTCTGGGCGTTTTCCAAGCGAGTCAAGAAGGTGAAGAAAAAATCGGAGTCGTTCGCGTCGGAGGTAATCAAAATGCCCAAGGAATTCACCTACAAGGAGCTCCGATTGGCGACGAACAGCTTCAATTCGAATCGAATCATCGGCCACGGCGCCTTCGGCACCGTCTACAAGGGCATCGTGACGGAGACCGGCGACATTGTCGCCGTCAAGCGATGCTCCCACAACAGCCAGGGGAAAACCGAATTCCTCTCGGAGCTCTCCATCATCGGAACCCTAAGGCACCGGAATCTCGTCCGATTGATCGGCTGGTGCCACGAGAAGGGCGAGATTCTGCTAGTCTACGATTTGATGCCCAACGGAAGCTTGGATAAAGCCCTGTTCGAATCCAGAATGATCCTCCCATGGTCGCACCGCCGGAAAATCCTCCACGGCGTCGCGTCGGCGCTGGCCTACCTCCATCAAGAATGCGAGAATCAGGTCATCCACAGAGACGTCAAATCCAGCAACATCATGCTCGACGAAGGGTTCAACGCCAGGCTCGGAGATTTCGGCTTAGCTAAGCAAGTAGAACACGACAAATCCCCCGACGCCACGGTGGCGGCCGGGACGATGGGGTATTTGGCGCCGGAGTATCTCCTCACCGGTAGAGCCACCGAGAAGACCGACGTGTTCAGCTACGGCGCGGTGGTACTGGAGGTCGCGAGCGGCCGGAGGCCGATCGAGAAGGATGCGGCGGCCGCGGCCGCCGCTAACGGTAACGGCAACTTGGTGGAGTGGGTGTGGGGGCTACACCGTGAAGGGAGGTTGTTGACGGCGGCTGACCCGAGGCTGGAAGGTGAATTCGAGGAGGGAGAGATGATGAAGGTTCTGTTGGTGGGCCTGGCCTGCTCGCATCCGGACCCGTTGGTCAGGCCCATGATGAGGAACGTGGTCCAGATGCTGGCCGGAGAGGCGGAGGTGCCGGTGGTCCCCAGGGCGAAACCGACGATGAGTTTCAGTACGTCGGATTTGTTGCTGAACTTGCAGGACAGCGTCTCCGACTGCAACGACGAAGCCGCCATGATTACGCTCTCCACTTCTTCGTCGTCCGACGGCAGCTTCGGCGGGCACCACTTGGTATGATAACTGAGTGCTCCAAAAAAAAAAAAAAAAATTAACAAAAGAAGAGAGCAGGGAGTTTTTTATTTTCTGGATCGGACTATACAGATTACGGATATGATTATTTATATTCTTTTTTTATTTATTAGTTTGGTGCACCGTACGTTGGGCGGCGGCGTGTTTTTTTTTTTTTACCGTGTATATTGACGTAATAATTTGCGTCACCGTCGGAATTGCATAATTGCGCGTCATATAAAGCTTGTATCAAGATCGTCCATCATTTTTTGAAATCATTCGCAATTGAATATTGGCGTAATAATTTGCATCTTACGTTGAATAAATCATTGGAATTGCGTAATTTTGCGTCATATAAAGGTGATATCGAGATTGTCCATCGTTTGTTGAAAGCATAATGAGTGTAAACCCAATCTATTCGTTATTTGTCTTGAGTGATCACGAAATTAGTGAATAGATGGTAATCATGACAACATAAGATATCAAGATTTGGGTGGCTTCTTGCAATCACTAGAAAGTAAGTATTACTCTATTTGATAGACAAAGTGAACAAATCTTCTCAAAAGCCTCTCCTTTCTGTCTTGCAATCACCGAAAAAGTAAGTATTACTCCATTTGATAAACAAATCTCCTCAAAAGCCTATCCTTTCTTCCCAACATCTCAAGCTACCAAGTAAATGAATTAATTAGTTTTGCTAAACCTTCTTTGTTTTATGCTAACTGGATATGTCCGTTGGTTGTGTTTTAACGAGAAATGTGAAATGTTACATGTAATTGTAAGAGAGAATAAATTAACCTGTAAAAGAATATAAAGTCAAAAAAAATGTTGACCTAGCTCTCATTTGATGAATATGAACATCTAAGCGGCTAAATAACAATTGAGGAAACAAACTTTGCAAAAAGGTGAAGCAGCCAATAAAAAATGGGCTCGTTGGCTAATGAATAGGTACTCATTAGGGAACAACAAACACATATTGAAAATCATTAATGTGATTCTCTTGCTCTTCAATGAGTACTACTATAAGCGTGTACTAAAAAATGTTAAAATATAATAACTATTCCCCCAGTATATTTATTATTATTATTATTAATAATCCAGACAAGCCAGGAACATCTCGACGCACGCACTGCTTGAGCGATGGCGGAGCGAGACCAAAATTGGGGTTGACCTATTTGAGTCTTTGGGCCCTCCACTAAGATCCTCTTTTGGTGCCTCCGGGAACACTACAACTGGGCTCGAGATTGGTCGTACACGAGACCTCACACTTCTCAGTCGAGAGTCTCTCGAGAGTTTTACCAGTTTGGGTTCCCATGGTCTAGGTGGTTGGATTCTGGAGGATGCAGGGACGCTGCTTGGGGCGGATTCCTCTTTGTATCCGGATGTGCAAGACCCTTTCTTGGTGGAGCTTCTAGCCTTGAGGGATGGGATCCGGTGGGAGCTTGAGATGGGTGTGTGCAGGATGTCGTCTTCGCTGGTGATGCTCAGGTGGTGCTAGACAAGGTGAATGAGGACTTGTGCTTGGACGCTCGTGGTGGCCCGATCTTGAGCGAGGTTAAGGTGTTGAGTCAATATTTTCTCCAATCTAGTGTCCGTTTTGTTGGTCGTGCTCGTAATAGGGTGACTCATATGGTGGTCAGAAAAGCCCTTTCTTTGTTCCCTAGTTTGATAGGGTTCGATTTTCGTTCATAGCTCTGGCAGCCCAACTGACTCTAGTGTATCTTGATTATCTCGTTTAACACGGAGTATATTTTTGGGAGAAAAAAAAGACCTGCCTATTCTCCCACTATATTTAGATTTCTGGTAATTGTAAAAAAAGCCCTTTACTACTATTTTTCTTGATATTTCGTTCAATTGCACCTTTTTTTTATAATAAAAATGCAGAAACCTTGATGGGCCTGTATTTCATCACGAACTGCCTGATCCTTGACTTCGGAGGAATGGGCCCAACAAGAAAGCCTACGGAACCGACTAAGCCCGGCTTTCCTTCTTTCCCTCGGAATTATTAATCTATAAAATTTAAAAACTAAAAACTAAAAAGACATTACGCGACAGCTTCTTCAATCCTCTTCTCTTGTTCGCTACCCTGTTTCCCGTTTCTGTCGATCCCCCCCTGATTCGGACGCGAGAGAACTCTCCGTCATAATTCGCCGGCGACTCTTCCCGAAACCCTAGTCATCTTACAGGTATGCTTCTGGGCCATTCAATTTTGCGCTTTCTGAATCGCTTTTTGTTTGCTTGGTCGGAAACAAAGGAGCCTCTGACTTTCACCGTGTCGGAACGTTTTCGCTGGTGCTAGCGAGCCAGAAATCGAGCGTATTTTATGAATATTTCTTCATTTGAGCAACCGGATATGGCATGTGAATTAGAGATTTTGAAACTTCTGGTTTCGTTCTATAGCTTCCATTATCGAGAAGCTCAATTTTTTGAATTAGGGTTCTCCTGTTCATTGTGTGGAAAGTTGTACCGGTAGCGATACCACTGGAATTCCCTGGTTGTGGGGTTTTAGGGTGTTCTTTATTTTGTTGTTGGTGCTGTCCTTTTGGATTGTTCCCTTCATGATGTGGAAATTGATTTCTGAATCGTTTTGCTTCTTTTTTGGTGTCTGTCGACTATAGTGAGGGAGCAATGACTACTGCAGCTCGACCAACCTGGGCTCCTGCCAAAGGTGGTAATGAACAAGGTGGTACGCGCATTTTTGGTGCGTCTCAGAAGTACTCGTCAAGGGACCTTGCTGCTCATACCAATCTCAAGCCGAGGTATGCCTTCTTTCTCTTCTCACGCTTCTTGTTTTCCCATTGATCATCTCTCTCTTATGATTGCTATCTTAGTGGAGAATTTTGGGTTCATGGTTTAGTTGAGGAAACTTCATCTGCAATATTAGTTGAGCTCCACTAGTGACTCTTCTAGGTTTTGTAAGACTTCTTCAGTTGGTAGGTATGTTGAAATAGTTTGAACCTAGGCTAGGTTGGATGTTTTTTTCATTCTCCGTTAGTGCTATAGTGATCCCTTGGGTTTAATTGATGTAGTATCCTTATTATATTTCTGATCGTGGAGCCATACTACCTCTACAACCTGACTTTATCATCTTAGCGATGTTCCTCACGCTCCGTTGTACAGTTTAGTTTCTGATTAGTCATGCATGTGAACTGCGACGTGTCTGGACAATCTGGTGTTGTAGTCCTCGAGGGACCATCTTGTTCATTCCTGATATCTCTTTGTATATGCCAGGAGGGAAGGTCAAGACACTCAGGTTGAACTGCAGAAAAGGAACCTCCGTGCGGAGCTTGAAGAACGTGAAAGGAAACATTTCTCATCAAAGGACAAGTCATACAGTGGTAAGTTATTATTGGACACCAGAGTGTTGTTATTTGTTAGTATGTTATATCATTAGGATATTACATCATTAACTGTTCTTAATCCTGTGTCCGGCTTTCACTCATTTCACTGATATTCTTCATTCATTGTATAGATGACAGAGACCGTAGAAGAGGAAGTCAGCTCCTTTTGGAAGGTTTGTCTGAAAGCTGCCTTCTTTGTGCAACTATTAGCTTAATGATATCTACAATCTTTGTTCTAACTCTACCTGGTATTCACAGGTTCAAAAAGAGATATAGACGACCGCATTATTCCTCGTAGAGAAGATGCTGATGATTCGGATGTCGAAGCAAACAACAAGAGGTTAATATTCTTGAGATGCATATTATTGATGCGTTTAACTATCTGTTTCTGTGTGTTCCACGGTTCATTACTTATTCACAAAGTCCACCAGAAATTTATTGTGTTATAACAAGGGTTTTTCTTTCTACAGTGATGATAGTGATGACGACGATGATGAAGAGGACACCCAAGCTCTGATGGCTGAGCTTGAGAGGATAAAGAGAGAAAGAGCAGAAGAAAAGTTCCGACAGGTACACCTGACTTCTGGATATGGATGTTGCTGAAAGTTCCTTTCCTTGCATTCTTCTTTAATCTTCGGAACACCAATGTCTTGTTTCCAGTCTTCAGTTTTGCGAATTGATTATGTACCTGAAGCAGACAAGTTCATCTGGCTGAAACTAAATTGTGCATAATTTGTTTTCCAGGAGCAAGCACTTGCAGCTGAAGAGCTGAAAGCCAAAGAGGAACAGCTTCTCCGTGGAAACCCGTTGCTTAACAGTAATAACCCAACATCCTTTAGTGTGAAAAGGAGGTCAGTAACAACTAACCAATTGAATTTCAGCTTTCTTAATCTCTCTGTTTGTGCTTCATTTGTTCCTTCGTATGACCATTCTGATCGTCGCCTTTTTGTGCACTGGTTGACAGGTGGGATGACGACGTCGTTTTCAAGAACCAGACCAGAGGTGAAACCAAGGCGCCAAAACGTTTCATCAACGACACCATCAGGAATGATTTCCACCGCAAGTTCTTGCACAAGTACATGAAATAGTTTTGGTGGTAGCAGCAGCAACAACCACAATGCTCAATATCGTTCGAGGGCGTAACCTCCCTCGAATGATGGTTCTGTCGTTTTATCCTTTTCATGTACCCTTGTGGCTGTCTCGTTAAGCAATCAACTCTGCTCCTTTCACTCGACATTTGCGACGCCGAACCCTTTACTTTCCAGTTGTTCTTTGTCAACCTTGTAACTGGCTATTGATTGTATTTATGTGAATGATGCTGTCAAATATGTTCCTTTCTCACAGTGAATGTCTACTATTCTCAGAAATTTTGAGTTGTATGCTTACAAAAATGCAATTTCTTCCCAAACGACAACAGAAGTACAGAGTTGCAACTTACACGAAACATTTACAAATGGCACTAGCCAACCCAAAACCCAATTAAGCTTCTTCTGACATACATTAGCAACAACAGACTGTGATTTTGTACACTGAGCCAGAGAAAAGGAAACCAAAGACCAACAAGAGAATTTGAACAAGAGGTGCCCCAAGAAAAAGATTCTACTACGATCCTACCATTATACACTTCAACTTCAAAACACAAAAGACTAAAGAGCAAGAACACCTAGTTTTTTTTTTCTTTCTATTTTTGACTTGCTTAATCGCCATTGCTCTTCTTCTGCTCTTCTAACACGAATTCCACATACAAATCCTTGAGGCCGATCACAACTGTCGTTATCAACGGACCCATGATTGCTCCCTGCACACACAATAAACCAGCATAACCATCAGCAACCATGCAGTGGCCGAATGTATTATCATGGTGGATTTGCGACTAACTAAAGAAGAGAGATTGCCATTTTCATCAGGACTTCTTCAATACAACAATTACCTATATCATCTCTCGCCTGGTAGTGGACAAGTTGAAAAAATGGGGAAATCAAAAGAGTGATAAATCTTACCTCCACTGCAGATGGAAACAATGTCATTCCACCAAGGATGCTGAGCCCAGTTAGATACTGATTGTGACCTGGTATGTCCTCCTGAATTTCAGATGCACCATAGTCCATAAGCAGAAGGTGAATCACGGACAAGCTGATCGCCAGAACGTATCTGCCTTCAAGCACCAGCTGCACAGCAGCTGGAATCGTTGAAAACCATGTTGGAAATATTGGCAGTAGAGGACTGATGATTGCAAGAACGGTAGACACATACAGGAAGTGGATTTTATACAGCCTGAACAAGAGCCATGTTAAACATCCTTGAAAGAATGTAATCTCAGCTGTGGCCAGAAGAACACCCGAAATAGCCTTGTCAAGGACCTCGACACATCTAGTCCTCACTGATTTCCTCATTGGCAGCATGCACATCACGTGCTCAGTTACCCCACCAGACTCCGATGTGATGAGGTAATACAGAACCCAGAAGAAAACCATCGACATCGAGACAAAATTGAAAACCTCAGCTGCTCCAGAGATGATCGAGCTCCCAACCGACAGCATCATCTTAGCTCCTCCACCTAGCAACGAAGCGCTGCTGGCAACGACACGTTGAGAGACATCCATCCCTCGGAGGGCAAACCCTTTCGCCTTCTCGACTATATCCTCACGGCTAATGATCAGTTCCTTGAAGATTGAATCCAGTTCACTGTAAATTTCTCCCCATTGGCGGTCTGTAACTTTCCTTCTTAAGCTCATGAGCTTCTCAGTGTAAGGAGGTGGGCTCATCATAAGAGCTGATTGCTCTAAAGAAGAATTGGTTGGAGGAGTGATGATGAAATGCTTGATCCCTGTAACCAATTCAGTGACATTATACTGCATTGCAAGACTATCTATTTGGTCAGAAACCGTCTCATAGAACGTGGTTGTGTACCTATCCACCATTCCAGGGACATCATTCTCATCCATCCACTTCCTCACACCAAACTTCTCAGCATAATTGCTCTCTTCCACATGAGATTTTAAGGAAATCACAGCATCTTTCCCTTCAACACCTATCTGGTATGAGAAGAATATCAACCCAACTAAGAATCCAACAATCATGCCAATAATCAGGCCAATTGCAACAAATGTTTTGAGTTTCTTCAATATCCCTCTAGTGAAGAATGCACTAATGGGACTGCGCTTAAAGCTGTTGCTCCTAAAAGAAGACACAGCAGAGAATGTGGAATCAACAGTCCTTGTACTGAACAAGATACCTAACCCTAAAATGGAAAGCGCCCCCATAGCACCAATGTTCTCATAAACAATTACAAACACACCAAACGAGACCAACCACCTCACTAGCTTGGAAAACCCACTTCGATTCCTTTTAATTCGATCACTTTTAGGCCTTCTCAGCAAAACCCTAAGGCAAAGCTCCTTAATTTCCACGAGAGTACCGACAAAAACCTGGAAAATAGCTATGGGGATGGCGAGGACAGTCTCAGTGAGCCCTAACTTGAGAGGCTCCTCCCAAAATGAAACGAGGGCCTGTTGAATACCCCTCAAGGGAATGGAGCACAAAATTGCCCACTGAATTGGACGCAGGTACTCCTGCAGGAGCTTGCCGACGAAATAGAGGACGAAGATTGTGAAGGCGAGGCCGGCGTGTGCCATGGCTATGCAGAGAGCAAGTCGTACCTGGGGATCCCCCAAAAAGGAGGCGTCTTTATTAGTTGGCTCGCCGGAATTAGAGGACCCAGATGGTTTCGGCGGCTTGCCGGACGGCGCCATGGTGGGTTTGCGGAATGAGGCCGATTTGAACATGTCCTGCCACGGCAGAGTTGAAGAAGAAGGAGGAGGAGAAGAATCCCCCGGCTTGGAATCTGGGTCGGCGTATGGAACCAACTCCATTGCCGGGGAAAAGGGAAATGGTTATCTGCAGGCAGGGGTAATTTCAGCAGAAAATCGAAGAAGAAATGAAGTGTCTGCAGATAACCAAAGGAGGGCTGGCGAATTCGGATATTCTCTGCGTGGGAAGCAGAGGAATTGTATTTTCTCTGAAGGGGGAAAGACTGAAGAGGAAGAGGCGGACAATAATGATGAGTGTGAGGGACCAGGCAGCCAATCAGAGGAAGCCAGAAGGGATTTTCTACAGAGAGGAGTTTGGATTCTTTATGAAAAGGAAGTATTGTCGGCAGTTTGGCGGGGAAATATCTCAGACGTGGACAGAGTGGAAAAACAGAGGAACGCGGAAAGAAAAACAGAGGAGATAGAGAGAGAGAGAAAAGGAGTTATTCTTCCACCACCACCGCATGAAATGGATTGGAAGGAATTTGCCATTTGCCAGAGAATCGTTAAAAGGCTGAAGGCAGGAGATTGATAGCCGTCCTGTCTTCCTTTAGTAATTGATTATGCTTTGCTCGTTGTCGCTGAGCTGGTGCATTTTTTTCAGTTCTCCCAATTTCGGGCATTAATGGTGGAACCCAGGACGAGCAGAGGGTGGAGAGAATTGAATCAAAAGACAGCTGACTCAGGAACTTTTTTTTTGACAAAGTGGAAACCCAGAATTGTAGCGCACACTTCAGCCGTAATAATGCAATTCCTTTGTTACAGCTTCATTTGACAAAAGCCCAGACTACCTGACCGCTTTGGAGGGCTTCAGCCCAGGCTTCCTCACATAGTCGGCCCACTTTTCCATACGAGAGGTGGGTGGAGAGCCCATTCAACTTCGTCACCACCTCCAAGCGGTCCGTCCAGATGATACTGAGCAAATTGAAGCATCAAAGAGAGCCCATTCTATCCGAATAGGGATGATGGCACATTGAACCCGCCCCGCTGAGTGTTACTCGATCTGATCCATGATGGGGTGGGTATTACCCGACCCGCAGTAGCGTGGGTCGGAGCATGGGGTATCTACTTCTTATTTGCTTTGTCCGGCCTCTCCTCGTTCGTGGCTCGTTCTACTATCTCAATTTCTATCGGTATCTATTCATATATCTCATAATTCGACTTTTCTTCAATTAGTTAAACATGATCATTCAACTAGTTAAACTCAATTACCCATGTTAGTATCACTAATCTTTTCATTCATAAAGTGTGTTTGTCCCTTCGTTTGAACATAAAAGGTAAAATATTGTGTGTATTTTTCAAATGACATATAAGGGTCGATTAACCCACCCGCCTCGTACCCACACGGGTATTAACTGTCAAAAACCAGTTGCTCTCAATAACTCGAGTTTTTGGGAGAGGTTCAATCGTGGATCATATACCATAACACTAACACGCCCCCTCGAACGAAAGCCACTCACACCATGTGTTTAACAAATGGGGGTCACCGGGAATCGAACACAAGACCTCTCGATCACAGAAGGCTCTGATACCATGTCAAGAACCAGTTGCTCCCAATAACTCGAGTTTTTGGGAGAGGTTCAATCGTGGATCATATACCACAACACTAACATTATCCGCCCCGATCTGCAGTAGCTTGGAGCAAGACATAAATATTGAGGTACCCGCCTCCTCCCCACCCCGCCCCATTGCCATCACTATAATCCGAACTTCGATTCGATAAAGTTGTGCTCATAACTCACCCATTTCACAACCATGCATTCATAACAAGTCCATGAATTCCAACAATGCTATCTTCCGAACCAACACAAAATTCCATCTGTCCCGTGTTTCCAACAACTGAGAGAATAACCAGCAACTACTACAACAAGCGGTGGATGATCTGTTACCTGTTTTTTTTTTTTGTCAAACGAGAAATCAGTTAATGCTGTCCTTGTCTAGGTCATGGGTCCCTTTTAGCCTGGTGGTTAAGGGTTAGGGCAACGTGATGAAGTAGGGACAGAACAGGGGAGAGGCAGAGACAAAATGGAGCAAGTCCTGTTCACCATTAAAAGCCATCTCAGTCGGCAGCAGTCAGGTCAATTGTTGTCTTGTGTTCATTTGGGGGAGGTTTGCTGGAACTGGCAGCAAGCTTCTGAACCGTGTGCTCTAAGGCAAGTGGGCTGAACCGTGAAAATGGTATCGCACACCCTACCTACTTGTAGTTCATTTGGATCATATATATATCACTCTGCTACCCTCATCCCAATTTAGGGTCGTTGAATCGTTCGGGGTTTAAGTATCGCGTGATTACTCTTTTTTTTTTTTTCTTCCAGACTTTCGATCGAGAGAAGAACTGAATGATTGTGCTATACACGACAGACAAAGAATATAACACAATCGCTCATTTGCTCTCGTGTCTTACATTGGCACTGCAACACTCCGACGACGATGACTAAATTGCCACAATTATAATGGATGATCAATAAATTGGGACATTAGTTTTCCACCTACTCTGCAAATTGGATGGATGGAGACTTTGAGATTTTGCCCTCTTTTCAGTCCTTTTTTCCCCTCCTTAATGAGCCTTGATTTCCCTCTTCTTTTGACTAGATTTGCCCTTTTTTCCCCCATGGTGATGGAAGGATGGATGGAGGTTCAGCAATGGAGTAAAAGACAAGTTGACATTTTCTTCTTTCTTAGGAAAGCCAAGAGAACAGAGGTTACCAGTGTACTAAGCAAATTTTGATTTGGTGTTCCTCAAACTACTATATTAATTTTCCATACAGGGTTACTTCTCTTCTGCATTGATTTATGTCACAAGTAGAATCATGTTAGAAACATGCTCTTATTATTATTGTAGTAATTATTATTATTAGGTTTTTTGAGATGGAAGGCTGGTTGTGACTAGAGGTGGCAAATGGATTGTATTAGTGGATTGGATTGGTGGATCCATGGATCAAATGGATTTGTGGATTCATGGATTGGATCAAGTGGATTGGTGGATTATCCATGAATCCAAATGACATCCTCAACCAAGGATCAATATGTAAAATGTAAAAAGTTTAGGTACTAAAATGTTATAATGAAAAATTTTAGGTACCAAAATGTAATTTTCCAATGATATTTTTTGTATAAAAATTAAATTTTAGGTATCAAAATGTAAAAAATAAAAATTATAGGTACTAAACCGTAATTTGCCAATGATCCATGGATCCAATTCATGAATCCACCAATCCAATTGAATTTGGATCAAATGGATTGGATTTAAATGGATTGGATTAGGTGGATATTTTTAATGGATTGATGGATTGGATTGGTGGATTGGATTGAAATTGCCACCTCTAGTTGTGACTGAGTAGGGTTAGAGAAAAACATAAGAAATTAGGGTTTGGAGGATTGAGGATAATTGTTCTGTTATTTTCTTTTTAATTGTGAAAGAAAGACGGAAGATACATATTTATAATAAATAAGATCCACAACTCTAATTCTGTTAGAAACATGTTATTATTATAATTGTGTCTTGTTCAATTACGACCGATTGTGGCCACCGAACACTTCTTTTCATTCTCCTCCAAATCTTCCTTCAATTTTCTCTAAATAATGTCCTTAATCCTTACTAATTCTGCTATTCAATCCCTAAATCTATCTCCAATTCATGTGTTTCTTACAAATTGTAAGCCCAAACCCCATATGCTCTTACAAACTTGTCTAATAGTTATAAATTGAAGTAGCCTCAAACATATGTATTAGGCAGAAGAGATCTTTGATTTAACCCTTGATTTTCAACTTAAGAATCCCAAATTTGAATCTTGATTGGACCCATAGACCCAAAATGGTTGGATGGAAGAGCCGTTAGTAAACAAAGAAATGAATGCATGGGCAGGCGGGCTTCTTAATTTGAAGGACACTCTTTCTTGGTTTAACAAATGGCACCCCAAAATAATAATTTATAAACAAAGGCAATGATAATTAAATAAGTAATCATTTTCCTTAACTTCTCCGTCCTATAATAACTCAAATCAATTGAACAAGACAAAACCGACACATTTTTCCTTTTTTTGTGTTTTAGAGACTCCACCAATGGGAAGTCGAGTTTCAGGTCAAGGTCAGCTTAGGGTTTGATTAAGAATATGCAATTGAGTCGTTTATGGAAAACATATTTCTATTATAAGCTTAAGTCTCATGAGTGACACATGTCTCATACTCTTGTAAATTAGTTTTCCTACACAAGTCTTCTTAATTTGAGGATGATGTTACTAAGCATTTCATTCTCCATTTTTCATATATATAGACTCATTATTAAGCTCTACATGCGTACATTTATCGTTGTATTATTCATTGAACAATTACTAGAAAGTTCACACTTTCATTCGTTCAACAACTGCGATACAAGTAAAGGATCTAATCGTGGTGGGCTGAAATGAGATTCGAAAGATAGATTCATTCATTAAGGAACCATTTACAACAAATTTAGCAATCCAATCAGCTTGATTGTTTGTTGAAATGTCTCTCTATTATATCGTAGCTCTCCGCTCTTTCTCCTTGTATTATGTTCAATAGTGGTACAAGTTTAAATTATGTGTATCACCAGCGGAGCGGGCTTGTAAGATAGTGGGTCCCGCCACGGGGGCTCACCTTGGTTTGTGATTAGGACAAAATAAAATTGTACACAATTCATAATACTCAAAATCAACACCTCGTGTTTACTAATTTTACTTGCCTACCAATAGATCGATGAGAACTTTGTGGCACACATTGACCTTGAATATTATGTAAGTAACTCTTTGATTTTACATAAAATCGTATCTCTAATTGTTTATCGTGAGTTTACTAATTCATAATTTAGTGTCGAATTCTTCATCTTCAAACGAAAATTCGTCGACAAACTATGAAGATATGTCAATGATAATTTATCATATATTTCTATTTTTGCATTGGACTCGTCACCTTAAACGAAATCCTCACTGCTCTGGTTATGTGTATACTGTACACTCATAGATTTTTGACACCTAATCCACTCCATTGGTCATAAAATAATCAAGTTAATATATATGTATAAAATACTACATTGCCTGCTACAAATGTGTTACTTATGATTGAGATGTATTTTGTACTCTATCATAATTGCCACACCAAAATTAATTAATTTAATTATAAATCCTCTCCTTTTCGTCGACATAAATTTCTGAAAGGTTAGTTCTTCCCTTCCCTTCCCCGCTAGAGAAAAGCAACAATGAAACAACAGAAATAGCGAGAGACCAGAACGATAGACGCAGGATTCTCCTTCTCCACATATCTCTCTGCCTTCTTCCTTTGTCCATCACCGCCGGATAATTAACCCTTCCGATTCCTCTTTTCCATTTCCACTGTCCTCGTTATCTTCACATTCTTCTTATCCATTTCCTTTGAATCTCATTGCGGCATTGTTCTTCGCCCGATTTGAAACTACATTTCTCACCACCGACGAATCAATACCCATCACCTTTTTCTTCATCTCCTCCTCTGGATAATGGTGGGTTCGTATTTGATTCCTACCATTTGAACATTGCCCGGAAACGAAAAACCGCAGAGCCGGAAACAGAGGAAAATCCAAAACAGAGCATCTGGCATTCCTCTGGCTTTGGGAAAAATCATCTCTTTCTAGTATTTTGTCTTACCGTTTTATCTATTTAGTGCTGCATTCATACAATAATGGCGGTAATGGAATCGCTGCTGGGAAATGAAGCAAGGAGATTCATCAAGAGGAAAGACAGTGATGCAGGCGAAACAGGTTTACTTTTCCTCTCCTCTTCCTTCCTCTGTTTTACTTCACATTCGTAACACAATAGGTTCGCAGTCGGGTTTTGATTTTACTCTGCAAATTTCGTTCCTTTTGGTTCTGCATTTTTGTGGGTTTTCTTTGTTTCGCAAGTTTTCTTCCTCGGTAGAAACAAGTAAGATTTTTTGAAGAAACAATCCAGCAGTTACACTTTTCTCATGTACTCTGTCTCCCATTGATCTCTAGGTGCTTTGTTATGGTTGCCAAACCAGTTATGGAACCGATTACTGGCGGTTCTGGATCACAATTAACCAATTTCTTTTTCATCGAAATTTAGTAAACCATGCTCTGTTTGTTTTTTCAACCAGGCCGAGCACTAGAAGAACTGAGGGGCACGCTGTACAACGATCTCCGAACCTCGGAAGGAGCGAAGCGCCAGCAGCAGAGGTTCTGCGGGCCGGTAGTGGCCATGACATTCAATTTCGTGGTCTCCATAGGGATAATCATGACCAACAAAGTGGTAATGGGGAAAGTGGGTTTCAATTACCCAATCCTCCTGACATTGATCCACTACGCAGTGGCATGGCTGCTGCTTGCAATATTCAAGACACTGGCTCTGCTCCCAGTATCGCCTCCTTCCAAGTCCACTCCTTACACTTCCATCTTCTCCCTGGGCGTCGTCATGTCGTTCGCGTCCGGTCTCGCCAATGCCAGCCTCAATCACAACAGCATTGGGTTCTATCAGATGGCGAAAATCGCAGTCACGCCCACCATTGTTTTGGCAGAGTTCATTCTCTTCAACAAAACCATCTCTCACAACAAGGTAGTGGCGCTGGGTGTGGTGTCAGCGGGTGTGGCACTTGCTCAGGTGACAGATTTGCAGTTCAACTTCTTCGGAGCTTGCATAGCCGTCGCCTGGATAATTCCGAGTGCGATTAACAAGATTCTGTGGTCGAATCTGCAGCAGCAAGCCAACTGGACCGCCCTCGCGTAAGAACGAAACTACTGGATAGCATCACAAGAATTCAGAACCTTCACCCCACTCACTCATTTTCCCCTTCTTTGTTTCAGTCTGATGTGGAAGACAACACCGGTGACGGTGCTGTTCCTGCTAGCACTAATGCCATGGCTGGATCCACCAGGTGCTCTATTGTTCAAGTGGGATCTTCAAAACTCATCTGCTGTTCTCATATCAGCTCTCCTTGGCTTCCTCCTTCAATGGTCTGGTGCTTTGGCACTCGGGTGAGTCTCCAGTAATACGAATTTGATATGCGACTTATAGCGCAAGGAATCATGTATTGATGCCATTGTTTGGTTACAGGGCAACATCCGCAACTTCTCACGTAGTCTTGGGACAGTTCAAGACGTGTATGATCTTGATCGGTGGGTATCTACTGTTTGATTCGGATCCCGGGTTCATCAGCATCTGTGGAGCTGTGGTAGCACTTGGAGGGATGTCGGTTTACACTTCGCTCAACTTGAAGGAGACCAAAAAAGAGAAGAGCTCCGGGAGTAGTAACCCACATCAGAAGCAGACGCTGCCACTGTCTAAGCCAAAGACAGAGCTCGAACCCACTCCTGAGGAGACCTCTGAAGATATTGAAACCACTGCTCTATTGTCTTCCAATGCTGTCTGAAAATTTATCTCAGGCCAAGGTCATAGACAGAAGAGAGAGAGAGTAGATAAGAGAAGTACCAACAGTAGCCTGCCCTTCAGAATATGCCTGAAAAAGAGACACTTCATTGTTGGGAATTTTGTTCCGAGTGAAGAAAAAACCATGTACAGAATTATTCACATATTTTTTCACAGTAGTTAACGCAAAGTTTTTCAAATCATGCTTATCTCTGCACTTGAAATCAAAATGGTTAAAACATTCTGCACTTATAAGCAAGCTAGAACTCAGATTTTGGCATCAAAATAGTATAGAACTTGAACGAAATAAGGATCCTCATTATTGACAGAATAAGTGGATCCTAGAATAAAGCAGAAATAAAGCTCCCATTCGCATTAATACGGCCGATTACAGTTGTATAATAGCTCTTTGTTCCTCAAAATTTCATATACAGGTGAGATATTCTGAAAAGGAAAATTTGGTTAATCCCACCTATCCTCAGCTTCTTAATAACTAACTCTTCTCTTTGGTAGGTATCTCAATGAAAGCAAAGACAAAAAAAAAAAAACATCAGAATGATTCTCTCTACTACCCAGGAACAAAAAGCAGACCCATAAGATGGGGGCAAATGAGGGAACTGGAAACTGAGCTGAATCACACCGTGGACCTACCATCTTCTCCGTTTTCACCTTACATTGGTCAGCAATTTATATCCCCCACCTGCGAAATCAACTTACCATTGTCTTCAGCCGGTCCTGTATTTACATTCATGGAGATTGCGCCTAATAATGCCTCAAAGGAACTTTCTTGATCCACCACTGACTTCAGTAAGTAGAGCTCCAATTCATCTGTGCAAGCTGAGGCTGCTGCTGATAAGGTGCAGTTGGTGACGGTCCTACCGGCTCAGCTGCAGCAGAAATTGCATGAGACTGCTGCTGCAACAATGGGCTCGCTGTTGAAGAAGCAGCTATTGTCTGTAGAGGTGGATAAATTCCTGGAAAAGAGCCATGGGCAGCAGCAGCCTGGGGAGTAGCGAATGTAAGGTGGTGCTGTCCCTGTGGAGAGAGATGATACAAAGAATTCAGCTGTAGGCTGGACAAGTCTTGTCCTTGTGCAATCCAGGCTGAAACATCACTCTGTTGGTGCCAAGAAGAAAAATCGAAAGTCTGAGATCTTAGGCCATATAACTGAGGAAAATTGCATGAAGAGTTTTATAAGCTGAGTTGAGGAAACATAGAACAAACCGGTGGTCCTGTTGACAGAATACGGTTCTCCTTCAGCTGAGATGCTGATAGATCTTCATTGCTAGCAGAGGTACCAGATGTAACAGCTAGACCAGGATTGAATCCAATGGGGGAAGAGCCATATGAGCTGTAGAATGGAGGAAGTGCAATAGGTGCGGAATTTGCTGCACCAGTCCCTGGCTTGAATTGTGGGTTATGAGGGAACTTCACCCCTGGAGCAGTGGCTGCTGCTGCTGCTGCTGCTGCTGCGGTTGTCAGATACGGGCTGCCAGGTGATGGCTGTTGTTGAGGCATCCCATTGTGGCTTAAGAATTGATGCATTGGGTGTAACATATAGGGGTTAAAATAAGGTGTATATGGGAGATAGCCAAGATGATATGGTGGCCTCAGCAGAATTGGTTGTGTAGAAGCAGCTGCTGCTGCTGGGTTTTGTCCTTGAGGAGATGGACTGTGACTGGGTGATACTGCAACATTTTCACCCTACAGGAGAAAAGGCTCAATTCAGGAAATAATGACAATTCATTGAACATGTCTATGAAAACTCTTTAGTTTCGGCTAAGGAATGCAACACCATGTCCAGCCAACAACTATTTCCCAGGCCAAGCCTTATGCAGTAATAAGGTCAAACTAAATATAAAATGAAACCACATAAGTTGGCAAACACAAGCCAAATCCCTGAAGCTACAAATGAACAATTCCAAAGAAAAAGCTTGTAGCTGAGCTAGATTGCCAGAAAAATAAAGCTACTAAGATGAGCACGCCAAAATTGGAAACAGTTTCAGTCGCCTGCTCTCTCTTATCACAAAGAACTTTGATTTGCAAATAAAATATTAACTATCTCAATTACCAAAGGATAATTTATTGCACTACAAGGAAGAATATCTGCATCATGACTTATAACTACAAAAAGATTGCAACGAGAAGAATAGAAAATGAAGGGACATAGCAGAAAAATTAAGTCTTACGGCAAAGGGTGAGACTCGAGGAGGATCCCTTGCTTGAGGCTCTTGTCCATCAAGTTGCCCATTGTGAACTCCTTGCGTAGGTGGTAAGACTCCAAGTCCATAGTTTGGGGTAAGTTGAACTGTGGGGCTTTGATGCCTTTCTGGAGTCTGCATTCTCTCTTGATTTGGATCTGCTTCAGGTAATGCATTGCCTTGTGATGGTTGGACTTCTTTGAGGACATCTTGGTCAGACTCTGACTCACATTTATCTTGAAGATCAATGTGTACTGCAGCAGATAAATTCTGACCACTGCAAAGTAATTGGGAACACACCAAGTGATTTTATTTTAGATTACGCTTTTCTCTAATGATAGCAGTAAACGATAAAAGGGATCAAAATCAATGATCATAAATAATTATGGTTCAACCACAAAACTACACTAAATGGTAAGGAACGCAGATTCTGGAATAACAGACAATGTGGTACCTTCTGCTACCTTCTCCCTTACAACAAAGACTTCTCATGTCCCTTTCTATTTAACACTAAAAAATTTACTACGTGACTTCATATATGCAAGCCATGTACGCAATAAATTAGAGTTAGAACCTCAAATACTAATCTTACAAGTACACTTTCTTTATAGAAGACAGAGAGACTTATCACAATACAAATACATGTATTCAAATCACAAACCTAGATGGTTCCATAGCAGAATCAGCAGTCCCATGAGATAATTCAATCGCATTTGCAGAATTGATATCCCTGGTGTGACCATTGCCAGAATTCACTCCAGTGCTAGAACTAGATTCAAAGCTTCCAAATGTCAGTCCACTCTTGAAAGCCTGAGGAACTTTGAAGTGATCCGGAAAAGTAACATGTCCATTAGGAACGTCAGGTTCAGTTTTTGAGTCTGGATGCAATTGAGAACTAACTTTTGCTCGTCCATCAGCAAATGAGGAACCTGGTCCACAAAGAACAATTAAAATCCAATTATTAGAAGCGGTAGAAAAGGACATCCAGGAGATTGTGACACTTTCAGATCTATAATTTCACTGAAGAATCTCATCTAAACCGAGGAAAGCTTGTAGCATGTCAAATGAGCAGCAAACAATCAGAGCACAGAGTCGAGTAGTGATATTTTATCCAGCTTCTAGACACTAAACACCATACGAACTGTTGTGTAATATGACAGAATGGTTGTGTAATATAACATAAAGTAACTACCTTTGGAAGGGGTGATAGACACCTGTGGTAGTTGGCTATCATACCCAGAAGAAGGCCCTATTACCACAGAAGTGTCTTCAGTTGACAATGTCAAGGGCTGGAGGAGTACAGAAAGCTGGCTCTTGTCAACTTCTTTTGGTGTTCCTGACACCCTTTCAGATTTTAAACTCAGGGTGCTATCATACCCAGAAGAAGGCCCTATTACCGCAGAAGTGTCTTCAGTTGACAAAGTTAAGGGCTGGAGGAGTTCAGAAAGCTGGCTCTTGTCTGCTTCTTTTGGTGTTCCTGACACCCTTTCAGATTTTAAACTCAGAGGGTCTGCATTCTCATTTTTAGTAAGTTCTGAAATGGCAGCTTGAGAAACATGCCGACCGTGATTTGGTGCAGCAGCAATCAAACGACCCCATGCTCTTTTACTTGCATCAGCATAAGAATAAGCACCAGGAGCATTTGACTTGGCAACATCCTTGGTAGCTAAAACCGACTTCCCTTGCTCATTCTGAGTCATGCTATCAGCTGTCTGATCAGGTGCAGACATTGGCGGTAACTTAGCTGTCTCTGATGTCACATCCAACTTCTTCGCATCCACTAGCCCAGTTTTTGGGGCTTTTTCACCATCATCTACAGCAACATTTGAGCCGCGCCTCAGAGTAGGATTCTCGCTTTTGAGACTTGAAGGGCCATTGGTGTTGACTGCCGCGACTCTGCTACAGCAAAAGATACAACAGAATAAGTGCCGTACAAATTTTTTAGCGACAGAATAGTGCATGTATTGAATCATAAGAAAACAAAACACCAAATCAAGTTCTCACTTTGCAGCAGGAAGTGAATGGTTACTGTTTGGTCTGTGTGTTCCAGCCATGCCAGTTGAAGGGACTCTCTCTCTCAAGTGACTTGCTCCATTTTCCTTTCGATGAGCTGCATTCCTCCCACCATTAGCATCTAAAGGAACAGCCACCAAGACAGTGTTTTGTTTACTAAACAATTATTTATATTGCTTGCATAGATGAGTTCCTAACCAACTAGTTATTTTTTGACCAGACAAGGAAATGCTTGATAAATATAGACCATTGAGTCGGGGAAACTTTCATCACAACAAAAAGGGATCTAGAACAAATATTTATGCTTGTTAGAGTAGTTAGAATGAACAGATATGAAAAAGATACAACTATTGCAATGATATTCGACTGATTTCAATAAGAGATCCTAAAATTGCACATGAGGTCGACCCAGACAGGTAACATTTTCCATCCTGAATGTAACCAATCTCAAACACACAGCATTCAGGGATTACATTTTTAGCAGACTGAATCTAGGACAGCCACATAACGAGGGGGAGAAAGCAAAAGAATATTGTGACAAGATCAGTATGATCATTCAATAGTTACCAGAATAATTTCCTCGAGCACCCCTACCCCCTCGACCTTGAACATTTGATGACTGCAATGATACAAACAATGGGTTATCAATTTGGAAGCCAACAAGTCCAGAAAAACTAAGTTACACGAAATAGCTGGAGAACAAAATTCATATGTTGTAAGGTCAAAAGGTATCATCTGAAAGTACAATATGTTATCATACATTTTCCTTCAACTACAATCCATCAAGACATGAATAATCGGATGAAAAGGCCATACGAATCACTTAGTCAAGTGGTCAAATTTAGTTGCTTCATCACCCCATACTAGAGTGAAAGCCTAATGTAACAGCTTTAAGAGGGCGTACTATGCCATCAAGCAAACAGAAAACTAGTGCAACATGAACGATTATAACATCATACTCATCCCAAAGATATTTGCCCTTAGTCCTTTGAGTATGAAGGCTTTCCTGTAGTTCTTGCTATCTACCAAGTCAGCAGTCAAGGATGTCGTTGGAACATGCAAGTGCATGGCAGACGAATTTATGCAAGTATAAAAGGGTATACCGAGTTCTATCACAACCTAAAATTTAACTTATTGTTAACATTCAGACGCAGCCCCTGGTAACCAAACACCTTAAAGCACGGATGAGAAGAACTTTTAGAGGTCAGTATATCTCACCTCTTTCTTCCGTTCACGCTTCCTTTTCACCTCATGAAAAGTGTCTACAAATCATAATCAATCACAATTTAGTACAGATAAGTCAATCACCAGACCACTGGCGCCTAAAGAAAATCAATGGAAAGCAATAACTTCTTTTTTTTTTTTGGTAATATCAAATAACAGATTGACCAGCCATAGGAATCATTAATACAATGCAGCAAAGGTGTCGCAAAGAAGGATAGAAAAGCTAGATCTTTAACTGATTCAACGGGGGAAAAAAGCTAGATCTTTAAAGAACACCCAAGAAAATAAGCCAGAAGCCTGCTGAACTCAGTAATTTTTTCCCTTCAACAAACACAATAGGAAGCGTAGGAAAAGAAAACAACAACAAAGCCATGTGACAAATATAGTTTCTTATTTGAGCAGCAATATTCAACTATCCCTTCACAGCATCAAGTTCGCTACTTTGTTGCTCCATTGACCCTCACAGCACGGAAATCTCTCAACCCAGATCACAAATTATTTTAAAAAGGAAAGTATAAAGTGAATTAGACGATAACCCATTAAACCCTAGAACAATGCGTCGAAGAAAACGTAAACAAAAACCCTAACACAGCATGCTAGGGTCGTCAAACACAACAGCTTGTTTATACCTAAATAGAGAAGCTTCTGAGCAGTCTCGTTGGGATCCATGGCGCAATCCTTAAGCACGGCATAGATTTCCTCGTCGCCGTGTTGCTTCCCAGTGATCTCCCTTATATCGTGTATCACTTTCCGTGCATTCTCCGGGATCGCAGCCCTTGCAGGGCCTCCGCCACGAGCACTGCCGCCGCCGCTCATGGTATTTTAACTTTCCCCAATAATGTCGTTGTTGCTGTTGTCGTTCAACCCCTAATAAAGAAAGAGACGGAGAGAGAAGAACTACAAGGAAAAGGATGGGGAAACAGAGAGGGTGAAAGAGAGGGAGAGGTATTGGATTGCTTATTTATATAGTGATTGAATTTCGAGTTCCGACCTAATTTTTACTAATTAATAGCCCTAATATAAACACTATGGAAGATTGGAAGCAGATGGAGGAATGTCTAAGCTCGGCAATGGCTAATTACTCGTATTTTTTGCAAATGTAGGTCGAGCTTCTAGAATAATAATAAAATATTAAGTTTAGTTTAATTTAATTTTACTTAACCTGTTAATAAACAAGTTGAGTTCGAGTTAGACTTGTATGCTGATATATTAATTTATATTTAATTCGAGTTCGACTTATTAATGAGCTTACAATCTATTCAAACAGACTCATCAATTAACTCACAAGTCTAACTCAACTAAACTCATTTGACATTCTAAATCATCAAAGTAAACTCTAAAATAATTTATAAATTTATTATATGAAAAATAATGATGATCAATTTGTAATAAATTGATCTCATTTTATATACTCAATTGACACATCATTTTATATGAATAATTTACTCTATTGATCTCAACTCATTTAAATCATTCTATTTAATAGAATTGTTATTATCTAACCAATTTATAATTATATAAATTAATAAATGACACATATTTATTCGCGTACTCAAAATCACGTAATATAGGACGAGGTATATAATCCAACAAGCCTATGGTATCAACAAGCCAACTCATAAGTTATAGATGGATACACTCCCAAGTTGCCAGCCGAGTTGGATTATTAGCCACACCATCGAGTAAGTTCATGAAATCGAAACAAGCCAACACACAATTTGAACTCAACAAGTCACTAAGTCGAGTTGACTAGCGAGCCTCATGAGTTAAAGAAGGACTAGCTCAAACGAATTGAGTGTCGAATTGCCTTTTTTCAAATCGAACATCGAGCCACTTGTGAGCATCTCCACTCATTTACAGCCTACTCACAATGATGACCATATTTCGTAACAATATCACTGACTTATGTCATATATGAGATTTACCCTCACTATTGTAGGGACCTTATGTCCCTCAAACAAGGTCAATGGAATACTAAGAGTTTGGGATTAGGGATGCTAATAAGGCGAGTCAAGTTGAGATTTGCCTAATTCAGACTTGGTTCATTAATAAATGAGTCGAACTCGAGCTCGAGCTCGAGCCAAATCATTTGTTAAAACCTTGGTTCATCATTAAGATCTCGAGTTTGGTTTGAACTCAACTCGTTTATTCTAAGTAGTTAAACCCTTAAACTGATCTAAAAAATAATTTATAAATTAAATACTCTAATGCTTGTTTGTCATGTTTAATACACGTGATTAATTGATCTCATGTTTAATATATGTTGTTGGTATTGTATTACTCACTTCATAAATTCTAGTAGTTCATACTTCATATCATATGATTTCATAGTATTTAGTATCTAAACGATACATGATATGTAATTTATCTTTTAGATTATATGTGAGACGTATTTTTTCACATACTCAAAGTTTTAAACATCATATAGGGTTAAATATGCAATTTCAAAAAATTAGAATTTTCAAGAAGTCAACTCATAAGATATAGATCAATTTGCTCATAACCGTTAGTTGTGTTGGTTCATTAGCCACAATGTTGAGACATCTCATTAGCTCAAAATGAGACAATTAACGAGTTGAACTCAAACAAGTCACCCCGGTCGAGCATACTCGCAATTTGAACAATATTTAACTTAAACTCGACTCTTGGTAAACAATTTGAGATGCAAACAATATTTTCATGAGTCTAATATCGAACCGCTCGGCTCATTAGTAGCCCTAGCCGGACATAGCAACAGAGGCTGATGCCCGCCGCAAGTGCAAATTACCGTGAAGGAGGAATAGGCGAATAGCCCAAAATCGTTGCTAGGTTTGAAGTACGAGAATGGGCTGGGCTGGGCTGGGGTTTGGACCGCCGGCAAACGACAGTCAAGATCCCGGCCCGTTGGCAAATCTCCAAGGCGCCGGGAAACATCCATATCGGCGAGATCAGGGGCAGAACCGACAATTTGCAGTCCTCGCCGCACCAAGGTTAGCTTTACCCTCCGTCAGCTCAGCTCAGCTCCTTTTTATTACCAGAGAGGCAGTAGCGTGCGCTGCCGCTTCGCGATAAACCCTAACTTTTTTCTCCTCCTCCCTTTTTACCCCTAACTTCCTTATCTCGCTTATCGTCGGACGTCGATCTAAACTCCCCTCTCATAGCTCCTCTCAATTCCAGCGCGTCTGCTCTTTGTTATTGAACTTGTCGAGTCTCCAACCGCCAAGTTGAGAGATGGGTTCCAGGTCGAGGAACGATAACGATGGCGCAAGCCCAGGGTGCGTACTTTCGTTACCCTAATTTTAGTTCGTTTGCTGGTGAAATTCGGATGCGGAGCAGGCCAATGAACTGTCAAGTTTCCATCTTTCATAGCTTTCGTAGTTGTGCTGCTTTTGGGCTTTGCTTGTGGTTGGACAACTATTGACATTGTGCTCTTTACCGTTGCAGGAAGATTTTCATAGGAGGATTGGCGAAAGATACCACTTACGGTGAGTTGGTTTTCTTGATGATTGGCTTTTGTGGGGATTTTGGGTTGTTTGAGAATGACGTTGGGGTTGATTTTCCATCTTTGGATTGAGTCTCTTAGTAAACAGGAGTACAGGCATGGTCATTGTTAGTGTTTGTCTTCACAAATTTTGGGATTTGAAGAATTCATGTGCTTATTGTGTGTTTTGATGGAATGAATTGCAGTTACTTTCAACAAGCACTTTGGACAGTATGGGGAGATAACTGACTCGGTCATCATGAAAGATCGTCACACTGGTCAGCCTAGAGGTTTTGGATTCATAACCTATGCTGATCCTTCAGTTGTCGACAAGGTCATGGAGGACTCCCATGTCCTCAATGGAAAGCAGGTAGATTTCCAAAATGGAATTTCAATTTAGCCTCTTGAGCTGACCGACCTCTTGGGATGCTCAACAATGCCTAACTTTTGGAAATTGTGCAGGTTGAGATAAAGAGAACTATCCCTAAAGGATCTGGGCAGTCGAAAGATTTTAAGACCAAAAAAATATTTGTCGGCGGCATTCCATCTTCTGTCACAGAAGGTATAACTGCTTATAATTGTGGTTGACAATGCTTCTCAAGCAGAAGACATAAATGGATTATCTTCTTTGATTGAGAGGGATTTTTGCCATTCAAGTCTAGTAACTGTGCTGTCAATTTTTTGCAGATGAGTTCCAGGAGTTCTTTTCCCAGCATGGAACAGTTGTAGAGCATCAAATTATACGTGATCATGAAACAAATCGTTCACGAGGATTTGGGTTTATAATTTTTGACTGTGAAGAAGTAGTAGATGAACTGTTATCAAAAGGAAATATGATTGATATGGCTGGTACCCAGGTGAGCTTAGTTAGAGGTTTTGAAAGAGATAAAAATGTACTGGGATCCCTTTCAAGTTGGGCCCTTCCTTTTTCTTACTTAATGGCCAAGATTTCTGCCTCTGCAATCTTCTCTTTTGTTTGTTTACATATTCTTCTCTAATTGAGCTGTAGCTTGAGAAATGGTTACAGGTATAGATCTCAGGAGAGGGCTCACTATAGTTTGCTTGCCGCAGAAATTAGGTTGACTTAGTTGCTTATGTTGTAGGTGGAGATCAAGAAAGCTGAACCCAAGAAACCCTCAAACCTACCACCACCTGGTCCTGCATATGGTAGCAACTCTAGGAGTCGTTCATTCAATGACGGCTTTGCTGCTGGTGGATACTCCAGCCCCTATGGGGGTTTTGATGGAGAGTTTGGCCCCGGACCTTATAGAACACCTGGGGGTATGGGTAGTAGGCTTGGCGGTGGTGGATATGGCTATGGTAATGGGGGTCCAGAATATGGTGGTGGTGGTTATGGTAACTTTGGAGGTAGTGGCATTGGAGGTTACCGAGGTGAACCCTCACTTGGGTATTCAGGTCGTTTTGGACCTTATGGCGATGGCTTTAGTGGAGGCTATGGCGGCGGTAGTGGGTTAGGAGGGTACGGTCGAGGGGGTGATGGGTATGGCGGTTATGGAAGTGCTGGTGGTTACGGTGGTGGTGGTTATGAATCTGGTCCAGGTCCTAGCTATGGAGGAGGAGCAGGTGGTGGTGGTGGTGGTCTGTATGGCCGGGGAGGCTATAGTGGCAGTAGTCGTTATCATCCTTATGCGAGATAGAAGGGCATTTCGATGCAGTTGCTTAAGCTTTTGCATAGACGCGTATGTTATCCACCAGGATCCTCTCTAGTTTAAAAAAAGTCTCAAGCAAAGGGTAGGCAACAATTCCCTACATGCTCTAGAAGTCTCTCCTCCGAAGCTTTCAGGACCAGAATCCAGTTTGATTACAACTCTTATTCTGCTGTATTCTTTTCTCTAGAAAGACTTGATAGTTACTTACTGCCCTTATGCTGAACTATTTCTAGCTGGTTTTCTATGAAGATGGTGCTGTAGACTGTAGCAAACCTTGGGGTTAAGCGTGTTGGTTCCTCTCTTAGTGCAGTTTTCCCAGATAGAATTGTGTTCGTGTATGTAGTATCATAGTATGTAGTATGTGTTATTGCTCATCTGTTTTTCAGATATTACTTGTTTAGCTAGCTGTTGGGACCTTCTATGCTGATATTATTTCTTGGTGTTAGTTCTGTGTGTAATGGAGGTATATCGGTATAGATGCCTCAGTAGAGGCTGTTTAGCTTCAGCTGGTTTGATATCGTTGCAACTTGCAAATTAGGTATAGAGGCCTCAGTAGTGGGTGTTCGCCCTTCGCAAACTGTTAAAAACAATAATGGAGTCGATCATTTATACCAGTGATTTAGCTGATAGACAACAATATTGTGCTCTCTTATGTCTTGATTTCCCTAGCAATTCCTTGAATAATTCTTTTGTTAATCTATTACCATATAGTGGAATGTACAATTTCGGGATCTATAAGTCTACACGATTTTGGAAGAGTGGTTTCCCTCTCTAGTTTTCCCCGATTGTAATAGGTTAAGGCAAATCGCATATCGATAAAGTACAATGGAGATAATAGGGGTGGGCAACGGGACGGGTCCGTCCTGTTTGAAACGGGTACCCAATCCCGTTTGGAGATCAAAGTTCAGTCCATGTCCCAACCCGTTTGGATAAACGAGTACCCATTACCCGTACGGGACGGATAACGGGTACCCATATTATCCATAAATATCCAAAATTTTAATCAAATTTTTTTTAACAAAAGTTTAAACTTAATTTGTACTTGCTTAACAATCACAAAATCCATCCCAAATTCCCAATCACAACGCATAGAAATAAGCATTCCAAGCACCCATAACAACTAAAAAGAGCTGTTGGTTGCTACTGTTCAGCTTAAAATAAAAAGCTCCATTCGACAATTCGAACCGGGGAGGCAAGCTGTTGCTGTTCTGCTGCCCACCCTGCTTCTGCAAGCTGCTGCCCACCATCGAGCTGCTGCTGTTCAAGCTGCTATCGCCTGCTGCAAATCAGCAGTTCCATTATCAACAAATTAAAGGGAGAAGCACGGCACAAAAATTCACCAAGTGTTCTACATAATAACAACACAGTCAAGGGGAAAGCAGGGCAGAAAAATCCAGTAAATGTCACCCAAAAATCAAAATACAAACACCATGGAAAAACTGAAAGAAATCAAAGTAGAGAGGAAGGAAGATGGGCATGGGCCTGTGTAATTTTTGAATGGGTAAAACGGGTACCCATATTCTCAAACGGGTATTTGCGGGTAACTCGCGGATACCATTGTGGAAATGTACAATCTCAAGTCCCGTCCGTTAATAATTTTAAGGGTAATATGGGTACCTGCAACCCTCAAAAAACGGACGGGTACGGTTATACCCAAATACCCGTTTCCCGTTGCCCACCTCTAGAGATATATGATTTGTAAGGAACATCCGATCTTAATTGATAAGATGCATTTTGAGATGAAATGAATGGGTTCTTGTGTGAATTTTGAAGCTAAATGTGCTTGATGTGAAGTCGTGTGAAGATGAATGACTTCTAGGAAAATAATTATGATACACCCTAAAATCCCAACCGCAAGGCTAGTAGGTAGGGATGGCAACAAAACCCGAACCCACGGGTACCCACCCGACCCAACCCGGTCAACGCGGGTAAAACCCGTGTTGACGGGTTTTGGGCCGGATTTGGGTTTAAACCCGCTACACTATTCACCGGGTCGGGTTGGGTTTGGGTTTAGGTAAACCCGACCCATGGGTACCCGCCCACACACATATAATTACTTTCCCGGTATATTTAATATTCTAAATAATATATCTTTCTTAAACAATTAATATTCTTTATGTTGGTGGAGACATGTATAATTTGTTCTTTCTAATTGTTTAGAGTGAAGTTGATATTATGAAGTGGAGAGTGAAGAAACTTAGTTGACGAGGAAGAAGCTTTCAATTAATCTTTTGTTTATAGATGTTTATCTTTAATTTTGAACAATTTGTATTGATCATTTGCGGTTTGTTTGTATGCTCTAGATTGGTGTTTTTTTTATGATTAATTTGTATGAGAAAATTGATGTTAAACTTTTATTTTGAAAGAAACTTGTTATTGTAAATTTTTTACCACAAAAACCCACGGGTACCCAGCGGGTTGGGTTGGGTTTGAGTTTTTCAAACCCAACGGGTTTTACCCCGGGTTTTTTTGACGGATAAACCCATGGGTTTGGATTTGGGTTTGACAAAACCCGCCCCAACCCGACCCATTGTCATCCCTACTAGTATGAAACAAACGATTTCTTGATAAGAAAAGATTGACATGCTCTATTTTATATTATAAAAAATACTTCGATTAGACAGTAATCGGTTGCTTAGCAACCACATTTTGCGAAGACGGGTCATTGCATTGGCATCATTTGGATTTTGGTAGACGATCATAACAAAATGTAATGATATTTTCGTTGGTAGTAGAATTCAAACCCCCTTATAAGCATTTTATTGATGTATTGATATAATTGGATGAACAAAAAAAATCTAACGAGTAGTGAAGTCATGAAAAACTTGTAATGTATGAAAATGCGTTGTAAACTTGTAACCAGAAATCGTTGATGGATCCCTTGCCGGTGAGCGGCCGGCCTCAACTCTGGAATGTCTCCGATGAGACGTTATCAATGACTAGTGAGTCATTAAAGCTGTCTTCTAATGGCGCTAATTGGTCTTAAATTGACCGTTTCAAAACCCAATTTTGGGGTGAGAATTATTAGGAATCATTTAAATAGAAATTAATCTTTTATTGATAATCCCCTCTGATTACTGCAGGATTCATGATGATAGAGGAAAGAGAGCCTCTTTAGTCTTTACCATCTAGGCAGCATGAATTGGCAGATTTTTTTGCAGGAAAGACATCGATGGTGGTGGGACTACTTGCCTTTAATTGTATGTCCATGTTAGCACAATAAAACCCATAATTGGCTAATGGCTCATTTAAGTTCTTAGTTAGCTACATTGTCATTAATTCCAAATAGAAAATCATTGGCTCATATCATTGATACTCCCATTTGGCAAAGACATGGGTCATCGAGACTCCTCAAAAACTCAGATTCTTCATCTGGCAGTGTCTCAAACTGGGCAGTCGTTGCCCAGTTTGCTGGAGAAGCCCTGAAAGTCTTGAACATCTGTTCTTCAAATGTCCCTTGGCCACAAGATTGTGGTCGCTCATGGGTCTAAATGATTTCATTTCCTCGGCCCCGACTGTGAACTTCAGTCTCTGGTGCCGACATGTTATGCTTTCTGAGCACCCCCAAACCCATATTCTCCTATACGTTTGTGTATTATGGAGGATCTGGAAGTCTAGAAATAAGGTGGTCTTTGAGCATATCCAGCCTCATGCCCAGTCTCTCGCTCGTCAGTGTTTTTTCCAAGTTCGTGATCTGTCTTCCTCCCTGCCTTTGGTCCCTGCTCCTCCGCCCCAGCCTTCCTGCTCTCGCCGCTCGTCTTGGTCCCCTCCTCCTGATGGTTTTCTGAAGATCAACTTTGGTGCTGCTGTTCGTCCTTCTGAGTGCTCGTCTGGTCTAGTGGTGCAAAGTTCAGACGGGCATGTGGCTCTGACAATATGATTTCTTCACCCCGGTATTGGTGATCCCTACCTTGCGGAACTCCTAGCTGCTAGAGACGCCATATTCCTTCTGGTGTCCAAATCTCTGCCTCGGGTCATCATAGAAGGAGCTTCAGAGGTGGTGATTCGTCAGCTTCGTCAAGGTGCTCTCTCAGACTCCATTGGAGGTTCGGTGCTTCGGGTTGCTTCCTTCTCCTGTCTTCTGTCTCTGTTTCTTTAGAGTTTAGGGCAGTTCCTCGGACTGCTAACAGGGCTGCCCATAGAGTGGCGCCGAAAGCCCTGTTACTCTCCCCTTTAGAGTTGTGCGCCTTTGTCTTTGTTGGTTGGCTTCACTAATGTAATGGGTTGGGCAGGGTCTTGGTAGATTGTATAGGTTCTCTCTTGACATTACTTGGAAAAAAAAAACTTTTCTACAATTATATTTGGAGAAACTAAAGGAGCTGGGCAAAAGATAGAGCAGCTGGTTGAAGTCATAGTTAGTAAAATATGGTACGGGAAAGTTACGTAAAAGATACGTACGGGCATTATACTTCATCTTTAAGCTAAAATTACGTTTAATAGTACGTTAATAGTCATAAATATATAAAATTAATCATTTTAAAAATAAATAAATATATAAATAATAGTAAAGTTAACAATTTACTTCGTAAAATACGGATAATAAACGTGTTATACGGGTTTTATACGTGTTTAGTACGGGAACCATGAAATGAACGGGGGAAAATAAAACGGCTTGACAATAATACGGATACAGAAGTTTTAAACGGATAATGTACGTACGGGTACATATACGTGTATTAAACGGAGTATTTACTAACTATGGTTGAAGTATACTTATTTCCTTATTTAAAAAAAAAGTATACTTATTTCCAGAGCAAGCCAAACGACGGCAGGCACTAATCCAGGTAGGGTTAACGTTAACACCGCAACTAATCACAGCAAATTACAGAAAAGTATTGAACAACCGCGGGAAAAAAAAAATAGAAAAAGGAAGAAGAAAAAAAAAGACAATCGCCGTAAACGCCGCCAAGGCAGATCCACGTAGGAACGGACAAAAATCCGAAGCAAGGGTGTCACGGTCCGAACCTCGTAGGTTCGGAGCTGAACACAGCTGGATAGTGGATACAGGCTGTCACCCACAAAGTCCCACTCAGCGATTCCCCTAACTGCGTTCGCTCTCTCTCTCTCTCCTTCTATTTTTCCTTCCCAATTCCCTCTCTCTCTCTTTCTTCTTTCCCCTCTCCTCTTGTCTCCGGTCTCTGTCTTTCTCTCCCCTTCTGTTGCCCCCTCGCCCTCTGCTCATTCTCTCTCTCGTTCTCCTTCCCCCTTTTGCGTTTCCGGCTAGGGTTTCGCCCATCACCTCCGGAGATTCGCCGATTTCACGTCGGCAGTCGGTGGATCAAGATTCCTTGCTTCGTAAGCTCTCTATTCATTATAATTTCCCCCGCTTTGTCCCTGTCCCTTCCGCTGAGGACTAGGGCTTTGCATGTGTGGATTTTCTTCTTCTCTCATTTCTGCTGTTTCCATTAAACATTTTGCTGGGAATTTTCTTTTTGTTGGGTTTTAGTTTGAGAAGGCGTCAATGTCAGTTTTTGGTTTCCGGGGGGGCTACCTGCTTTGACTGTTCTTTGTAATTGAACCCTACGTTCCTCGCCCTAATTCTTGAGTATGGTTATGTTGAAGTGGGTTTTTTTTTATACTTCTGTTGCAAAGTTCTTTGCAGGGTTTACTTGGAGAGGTTAGATTTAAGTATGTTGGTTGAATGCGTGATGTTGTTATCGCCTGCCTGTCCGGGGCTCTGGTTTTTAGATAAGTGGTGATCAATGGGATTGACGTTTGTGGTTTTCTTTTGTTGCCCTTTATCTACTGATTGGCCACTTTTCTTCTTCTTGTGGGTAGTTCATGAATTGTGTTGCGAAGAACTATGAGATGCCTGGTGGAATTGGTGAGTGGGTAAGGATTGTGAATGTTGTGAGCTTCTGTGCTGGAGGTGTGCTCAACATTGAGCTCTGTTGTAGGATTTTTGGCTAAAAGAATCAATGAGTTTCTGGTTAGTCAGATGGTTGCCGAATAGTCTTTTGCAATGTACATATAGATGCACTTCGGTTGGTTGTAGATGTAGTAGGGGAGTAGTATAACTTCTCAGGGTCGTGGTTGGTTTGCTGTACCCATAGTTCATTCACTTTAATGATCTCGTTTATATTCGGCTGGTATTATTTATCATATCTCCTTTTATGCTTTGCCTCAAATTGCTTCATGCTTTCAATTATTGCTTTTTCATTGAGTACTTGCATGTTTTCTTGCAGGTGTTTCACTGGATAATATACATCTTCAGATTGCGTCAAGTCTGAAAATTAAGCACTGAGAATTTACTGATTGCACCTTGGATTCGTAAAACAAGGTGGAGGACATCACAGTTGGAGCTTTGTAGCCCAAGAAAGTGATGGTGTTATATGGTAATTTGGAATGAGGGGGTTGACCACTTTCAAGTAAAGAATGTATTGTGACAGGCAGGTTCTATTATTACTACAAAGAAGATAATCCTGGGAAGAAAGCAGCTTCTGTGAATCACGTCGAGGACTCCTTGTATCCATGCTGGCTGAGAGCATGCGTGGAATCTGTGTTTCGGGTGATGCCCCTGACGAGATTTGCTGCCGATGTGCTCGGTGTGGTCACAATTTGTCTAGTAGGTCTCTTGATCATCTTCGGTCTCGTCTGCATTGTCTACTCGTTTTATTTCCGATCACGCGTGCGTAATCAGGACTTGCTTAGCTACTTCAGTGGTCCTTGGATCATCCGAATCATCTTCATTATATTTGTCATCTGGTGGGCTTGTGGTGAAATTGTACGGTTGAGTTTCTTGAAACGCAAGGGGAGGGTGTTGAATACCCTCGACTACAAATGGCAGGAAAATGTCTGCAAGGTCTATATCATCTCGAATCTCGGGTTTGCAGAGCCATGCTTATTCCTCACACTTGTGTTTCTGCTGAGGGCTCCCTTGCAAAAGATGGATTCAGGAATTTTCGATCACAAATGGAATGGGAAGACAGCAGGGTATGTTCTTCTTTTTTGCCTGCCGGTGTTTGTGCTTCAACTCTGTGTTATTCTAATTGGGCCTCAACTGCACAAGGATGATGTGGATACATTGATGAAATTGCCCCCTTATTTTACAAGCACAGCTACACCTACAACACAGAGCAGTGCTCCTATTGCCCTCTGTACTTACCCTTTACTGAACACAATCCTCCTTGGGATTTTTGCCACCGTGCTTACCCTCTACCTGTTCTGTCTGGGAAGGCGCATCTTGAAGTTGGTCATTAACAAGGGTTTGCAGAAGAGAGTATATACCCTAATATTCTCGGTTTCAAGTTTCCTCCCATTGAGGGTGATTTTACTGGGGCTTTCTGTTTTATCTGAGCCAGAGCGACTTCTTTTTGAAGCTCTTGCTTTCACAGCGTTTCTCGCCCTTCTGTGTTGTGCCGGGGTCTCTATATGCATGCTTGTATACTTCCCTGTTGCAGATTCTTTGGCCCTGGGCAATCTGACTGATTTGGAGGCTAGGCGAAGGGTCAGTGAGGAACACAGTGAGAACATCTCCCTTATTGCTAACCAGAGCTACCCCGAAGAAAGCAGTAGAATAAGCCCTGACAGAAACTCTGATACATCTACAAAGCGAGGATCTATTTCTTTTCGGGCTTATGGGAAGGACGGGGCTTCGGCTGCCACATTTGTAGAGCTGAGCCTGTTTTCTCCCAGTCGAGACGTCGCCCCACCAGGATCACCCCCACTTCTCGGCTGGCCAATGCGACCTCCACCAGCACAAGCTCAGCGACCACCTTGAGAAGAAGGTTTGGCAAGAGAAACATTCTAAGGGTTAGTTATCCTGGTGAATATCAATTTTGTGGTAAAGATGAGGCAAAAGGGGGGTAAATGACAAAAGGGGGAAAGAAGATGCTGATTGTAAAGGGGTTAGTTTCAATAAGGGATTTTGATGATTCTTGGTTTGCTTTCTAATTTTAGATATGGTGATGGTTTTTCTTCAGGGTTAAATGAATGAATTAGTTTTTGGTCATGGTGCAGTTTCCCCTTTCCCTATCCACCTCAAATTCATGAGTTTCTTATTATATTGTCCTTGGTCCCAAGGTCTTTCAGATTTGTTGAGTTTAGCTCAAGAGAACTGAGAGGATGGTGGGTTGCAGTCGGCCAGCTGCTGCTGTATTCTAATCATCTAAATGGTGGGCATTTGAGCCATCATTTACAACTGGCTGGACAACTAATGTGGGTTGTAGGCAAGTTGTGACAAACAACAAATCTGATCTGTCACCTGCAACAAGTGAGTTGTATGGGGATTTCTTGTCTTTGAATTATTCCTGTAGTCCAGCTGCTGCTGGATGGTCTTTTCAAGCTGGACATGGTGGGAATTAGTTTATTATTATTCCTTCTTTCCCCTCTTTGGTTTGACCAACGCAAGTGCACTGTCCTCACCGCCGGCGACCGGCGGTGGGTGGGTAGCACCGTAGCAGGTAACTTGTTCTCAAATTAGCTTCAGGTGCTTACAGAAAGGTAGAATGATGACAGAAGTGATTAATGTCAAGCTGTGCCACCAGATTGGCTTAAATACCATCCTTTTTCTCCCGGCCTTTGGAAAGTTTGGAAAAAAGACGTGCGACTTGTTCGAAAGGCGGAATGTGGAACTTCAGCGTATACTCCATATTTGGTTTCTACTTTTCTCTCGGCCGCTTCTGGAAGAAGGGAACATTATAGGGTTTAATTCAGTTTCCAAATCCCTAATTCCTTTTTTCTAGAAGTCTATATTCCTATTCCCTATTCCTAAGCCAATGTTCAACTTCAAAGTTTGATTCCCACCAAAGTGAAAAATACATGCACGTATGGTCCGTTTCCCCGACGAGATTAATCGCCTTGTAACAGAATTGTTGTACAATTTAGTTAAGTGATCGAGAACCAACATAATTTTGGATGTATAAGTTTGCGCTATTTCTCAATTGAACATTTCTAACTCCTCAACGAAGAATGTTGTTCTTCTTAATGAACAATATGTTCTCGATGTTTAGTAAGTTAGAAACTACAACCAATATGTATATTCATATATTGTTTCGCTAGAGGTCATGTGAATCCTTGAGCAAAACTAATACAAGGTGCTTGTAAGGTCACACATCAATGGAAAAATAAATGTGACAAGTGAACAGAGTCCAGACCTCTTATCGATATTATATTCAAAAACTTCAACAAGTAAAAGTGTTAATACTTGTTGTTCGTTCAGTTCGAGTTCTTAATCCGAACTTTATCATAAGAAAGATGACATTGACAAATCGTTATAAAAAGAATCATCTGAGTGCGACCGGTTCACCCGCTGGCTGCAACCATCGTCATTGGCGTAAGCATGAAGCAGCAGCAAAGCAATTGGGCCAAGACGGGCCGGAGTTGGGCCAATAATGGTGGTTTACGTTCTGAACTTCTGATATTTCGACGTCATCATCTTGGAAAGTGGAGGCGCGTGGAAAGTACTAGAACAGCCAATGCAGTTAAGCGAAAAGGAAAGGGCAAAATTGGAACGAAAGAAAAAGTCGTATTAAGGTGGCGTGTGTACCGCCACCACCTCACAAAAAGGTCCTTTCTTCTCGCAGCTTCCTCTGAATATTTTTAGCTTCAGATCTACGAACTCGGAAATCAGACCTCAAAACCCTAGAGCTCTCCCTTCCCCCAATCCAACCTTCTCTCCACCGGTCTCTCTCGCCCTCCCCACAGCGATGGCGTCGTTCAACGAAGCTCCCCCCGGCAATGTAGATAGCGGCGCCAAGATCTTCAAGATGAAGTGCGCCCAGTGCCACACCGTCGAGAAAGGCGCTGGCCACAAACAAGGTACGCGGTTGTGACGAAACCTATGGCTTCGCCGGGTTTGGATCTCCGTGGTTAATGATCTATTTGATCTGCTTCCCGATTGTGGATGTGAATTTGTTTTTGCTTTGAATTTGTATATGGTCTACGTTTATGCATCGTCTGTTGTATTGAATCGTGATAAAGCTTCGGACTTTGGATGGTCTAGGTTTCGGATTTAGGGTGATAGAAGGAGGAGGTGTCTTCATTAGTGGGTTTAAGATTATTGGGCAATCTGCTTGATTTTGTTATGTATCGTTTAATCTGGATGGGAAATAAACCGTCTTTTTTCGGTTGATTGATCATGATATTGTATGAGGCTTTTTTCTTGTGATTTGTTATTGAGTTGAACTCGGATGTTACATCGGCTAGCGAGGCACCATGGTTCTTTGTTGTTGTGATGTAAAGGGGATGTTGCTCGCCGATTTGGTGTTCAGAGATTGATAAGTGGAGGTTATGCAATGTGCAGGGCCGAATTTGAATGGACTTTTCGGGAGGCAGTCTGGCACAACCCCAGGCTATTCCTACTCTGCTGCCAACAAGAGCATGGCTGTCAATTGGGGAGAAAATACATTGTACGACTACTTGCTTAACCCAAAGAAGGTAAGGCATCCATCCTTGTGAAATTCTGAATATAAGTTGGTAGATTTTTCTGATTGAAAACGGTTCGTGGCCTCCTTGTGTCCCTTCCTCTGATGTGTTTCATATATATTAGGCAATTGAGATTACCCTCTGTAGTGGTTTTATCTGTGAAATGAACTGTTCAACATCATATCAGTCTACAATATTTTTAATCACGTGCAAGCTAGTCTTCATTGTCACGAGGCTAGTACTTTTTTTGGTCGAAAATGCCAGGGAGTTTTTCAGTGCTTGCATAGCATTTGATAAGTTTTCCAATAATTTATGCATCTAGCTGCTCCTTTTGATGTGCAAGGAGCTCGTTTTGTTCTCAACTATGTACCTGATGGTTGATTGTTGTGTTCTTTTGCAGTACATTCCTGGAACTAAGATGGTGTTCCCTGGATTGAAGAAGCCACAGGATCGCGCAGACCTTATTGCATACCTGAAGGCATCGACTGCTTGATTGATTCTTGGTGATTTTGACAGAGATTTGTGTTTCGACATTTGCCCTTGGTTAATAGTCCCGAATTGGACTTTGTTTTTCCTGGAAGAGAAACATTAGGCATTTCTTGAAAATAAAGACATCGGGTAGGGTGGGTAAGCCCTATGTTATTTTGAGTTAGGGGAAAAGAATATATTTGTTGAGACTATACTGCGCGAGGCCCTCCGGTAGACCTCAGGATTGAATATTCACAAGCCTTATATAAGAGCTGGATTATCGCTCTTTTTTTCTTTCTGGTTTACTGCAGTAGTGCAAATGGATCGGATGATTTCTGCTTCTATTGTGCTTGTTAGTAGTCTTCGGTGAAGCGCGTAAGGTATTTTTGCAGGTTTGTAGTTCTGGGTTTCCTGTAGCTTGGCATGTGCAGAACTCGGTGTGGTAGCCGGTAGGGAGCCAAGTGGCCTATTTCACTTGACGTCCTCTTTTATTGCAACATTGATTTGGTTTATCTACATTCCTGGGAAGGTAGCTATCTAATCAGGTACTGGTCTTGGTGTAGAGTGGTTCCTCTAAAACTCAGAGTTTGCAAGTGATAACACCGAGTTTTAGTAGATCTTAGCGAAACGTATTTGTTTACGATAGAACGTAACTTGGCAGTATACGGTCTCTTGTTGCGATACTAGTGGTGCGAGTTTGTGTGGACAAGGTGAGAATTGTTTGTTCACAGTCTCTCTAGACCTAGAGTAGAGTATACAGCGTTCTAAATAGATAAAAGTTGTCTTCCCCTTCGATGAGGTTGCAGATCACTTGGGCAAAAATGGAGTCTTTACCCATAATTCACTTCCATAAACTTGTGTAGGCTAAAGGGGCGCGAACAATCTCAATAGTATGATCTCGAATTAGTGTCGTTCTAGCTCATATAGCTCTCCATCTTGGTAAGAATGAAGTAACAAAACGATATCCGTACATTAAGCGAATCATTGGAAAGTGTTGTGATGATGGGTTTAACCTCTTTCTTCAAGATCTAGATATGTTCTTGGAGAGTGAGTGGCTATGGTTTTAGCTTGTATTCACGACAACTTTCGACTTCATTGTTTTGTTCCAACTCCTATGCATCAAATTATTGTTGAAAGCAGGCATTCCCAAGGCGCAGAATTGTTGAATTCTTCATGAAAAAACCATATGACTCCCAATTAGAAAAGTTTTGTGGTCTCTATAACTAGATTAATAAACAGGTAATTATGTTCAAATCTTGTATTTTCCCACATTTCCCTCTCACCCCATATTGTGGGTGGACTAAGTGGTTATTATGGAATCCGCACGAGAAATGCACGAGTCATTTCTCAATTCTGTAGATAGTAAGCTGTTCGGACAATTGAAGGTGTTGTGTATATTCTTAATACCAAGAAAAGTGGTGAACATGGAGTGTTCAAGTTCTTCCAAACGATGTTATCATCGGTTGAGCCTTCCTTTTGGGAGCCATTCCTGCTCTTTTACGGCAGTTGCAAACGACGCTCTCGTTAGTAAAGTTCCCTTGTTTTGGAACTATTCGGTTACTGAAAACACGTTACATGATACCAACGTTTCCTGCATCTCACGGCCGGCAACATCAAGAAGCTCGAGTCCTTGGGAAATTCGTTTGGTGATGTTAATTAAAAGGTACCATGTTTTCCGGATAGTCGTGGTGTGGCCTCCGGTGAGCTCTTGCCTGAGAATTGTGGCTCAGTCTATTCTTCCGGTGGCTACTTCAGTATCCATATGACCATATCCGGTTATTTGACGAGACTGCAGCCCAAAACGGTGTTTTCCCCACCGGCAAAGTTCCCGTTGATGGTCACAATGATGAAATTATTTCCCATTAATGCCTTCGGCTTATTGGGCGGTTTTCTTGACCATGATTCTAGCTATCAATTGCAGTAAATTCTAAGTAACGATGTGAGCGCTTGTTTTGGTTCAACGGAACTAAAAAGTCTCCTTGTAGTTAATAGGTCTCTTAAATTTGCGGGTACTCCATATTAAGAACCTAATTGCTTGTTCAAATAATTAGCCCATTAATAATTGGGTCAGTGTAATAAACAAATTGAATGGTTAGGTTATTGCGCGATCTGAGAGCTCTGGAGGAATTGGGTGATTAATTAAGGGAATTAGTTTCATGTCCTACTTTGTTGGTTTTCCATCTATAAATATTAAGATGCCCTACAATATTGTGGAGTTAATTTCCCCATTCGAAGTCTCGGGCATTCATTGATAACTGGGTTCCGGGGGATAAACCCTTAATCCCGAGTACCAGGCCCCATATTCAAAATGGATCACCTATGGTATCTTATTTCATAAAAAAAGGTCAAGGAGAATGGGACATTCCAAAACTCCAGACTTACTTTGAACCTCAATCTGTTGACCTCATCAGGAGAATTCCTCTTCCTCGTTACTTACAGCAAGATATTAGATTGTGGCACTACTCCAAAGATGGAAAATACATAGTCAAATCGGGTTATCACTTAGCCCTGAAAATAGCATTGGCATCAAGCCGAAAACCGATAGTACATATCATCGACCCTCCTATTTGGAAAAGGATTTGGAATATCCAAGTCCCGCCTAAGCTCAAATTCTTCATATGGCAATGCCTCAAAGGCATTCTTCCCACAGTAGCGGCCCTTCAAACTTGGAGTAAACTGCCTTAATCGATGCCTTGTCTGCTGGAGACATCGAGAAAGCATTGAACATTTATTCTTCAGATGCCCCCTAGCCATCAGATTGTGGACTTTAGTGGGATTGAGCAACTTTATTGAGACCGCCCAGACTATTAACTTTAGTCTATGGTGGCGACATGTCATGGTCTCTGAGACCTCCCCATTCCACATTCTCCAATGCGTCTGTTTACTTTGGAGAATCTGGAAGTCTAGAAATAAAATTACTTTTGAATTTTACCAACCTCATGCACGTTCCCTAGCCAGACAGTTCTACAACCAGGTCCTCGAAGTCTCCAATCTTCTTCTTTCTCCTCCAACCCGCAACTCTCTACTCCCAAACCATCCTGCCACCACTTGGGTCCCTCCGCCAGAAGACTTTTTGAAGATCAATTTCGACGCTGCTGTTTGTGCCACCGGGTGTTCGTCTGGGCTTGTTATCCGTGGGTTAGACAAGCATGTTGTGTTGGCGTTCAGGCTGCAACATCAAGAAATAGTCAATCCCTACCTGGCAGAGCTTCTTGCCTTTAGAGACGCTATCTCCATCGTAGCCTCAAGATCCTTGACCTGCGGGATAGTCGAAGGTGATTCCGAAGTGGTCGTCAACCAAATAAGTCAAGGCGTCATAGAAGACTCGATTGGTGATCCGGTGCTACGAGCGTGTCATCAGGTCCTTAGCTCTTTGTCTGTTTGTATAGAGTTTAGGGCGGTACCTAGGTCCGCCAACAGTGCTGCCCATAGAGTGGCGCGTAAAGCACTGCTTTTGTCTCGTCTAGAGCTAGAATCTTTTGATTTTTTGGGGTGGCTTCTTTAGAGTCTTTTAGAGGTCCTGGGTAGAATTGTAAGTTTAACTATTATCCTCCATTGATATCACTCAGAAATAAAAAATAAAAAAAACGGTAAAAAAAGGATAATTGGGCCGGCCAGTGACTAATTCATGTTGTCACCATTAGGGCTGTCAATTCGGTTTCCGGTTAGCGGCTAACCGGTCGGTCTAACCGGTAACCGCCGGTTAGCGGCTAACCGAAAACCGAAGGAAATCAGTCTCGGTCGGTTGGCGGACACTGGGTGTGACCAGGCGGTTAGCCGAGTAACCGAAGCCGGTTAACCGGCTAACCGCCTCTAACCGACCGATTGATACGACGTCGTTTTGGACGGTGAGAAACGACCCCAACCCTGGACACTCGCGTGAATCGTCGACAGTCGCCAGACCCTCCATCCCTCTCGTTTTACTTCCTCCTCATCCTCTACTGGCGAAATCCTCAGAGACCATCGCCGCCATCGCCGGCCAGCACGCCATCGCGCCATCGCCGCCAGCACGCCATCGCCGACCAGTCACCAATCGCCTCGCCAGTCTGCCGCCAGCCCGCCACCCTCCAATCGCCGCCAGTCCGAATCGCCACGACGCCAGCCCTCACTTCTTGCTCGTTGAGCAATCCCCGGCCGATTCCCATCGGCCGCGCCACCAGCACCAGCCTCGGCCGCCGCCGCCCTGATTCCGCCCAATTTTGAATCCCAGTCCGTCTGCCTCCGCCGTAGGTTTCTTGTAGGAGGAGGCGAAATTGAGTGAGGTTTTGGCCTCCCGGCATCAGATTGGGGTTCACGGTGGCCATCCCGTGGTAGATCAGCCCGACGGTAGCGGATCCGAAGCAATGCGTCTCCGCCGCCGTCGTGCCGTTTCCAATCACGACGATTGGGTGCTTGGTGAAGGAGCGGAGCAGGTCGGCGTACTTCCTGATCCACCAATCGCCAGCTTCGGAGACGACGAGGATGATGTCTCGGTCGGAGGGGAAGAGGGTGTTGACGGTGACGAAGAGAGGGATGAATCTCTCGCTGAAATCGTGGAAGAAGTTGCCGGTGTACCCGCCGGCGCTGAACACGACAGCGGGGAGGTCGCCGTGGTGGATCTGGCACTGTGGGCTTGTTGGGCCGGACTGTGGGTTTTCAATCGGTTTATTTTGGTTTTCGGTCGGTTAGACCAGTAGACCGAACCGACCTTCCCTTTTTTAGGTGTAGGCGGTTTAACCGTGCCTTAACCGAAACCGTCCGGTCGGTTTTCGAATAACCGAGGTGCCAGAGTCGGTCGGTGGCCGGTGGTCACAGGTCAGGTTTCGGTTTAACCGAAAACCGAGATTTCGGTTTTCGGTTAAACCGAAACCGACCGGGTGACAGCCCTAGTCACCATAACAAATGTTGTACAATGAGAAGGCGTCTAATCAACAAATGATTCCGAAAAAGTACGAGCCACTGAAGATCAAACAAAACCAGCGAAACGCAAAAGTACAAAAGCAGAGGTGGTCGAAGTCGTCGACGATGGGGACGGGCCGAGGCTGAAAAGTCTGTGATCGTATTAAATATCGTAACTTGGGGCTATTTGGATCATGGAAACTCGCCTCTGTCAGAACCATTTACAGTCTCGCTCCAAAATTTTGCAGTTAGCTCTGTTTTCTTCCTCCCACTGACCCGTCTGCGTACTCTTTATCTGGTCAGTGACAGTGGCGCTTCTGATTCTAGTTCCAACTTTTTGAGTCTCTTTGGAAACTGGCTGGTTGCCCTCTTCTCAATTTTGCATGAACAATTTCTGCGATCGAGTCGGGTTTATCATGGTTAACTAGTATTGAATTGGTTCTTGTTAGAATCCAATGCAGGCTTGTTTTGTGTGGCTTGTCGGGAAGTCGACACTGGTATTTGGTTTTAGTGTGGTTGGTGAACTGATTGCGCAGTTTTCACATTATACCTTACTTTTACTAATCTGGGTAACTTTTCTTACTGGGATTTTGACTGTTTGCAAATTACTTGTGGGGTTTGTTTGCTTAAATTCAGTAGGGTCAAACTTTCGGAATCGAAGCAGTTAAGATACTTAGATCTTCTGTAACCGTTTCCAAAAGAAACCAAAGCTGTGAATTTTCTTATTAGAGCATCTGAACATGGTTTCTGCTTTCATCAATTAAAATGGTAGTTTTCTATGTAGTGATATTGCCAGAGTCTTTTTGGTAACCCCTTGATCATTTTTACAATTTCGTCAAACAGGTGAGGCAAAAGGCATTGTCTTTCAGTCTTTTCAATAGCTTTCACTGATCTGTAATCTTTCTGTCAATTCATTCTGAACCAGGCAACATCGTTTTGAGGGAAGATGGTGGAGAATGGTTTTGATGATGATAACAACGGAACTTCTAAGAGTTCTGAGAATAAGGTATTCACTGATTCTTTTCCATGCCTTGGAATGCTGTCTAGTGTGGTGTTGTCTCCCCAACTTTGATCGGTTGCCATACAGTTTGGAATGTCTGATTTGCCTTTTGTTTTCCTTGGTTGATTCTTCGGTTAAGCTTTACGAGAATGCAGAAGTAGAAAAACTGATAAGTGGAAGCGGGAAATTCTTCAGAACCTCCATTCTTTAGATCATTCAGGCTTGTGCTATTGAAACAAATGTTAACAGGACTGTAGTATGTATAGATGCAAATTTTTTTATGGTTGGCCCAAAGAACTAATTTAGGCTCTAAGATGGTTGCCTATTGTTGCTATCTGAAAAGCACGATGGAACACTCTTTTTTTTTTTTGGTCTTTTTATTAATTTTGGTCAGTTCTTGTAACTTCATATTGTATGGAGGTGTTTGAGTATTACAAAAGGGGCTTTATCATAGGATCCAATTCTTAATTAGTATCCTTTATGTTCCAATCAAGAAAGACAGATCAATGTTGCTTATCCTTTCAATATGTAGAACCTAGAAGATTCCCATCCTTCTGTTTTTCCATTCTTTTTGGTAATTTTATTGTCATTGGTTCCATTTTGTCTTCTTGTTTCTTTGTACCATATGCCTTTGTTGGTTCAGGCTCAATGATTTATCTAATGTCTTCTTTCTTGTCTGAATTAAGGTTGATCCTGGGAAGCCTGCAACTCTTACGTGGCAGAGAAAACTGAACAGTGAGCTGGTGTCCCTCAAACAGTTTCGTCTGACACTTAACGAGATAGTTCAGCTGGTATGGAGAAACTAGGATGAGTTTGCTTCTAGCTTTTTTTTTTTTCCAGCTTCAGTATGATTCCTTTATTGAATAATGGCTTTCCTTACTTCATGTCTTTATCCCAGTTCAGCAGTGTGAAGTTATAAGTTGTAACGTTCTTTGAAAATTGTGATGTATAAGGACCAGTTATTAATTCCAGTGGTAACTTGCACTTGCATAGTTCATGGACGTCTGATCAGTTTGCATAATTGTGTTTAGGGTTAGAGAGTATACTGTAAAGATCTTAGCATTATTTCAGGTTCGTGAACTGGACAACTATTCACTTCCGTTTGCTATTTGTCGCTTCCTATTCTAGGCTCCGATAGGTGTTCGACTAATACGTTATGTCCGTGAAGAATCTGCAAAAGGACGGGTACTTTATTTTCTGCCTATAGTTGATGCATTTGTAGCAACATTTGTAGTGATTCATCCACTTACCTCATAATTTTTTTGCAGGGGGGCTTTTTCATCCATCCATTTGCTAAACGCCATTTGACAACTAGTCATGGCGTTCCCCTAGGCGGTATAGGGTAGGTTTCCATCGTTATTGAGAAGCCATATTTCTGTTTTGGCATCATAGATCTTAAAGAAGAACTACTTTAAAATTTATTCCTTAATCTTTTGTTTGCCTTCCAACTGATTACCAAATAAATGCTCTCTTAGCCAATTGCTGGCGAGCACCAAATTATTACTGACAGGAATATATGCCTTCGATAAATATGCGGATTTATAATGGAGCAAGAGCTTCAAGCTGATAAAAGTCACTTCCAGTTGGATTCCTATTTTTCCTTATGTGTTGGCCTGGTTGCGTCTCTTCACTTGGTCTCTAATTGAAGACGGCGTATTTCATTATTTTGCTTATAATACCAGTTTATGATCCCCTGGTAACCACAACGTGGCAGCTAAAGGAATAATATTTCGTTATTTACAGCTCGGGAAGCATTGGCAGAAGTTTCCGGGGTGAGTTCCAGCGGTGGCAACTATCTCCTGGAAGGTGTGAAGAAGCACCTGTTTTGGCAAATCAGTTTTCTGTAAGTTTAAATGGGTTTGTATATTCATGGTATGGAGATTACCTTGTTTGGTAGAAGAGCAATAAGGTTGTTGAAGCTTGCTTGTTCTAGAATGGGGATAGTGTTAACTAGGATGAAATTTTCCACTAAAAACTGTTTTATAATGTTGGAGCTTGCTTGTTGGATATGCGAATTTAACTTTTAGTGTTTTCAATGCAAGTTTTTAATACTTTTGATTTATGAATAGATAAGTAATGATTTTCACAGAAAATGCTTGTGGCATTTTGTAAACATTTGGTTTAAGGTCTACAAGTGACATTTGTCAAATTTGCACTGCATTTTGTGTGCATCCGAGATCCGGGGTGTACTGAAAATGTTCCCTTATTATTGGCTACTTTCTTTTATTACATAACTTTGGCAAAGTGATAAGCAATGTTTACTTCTGTATGCAGGCTTTTGTATCTCGTTCCAATGGCCATAAGTACTCCAGTGTATTGTGTCCAAGGACTCCTGACATGCTAATGTAAAAGAAATTGTTCCTTTTGCATCAGTATTTTCCATTTCTGCCTGTTATTTCCTATATGTGCGTTGAGTTTTATTTATGTGGTCATAGAAAAATTCCTGAAGAACCAAAAGCTGTTTAAACTTACAAAATGCCCTATCTATACTCAGAGATCCTGCAGCTTCTGGGATTGGGTCATGGGACTGGAATCTGAAGGGTGATAAGTCTACATATCATGCCTTGTACCCAAGGGCATGGACGACATATGAGGGTAAGTGACCCAAATAGGTCTGATGTCGATAATCCATGAGCCTGATACTTGGGTGCATTTGTTTTTATCTCCACTCACCTTGCTTCTAAATGCAGGTGAACCTGATCCAGAACTTAAAATAGTTTGTCGTCAGTTCTCTCCCATCATTCCTCATAATTACAAGGAGAGTAGCTATCCGGTTGCGATTTTCACTTTCACGGTAGGAATGAGTCTTTAAAATTTCAATCATATCTTATGTGTTTCCTATTCTTTGTTTGTTGAGGACAAGCTGGTTTTTTGCAGCTCGATAATTCGGGGCAAACCGCTGCTGATGTCTCTCTGCTTTTTACATGGGCGGTAAGTCATTCTTTATCATTTGCTAATATTTTCTCATCTATTAAATAATGCTAAATCTTTTGGCACGCTATTTTTACTCAGAACTCTGCGGGAGGTGATTCTGGATCTTCTGGACAACACGTAAATTCCACTGTAACGTAAGCAAAGTTTTATATTAATAAGATTAATGTTTCCTATGTCTCCATTGTTCGCCACAATTATGTGTACTAACAATCATGATCATTATAACTCCCAGGAAGGAGGACGGTGTACATTGTGTACTTCTACACCACAGGCATGTTGTATACTTCCTTGTTTAAGGAAAATTTCAGTAGATTTTTTGTTTTCTTTCATATATAAAATTAGAAACTCTTATTCTCATTATAGGACAGCAAGCAACTTATCTCCATTGACCTTTGCCATTGCTGCTCAAGAGAGCACGGATGTCCACATTTCAGAGTGCCCTTGCTTTGTGATAACCGGTGACTCCGAAGGTGTATCTGCAAAGGACATGTGGGATGAAATTAAAGAGGTTAGTTGATTCATCTCTCTTCTCCAAATATTCTAGGCCCAGAAATGTGCATTATGCAGCTAATGGTCATTTCCAAATGGCTTTTGTTCTGAACAGCATGGATCATTCGATAACCTTAAGTCTGCTGGAGGCTATAGGCCTTCAGAACTGGGATCATCTATTGGGGCAGCCATCGCAGCCACTGTAACAGTTCCACCTAATCAAGTTCGTACTGTTACTTTCACATTGGCGTGGGATTGCCCTGAAGCGAATTTCTTGGGGGGAAGGACGTATCACAGGTAGGTTGTTTGAATTCTTGTAGTTGAAGTAACGGAAAACCCATCTGATGATGTCGACTATGTTCCACAGACGTTACACAAAGTTTTTTGGTACTCATGGGAATGCTGCTGCTAATATTGCACATGATGCCATCCTAAGTAAGGATCTATGCATCGTTCTCTTCATTTTGGCTATTACCTTTTCCTTTATAAGTATATCTGGCTCAGGATTCTCACTTTCTTTGTATCTGGTAAATAGAGCATAGTCATTGGGAGTCCCAAATAGAAGACTGGCAAAGACCAATTCTTGAAGATAAATCATACCCCGAATGGTAAAGATTTTACACACATAATTGTTTATATCCATTCCTGTAGTAGATAACATAGATATTGTTTTGCAGGTACCCTATTACTCTTTTTAATGAACTATATTATCTTAATGCTGGGAGCACAGTGTGGACAGGTATGTGGAAATTCAGAGCTGTTTCTTTTTCAGTTTTCTACATGCCTTCAGTCTAATTAGGGCACATTTGATTTTGCAGATGGATCACCTCCAGTCCATACTTTAGAAGCCCTTGGGATTCGGAAGTTCTCACTTGATAGTACAGGAGACGGTTTGAAGAGCCTTGTCGAAAAAGAAACCAATGAAAAAAGTGTTACAGCTGCTTCTATTCTCGAGAGTGTGGCTTCAAAACTACACCAGATTCAGACTCCACTTGCATCTAACTCTGCCTTTGGAACCAATTTGCTACAAGAGGGAGAAGAGAACATTGGTCAATTTCTATATCTCGAAGGGCTAGAATATCCCATGTGGAATACATACGATGTTCATTTCTACTCATCTTTCGCACTAATAATGTTGTTCCCCAAAATTCAACTGAGTGTCCAGAGGGACTTCGCTGCAGCAATTCTGATGCATGATCCCACCAAAATGCCGCTCCTTCATGATGGCCAGTGGGCTTCGAGAAAGGCTCTTGGTGCAGTACCTCATGATATTGGGCTCCATGATCCATGGTTTGAAGTAAACGCGTATTGCCTTTATGACACGGATACATGGAAAGACTTGAACCCCAAGTTCGTGCTCCAGGTTTACAGGGATGTGGTTGCCACGGGTGACAAGAAGTTTGCACAAGCTGTTTGGCCCTCGGTTTATATTGCCATGGCGTTCATGGACCAATATGATAAAGATCGAGATGGGATGATTGAGAATGACGGGTTCCCTGATCAGACATACGATACTTGGTCGGTGTCTGGTGTTAGTGCTTATAGTGGTGGGCTGTGGGTTGCAGCACTGCAGGCTGCATCAGCATTGGCTCGTGAAGTAGGTGACAAGGGTTCCGAAAAGTATTTCTGGTTTAAGTTCCAGAAGGCGAAGTCTGTGTATGAGAAGCTGTGGAATGGGTCTTACTTCGATTATGACAACAGTGGTGGTAGGAATAGTAAATCCATTCAAGCCGATCAACTAGCCGGGCACTGGTAAGTCAGTTCATGCGAATATCTTGACGTACCAATCATCTCAATGATTGACAATTTTCACCCACCATTTTCCCCCCCAGGTATGCTCGAGCATGTGGCCTTGATCCAATAGTTGACAAAGACAAGGCACAAAGTGCATTAGAAACAGTTTACAACTTCAATGTCATGAAGGTGAAGGACGGGAAACGTGGGGCTGTGAATGGAATGTTGCCTGATGGGAAAGTTGACATGTCGACGATGCAGTCGAGAGAGATATGGTCTGGTGTTACGTATGCGGTTGCTGCAACAATGATCCAAGAGGGGATGGTGGATATGGGATTCCAGACAGCCAGTGGAGTTTATGAGGCTTCATGGTCTGAGAGAGGACTCGGGTATGTAGATAAGACTGCCTTTATTTGTTACTGCAACTTAACGTTACCTCCATAACCAACTTGAGCTTGTTCTGGAGAATTTAACTCCATTTGTTTTTTGCAATTTGGATCAGTTATGGGTTTCAAACTCCAGAAGCTTGGAACACCGACGATCAGTATCGATCACTATGCTACATGAGGCCATTGGCCATTTGGGCAATGCAGTGGGCACTTACGAGACCGAAACTTAACCCGGTGGAGACGAGAGCACCTGTTAATATGCAAGACTTCCCATTTGCAGAGGATGCTGGCTTTGCCAAGGTGGCTCGTTTTCTCAAGTTGCCTGACTCGCATCAACCCAAAAGCCTTTTCCAGACTGTGTATGATTATGCTTCCAAGAAGATGGGATACTGATTTGGAAGCAGTACAGAAACTGTTTCTTTTTTTTTTATGCGAGGCTTTTCATAGTGTTAACAGTAAGAACTTCTGCTTTCATATTCCTGATGTCCCAGTTCATTAATTAAAGCTTCAAGAAAGTAACATTCTTCTTCTTTGGAAAATTCTCAAACCAAGGTCAACGTTCGGTTCAGCCGTGGTCAACACGAAATTTCAGTTTGGTTGGGCCGCACGATTAACTGAATCCATCCTATGGGCAGGCCCGGCCCAAAGAAAATTCTCAAGCCCATCTCTTCTCCGGCTTGTGGCCTTGTAGGGCGATCAAGCAGCAAACATGAGCGAATATGAAATATCGCATCGTCGTAGTTTCGGATTGCTTGTTCATCTTTTTGTGTTCCCAATACGAGCAATCAAAATGCTATAGACGGAGAAGGCGTATTGAAACCGTAAAGCCGAAAGCTTTACAGAAATTCTGCTGTTTGTTAACGGATTTTCCCATGGAACTAGTGTTGAACCGAATTCACGTCTCTTCTCCCCGATCAAGAGCTTCCTTATCTTCCGTCAATGTGAAAGCCCTGTCTTTCATTCCCCTCCCAGCTGAAAAGAAGAACTCCAGCAACCAAAAATTCCTTTCAGGTATTCTATCGAGCACTTTTTTTGTCTGGGCAATAGATATACAGGGGTTAGTGAAGAATTTGTGATGTTCTTGTGTGTTTCTGAGCTTTTGCAGAAGTTGGGTTTGCATCATTTAGCTTTAAACTCTCCATTTTTGTGGGGTTTGTATGCATTTGCTGGGGAGCATGTGTGAAAATGGGCTGAATTAGCTGGAAGTATGATATGATAAACTGTCGCCTCCTGGTTGCCTGAAGTGTGGTTTCAATCCTTCGTAGGAGGGACGTGGTGGTTCCGGTTTGCTTTTGCCTTTGACAAAGTTGGATACTTTTTCAAAAGTCTAGCTTGCATGTGGCTTATGCTTTGGGGATTAATGTGTATCCACTATGAACTGTGTGTTTCGCTGCAGTTTTTTCCTTGCCCTTGTTTTCATGCTCTGTAGTCTGCCTTTCAACAAGATGAGGGTACTTAATGAAAGGGCTGGTTAAGACCTCCAATTCGTCGTTGCTTACAACCTTTAGATTCTCGAGTTATGGATGAATATGATAGAGAAGGGTTATGCTGTTTTGCTTGAAAATGCATCTCCGAAGAACGAAGATTTTAAGTCCTTCCATGTCAATGGAAGGTCGTGGGCATGAAAATTGGTGCTTTCCCTGAGAGACTACAGCGAGGCTGATTGTCTGTTTCTTGATTGCTGCCATTAATAGTTTACACTATACAGTCACTGAGAACTGCTTTGCAAGCTGAGTTTCTCATATGTAGTTTTTTCCTTCTCTTTTACATAGTTCCAGTGTGTTCTAACAGTTTAAGCAGTGTGTGGCTATTGCAGGAGGGGATTTCACCAAAACCGAGTCACTGCCAACAGTCTGATACTCTTTGCAATGACCAACAACTGCATTACTAGAGTAAACCATATCCACCACAAGAGGGTCACAAGACTCGCAACAACAATATCATCATCTGCCACAAATAGCTACACCAATCTATCGAGCTGCAGATTTTTCACCTGTTCACCACCGTTGATATCTCGAACACCTTCTTTCAAACCCCTAGTCTTATCCGCCTGTATCACCCAATCAGATGCACCTCAACGCTCAGAGGAATGGTTTGCCCTTAGGAAGGACAAGCTGACCACAAGCACCTTTAGTACCGCATTAGGGTTTTGGAAGGGGAAACGACGACCAGAGCTCTGGCATGAAAAGGTTTTTGCAGCAGAAGTAGAGTTTGTCCAAGCTTCAAAGAATGCAATGGAATGGGGTGTGCTCAATGAGTCACTAGCCATCGAACGATATAGAAGCATCACGGGTCGTGAAGTTAGCTCACTAGGGTTTGCAGTCCATGCACAAGAGAAACTCGATTGGCTTGGCGCTTCACCAGATGGTCTACTTGGGTGCTTTCCTGAAGGTGGAATATTGGAAGTGAAGTGTCCTTATAACAAGGGGAAGCCCGAGCAGGGTCTCCCCTGGTCAACCATGCCTTTCTATTACATGCCTCAGGTTCAAGGTCAGTTGGAGATTATGGATAGAGAATGGGCAGATTTGTATTGCTGGATGCCTAATGGTAGCACGATATTCCGCGTCCCGAGGGACCGTGATTACTGGGAGCTCATGTGTGGGATGTTGAAGGAGTTTTGGTGGGAGAATGTGATTCCTGCTAGGGAAGCTCTTGAAGCGGGGAAAGAAAGAGAAGCCGATTCATATATGCCAGCATCTACACACAAACAGACGGGGCTCGCCATTTCTAAAAGTATCAAGTTAGCTGCTCAATGCAAGCTTCAGTGTAGGGAAATTGCAGGCCATGTTGAATTCTTTAGGTGAGAAATCTGGTCTTCTCATGTTGTCATACACTCATTTACTAATCCTATGTCTATTTTAGCATTGAACAAAGTCATATGTTTATGCTTCCAACTTGTGATTGTCGTGTTAACCAATGATTTACTTGATTTGACAACGATGGTGGTGATTGACAGAACGGGAAGGGGAGAGACAAGAGTCTTTCTGGGTTTGTTTTGCTTCTTATGCTGCATGGATTTAGTCCCGCAGTTTGCTTCTGCTGTTTTATATCCAATTATCCATGAATGGAAAGTGTATGAAGAGGCTTACTTGTGAGGCCGAACTTGGCAGTTGGCACAAAAAGGTCTTCGTCTTGGCCATTTTTCATGATCAAGAAACAAAACTCAAAAAGGGGAAGGGATTATCTCTCCTTCACCAAGCATGGATGGTTTTGGGATTACCATGTTGTATCTTTCCATCTGATTCTGTTAGTGTAAATACTAATAGGGATGGCATTGTAGACTTGTAGTTGGTAGGTTTGACACAGGTTCTCACATGTAAAATCTTGGGGGAAACTTTCTAAAATGAAGTCCAAGGAAGCTGCTAAAGATGCAAGCTTTCTGGGGGGAAATTCTCAAATATACACAAGTTTGGAATAGATTATTGCATTGTTCAACAATTTTAAAAATGGATCGCTGAAGACTACAACGATCTACATAAATCGCACCTATATATTTTGCTTATGTACGGAGCCGTCTGGTGGTACATGTGAGACGTGGCAATGTAAACTTAGTCCAGGCCCAATAGGTTTGTGACAAGTTCCCAAAGCCCATTGAAGGAATCCAGCTTGCTTTTCTATACACACTGTGTATGCAGTCTCTACCCGCCTTTACGGTCAGTTTCATTCTGCCAGAACGTGTCACAAACCAAATCCATGGCTGCCGTTGCTTTGCTGCTGGCGATGATACGGTCACGGTGAATTTCCGTACATCCTCTTTGTCCTTTCTTTGTTTCACGGCTGCTGTTGTATTGGTTTTCTGTAAAAACTAAAAAGCTTTCACCTTTTGGGGATTTTGCTTTGATGAGCTCCGTTGCTGCTAAACGCTGCAGGGTTCATCTTATACCGCCCCAGGCATTCGATTGTTTGCCGAATAATTCATCTGGGATTCTCTACTTTTCCTAGCGTATGATAGGATCATGGAATTCAATTTGATAGGATTGTTGTTCTCTGTAATGGTCTTCAGATTTCCCCCTAATTGGCCAAGATGGATCATGTCAGGTTCAGACGAAATTCCGTATTTCTGGGTGTTTGCGAATGTTTGATAGCTGTTAACTGGTTATTAGACTGTTTTGTGAGAATGGTGTAGAGAAGAGAAGTTAACAACTGTTTTGTGATGAAAAGGAGTGTACTTTTTCATGCTTTGAGCTTGCCCAATTCCACCTAATTCTGAAATGTGAATTTGAAGATGTGTTTTGCCGTAATGTTTGGATCGTTTATTGATTCTTTGGTTTATTTTTATCTTTGGCTATATTATATAATGTCAGGTCCATGATCAACAAGGGTTTTCGCATGTGAAAAAGTAAAGCTTCTTTGAGTGAGGAGGAAGGTGCCAGATGTGTAGGAAACTTCCTCTGAAAGAGAAGTCCTTGCTTGGTAATCTTTTGTATGGTTTCGATATATGTTCTTGAAGTGATAAGCATAGAGAAGGGCACAAACTGATCTGGAGATACTGCACAGAAAGCTAGTGGTAATAGAGATAGAGGGAAATGGGGTTAGAAATCGCAGAACCAAACTCCTGCATTAGAGGTTGCTGCAGCAGCAGTTCAATCCCACTTCATCTCCCACCTTCTTCTTACACCATCCTGTCCCCAATCGCGAAAGGAGCAGAGAGTGTGGTCTATGAAGCCATCCTGAATGGCAGAAAAGTTGCCGTGAAGAAACCCATATTGTCCACATCTGAGCACATGGACAAGTTTCACAAGGAGCTCCAACTGTTATGCACACTGGATCATCCAGGGATATCCAGGTTGGTTGCTGCCCATGCAAAGCCTCCCAATTACATGTTCTTCTTTGAACTCTTTGAACATGGAAGTCTCGCCGACAAATTGCATGCTGAAGAGTGGAATCCAAGCATCCATCAGGTGCTTCTTATCGCTCTCCACCTTGCCAAGGCTTTGCAGTATCTGCACAAGCTTGGCATTGTCCATAGAGATGTGAAACCAGCAAACGTGCTTCTCGACGATAACCTTCATCCTCACTTATCTGACTTTGGCCTGGCAGAATACTGGAGCAATCTCAAACAAGTCTCGGCACAAAACTGGAGATCTTCAGGAAAGCCGACTGGTGGGTTTCATAAAAAGAATATGGTTGGCACGCTTATCTACATGGCCCCTGAAATATTGAGAAAGGATGTTCACACTGAACAATCCGATGTCTACAGCTTTGGGATAACAGTAAACGAGATTCTCACTGGTGTCGTCCCTTATACTGATCTACGAGCAGAAGCTCAGGCCCATACAGTGTTGGAAATGAACTATACCGAGCAGCAACTCACAGCTGCTGTGGTTTCTGATAAACTGAGACCTGCTCTTGCTACTCTTCCTCTCTCAGGTGGATCTCCACTGCCAAGTAGTCTGCTTTCTTTGATACAGAGGTGTTGGGATGATAAACCTGATAGCAGACCTTCTTTCAATGACATAGTGTCAGAACTAGACTTGATGATGGAGCAGGAATTGGTTTCAGTGGTCCCTGTGGATAAATTTAAAAAATCTTCTGTTACTTACCAGGAGGCTACTAACTGGTTCGATAAGGGAGAACAACAGTCAAAGGGAGCATCTTTTGTAGGTTTAAGCAATTGGGTTGATTCCTCGTTGCAAGATTATCATCCAGTGCTTTCTTGTGGATCCTTTGCTTCTCGTGGTAGAAGGGAGACAATGGAGGATACGCACTTCCTGAAGCCCAACTTCTGCAACGAAAACTTCATCCACTTTTTTGGTATCTTTGATGGGCATAGAGGTGGAGCAGCAGCTGAATTCTCGGCAAAAGCTCTGCCAGGGTTCTTGCACCATCCAGCAACAATAAGCAACAGCCCTGGAGATGCACTGATCGAATCGTTCATCAAAACAGATGTCGCATTCAGGAAAGAACTGGATTCCCATCGCATCACCAGAAAAAACACTCAGAAAGACTGGCATCCCGGTTGCACTGCTATGGCTTCCTTAATAGTCGGAAACAGACTGTTCGTTGCCAATGCAGGCGATTGCAGGACGGTGCTATGTCGAGCTGGCAATGCGTTTCCTCTGACCAAGGATCACACTGCGAGCGATCCTGAAGAGAGGGAACGGGTTGTGAATGCCGGTGGAGAAGTCGAGTGGCGTGTTGACACTTGGAGGGTGGGTCGAGCTGCGCTTCAGGTTACTCGCTCAATTGGTGATGATGATCTGAAGCCTGCTGTCACTGCTGAACCGGAGGTAACGGAGACTAATCTAACGGAAGAGGACGAGTTCCTGGTGATGGCGAGCGACGGGTTGTGGGATTGTGTGAAGAACGATGACGTGGTGAGCATTGTTAGGGACACCGTGAAAGAACCCACGATGTGCTCCAAGAGACTGGCAACGGAAGCTGCAGAGCGAGGTAGTAATGATAACATTACTGTGATCGTGGTATTCCTCCGGCCGGTATCAACAGCAGAACGAGTTTACTAGCCCGACGGGGGAAAAAAGTCTGGTTCGTGTTTATGTCTGTGTATATTATTCGAGTATACAGATTGTTTTGCTTGGTGATCGGCAGAAACACAAACGTTTTGCATTGCTATTCTGGCAAATGAATGAATTTGCGGAACAGAACTGATTATTGAGGTCTTTACATCAAACAACATGTGGTTTTTGTATTAATGTTAACCATTTACTAGCGTAAGAACCGCCCTATTGGTCGAGTTTCTCGTACTTAGTTCACAACAAACAGCTGCAATTTGCTTTACACAGACGCTCAGCTTCTCTCCTAGGCAGCAGTGGTGTACTAACTACTAAGTACTAACCATATATCCTAGGCGACAATGGTGTAAAAGGCCGAGCTCGAGCAATTGGAGTCTTCTTCAGAATCGGGTACCATGAGAGCCGTCTGTAGCCACGAAAAGGAAAGAGAGTTTAGAGTTCATCTTCAACAAAGAATAAGATCATATATGCACTGAAAACTATTTCCTCCTAACTTTCTTGCCAAACCAAAGTAGTGGTCTAGTATTTTGCGAGCTAACCACCACGAATTTGAAGCATTTGTAGTTAGGCACGATGTCCCCGGTTCAAATCAACAGTTTGCAGGAAAGATATCTCATTACAAGCTTAAAGCCAAACCGAAGAATGGTAGTCATACCTTGTTTTACCTATTTTGCATGCTCTCTCAGTCTCTCTTGAAGGGTCCTAGAACCACAACATTAGCAGACTCTTCAGTTAGCTCCATTCGCTACATTACCTCCATGTCCCTGTGATACGAGAATACCGCACAATTAGGTTAAGAACTGATATGCTAATGCTTTGAAACTGGTGGAGGGTTTTTGTAATGCAGCACAGACCCTAATACAGCTAGAGGATAAGAAGTAAGTACCTGGCTCGTCGGATCTTTCCCATTAACCCGCCAAGGGCTGGAATTAAGGTCTATCAAATTGTTTCCCATTGCTCCATTCCTGCCAACCGGATTGTTGTTCTCTACCACCGGAACAGGAGAAACCCTACGATCTCGCTGACTTTCTGGCTTCATAACTTTAGGTGGCGGCATTTGATCCCTCATAACATCATTTTGATCCTCCAAATGGCCTGGCTTGTCACCTGGAAACTAAAAACAACACGCAAATCAACAGGACCAACACCCATGTTAATTTTCTCAGCAGGACCTCTCCTCTCTTTCTTTCTTCCGCTGCAAGGTTTCAATACAGAGGGGAGAGACAAAATCATCACACAAACCTCCACCCTCTGCCTCAGCATGAGATATCTCCCGTGCGTCCTCTTGCCACCAACATGCACAGCCATGTCGCATTGCAGGCACAGCGAAGTACCATCAACCTCGCAATAAAAGAACGCTACAACGAACGTTGTTCGATACACGGGTTAAGTTTGCGAGCGAATCAACCACCAGAGCAGCACCATCCCTAATCCCCCCCTCACATACCAGGTTCATTTTCACAAATGTCACAGCGAGGAACAGCGTTCGGAACTGCCAGCCCAACCCGCACGTGCCGGCTAGCTAGCTTGTTGCACAAATGAACCTGCAAGCAAACGAGCCCACCGAAAGAGCGTCGCCATCACAACCTAACTATAGCTAGAAACTCGCACAAGCAAAATAGCACATGAAACCTCTCCATTGCCGCTAGGCCACAGAACATGCTATAATAATAATAAGCGAATTTCCGATCACCAAAATCTTCGTTCGGCGACTACAATCACCGGTGATTCGACCGAGATCGGAATCTGAACTACTTAATCGTACGAGTGAATTCTAACCTTATCGTCGCAGGCGCGGCAGAGAGCGGCCTCGTCGGCGGCGCAGAAGAGGATGGCGGCGGCGTTCTCGCACACGTCGCAGAGCGTCCGCATTTTGCTAAGCGTGCAGTATTTCGGCTTGCTCCTCCTCCTCTTTCTTCTTCTTCTTCTTCTTCTTCTTCTATCTCCGTCGAAACCTCTTCTTCTACAAATCCTCTTCCGTTCTCCGCTTCGTCAACGCCATTGAAACCGCAGATTTTAACGAGCTCCAGATCCCCGCTGCGAAGATAAAGGAAATCGGCGGGGGATTTTGATTTATATGGCGGAGGGTTTAACGGCAGCTGGGAGACGGAACAAAATTTTTGGTTTGAAACTGAAGCCGCTTTCTACTTTCCAGGCGAGAAATTTTTTTTGCAAGGGAAATGAAGAGAAAGGGAAAAAAAAGAAAGGTGGGGGCCATGGCCGTACGGGAGCATTTGACGCCGGCCACACGAATTTATGTTTTTCTCAAATTTTGGGATTAACGACGGCCACACGATTTTGGTTTAGTGGAATCATTACGCCTCTGTTTTCTTTTGCAAATTTGAGATTAATCCAAAACATAAAAAAAAACCCAAAATACTTGCCTACTTTGGCAAGCTATCCCCATCAAGATTCAAGCCACAGATCTTGGTCAGTAATCAGCCCAGTGATTTTATGTTATTGTTATCTCAGTAATAGCAAATCGAGTAAGATCGACGAAACTTTCAACAAACATCGTGTAACTACCAACAGCCATTTGGCATCCTCATAATTTTGTGTTTGTCACACGATGCTACCTGATCGAATTGCTTCATTTTGAAATGAATTGGGTCAAATTGTCTCGTCCAATCCCATCATTCAATCACATTTTTTCCCTTATTGAAATGATAATAGTATATAGACATTAGACAAATCACATTGACTTGAACTCGTTGTAGTAATAGGCGTTGATTAAACATGAGGAATTTGCTTGCTACGATGACTTTGGACAGAATGATAGATTGCTTTTCGAAAACGGTCGATCGAATGATATAACTGCAATATTGCAAAGGAAAAAAAAGTGGCCGACAGGTTGATCATTACATTATAAGTGTTGGAGGAGCACGATTCCACCACTGGATAGGTTTAAATACTAAACAGTTACTTTGGTATCACTTAACCCGAGTTAATAGCAACAAAGACCTCTATAAATAACAATATATGAATATGATATTAGTTTATTACTGTAACAACGGTGCACATAAAATTATATGGCTTTTCATGTTGGTGAAGAAGAAATGATGTCAAAACATTAAAAGTAATTGTTGGTACAATGCGTGTAGATCAACGAGTCGTCGCAGCCGCCATTTGTCTAGTTGACCTTTTAGGTGCAATCAGGGGGTTCATTGTCTTCATAGTATTACCAATGATATTTAGTTGATATATGAAAATATCTTTAGTCCTAAGTCCTAACCCCCTAACTGTCACGGATCGACCTCTCCTCGATGTGGTCGATCTATTTACTTATGAACATCAATGGATCAGCTACAACATGTAAGTAATCGACTTTTCAATTGTAATGGTGAATGCCATTGTTAATTTACCATTCGATTAACCACGTTGTTAATGTAACAAACGGTTTTCTCCAAATCACAATAACTCGAAAGTGATGATAGCATACTCCAATCTCACTCACTATGAGCAATCTTATGAATCGATAAATATTGAATGATTGAAGGTGGTGAGGCCATCACCACATAATTAACCAACTCGACAACCCCAGCAGGCGATAATTCAATCATCTCTTAATCAGATCGCGAGTGCACAAAGCTTTAGGGCCAAAGCCACGACCATGTCTGCCAGCCAGCTACCTCAGCGCTCTTATTTATTATACGGTGATCCGTATTTCGATTCCAAATATCGCATGCTAATTACGAAAGCGATGAAATTTTTGTTTCTTCCAATCTTTCCCAGTGACCAAACAGCAGAGCAGGAAAATAAACAGCATATACAGAGGAATCCCACCAATATAATCGACAGGGACTCGGATCTCTTCAATTGCATAACCTTCCAGCGTGCTTCTGCATGTCCAAAATCGAACCTTTAAGGGTCCTCAGATATAAAGATAACTGTTGCTGCCGCGCCGGAGCAAGAGGCGGCCGAGGGGAAGATAGCGGACTTCAGTACGGCGGCGGAGAGGCTCATCGGTGGGAAGAAAGGGAAGGGGAGACGAAAGAATCCAAACCCAGAAGAATACCATCATATCCTTCCTGCTTATTCCTTCTCCACCCTGGGAATGGTTCCAATCATTCGTTAATCGTCGGAACCCAAATCCTCGAGGATCCCTCACTCGCCAGGTGCCGCCTTTCCCCTTGCAATTGGATGAATTGAGTAGGAGAGAATCGAGCACTTCCAATTCTGCTGGAAGGGTTGAATTTTCTCGGACTTTCTTTGGGTTTTCCCTTTGTTTGGAACGGAAAGCGGGAAAAGGTGACATTGGTGCTTGTTGGGTTTCTTTATCTTGTGTTTCGTTCTGTTCTGTGTGAATATCAGCTGTTAGAGCTAGTCGCCCAATGGCGGATCTCAAAGAGCGATTGCTTCCACCAAAACCAGCATCAGCTGTAAACCTTAGGGATGCTTCATACAGGCCATCTGCTTCCGGTCGTCAACCATTTCAAGGGGTGGATGTTATGGGTTTGAAGAAACGTGGGCAAGGCCTGAGGTCTTGGATTCGGGTTGATTCATCTGGCAACTCCCAGATAATCGAGGTCGACAAGTTCACTATGATGAGGCGCTGCGATTTGCCTGCGCGTGATCTCCGGCTGCTCGATCCTCTGTTTGTCTACCCTTCAACGATTCTTGGACGAGAGAAAGCTATAGTTGTGAACTTGGAGCAGATTAGGTGCATAATTACAGCTGATGAGGTTCTGCTTCTGAATTCGCTTGACAACTATGTGTTGCAGTATGTGGTGGAGCTGCAGCGTCGACTTACTACAGCTGCAGTAGGTGAGGTTTGGCAATCGGAAGGTCCTGAATTGAATAGAAGGAGGAGTAGTAGGAATTACGACAGTGTGTTTGGAACTCCATCCCCTGATTATCTGCCCTTTGAGTTTAGAGCACTCGAGGTTGCTCTGGAGGCTGCCTGCACTTTCCTTGATTCTCAGGTGTGTGATGAAAAGAACTCCAACTTGGTTTTGCTTTATCAATCTTATCTCTACTTGCCCAAACACACAAGCCTTTACATATGAAGTTAACAATATTTCATAGTGACTGATTTCTTGCACTCCCTTGCTACTTGGTTGATATATGTGGTGCAACTCTTGGAAATGGGTGAATCAAGTTGTTCATTGTATTAGATGTAGCATAACTGCTATTTCTTTGTAGCTTAAGTAAACAATTCCAGTTTATTGTTATGAACTTTGCATGGCCTTTACCTGGCATTTTGGTCGACAGTTAGGTAGATTGATTGTTATTCATGGTTCATGGGTAATTTGTAATTCTCCATGGGAGAATCTGAGCTAAAAATTGTGCTCTTTTGGACTCTATTATACTTATGGTTATGTGTTCTTGTTGAATGACTGGATAGACCATTAACCTTGCCAGTCTATCTTGAGGTTAAATCCAATTGTAGCTTCAAATTAGTTGATACTGATGAAACTGTCAAGTTTAATATAGTTAATTGTTTGGTAGTGGGTAATTGCTACTTGCTAGTAGTTCTTCAATGATATGCTCAGGTGTTTAGGTTCTTTCACATATATCCTCATTGGATGTGAGAGGTATTCTAGCTGCTTGACCAGTTGTACAGATTATACGAACCTCGTTTACAAAGTTGGGTTCTTGGTTTGCTGCAATTTGTAGATGATATGTTAACGCTTCATGCATATGCTTTATTTTACCTATGATTTGTTAGAAGAAATGCTTAAAGATTTTCGATGTCCCTGTAGGTCCCATCATATGCCAGAGTTTTTTTTAATGAATTTTGCATTGTAATGCATAATGCTTCCTGCTAGGGGCTGTGCCTAGAGAACTTGTACTCTATTCTTTCGAAACTCTCCCTTGAGGAAATTCAGGGTTGATTATCCTTTGGAAGAGCTGGCGTGAAGAGATTCTGGGTCATAATGTCTCAGCAATTCCTTGTCTTCTTGGGCATTTTTAACTCCTTTTATCACAAAATAACGATCATATTAATACTGGACGTGGAACACCAGCTTGGCTTCCTCATTATTAACATATATTGTGTACATGTTGCTCCTGTCCATAGACATGTAAGAAAGTATCAGCCTAATTGAGTAATGGGAGCCTTTGTGCCCAGTTAGGTTTTCTTGGTCATACATATGTAGGAAATTGAGTATCCGCCTAATTGTAGTAGTGACTAGTGAGAACCTTGTGCACAATTAGGTTTTGCTTGGTCTGTTATCTTCCATTGTTTAAAACTCTGCTGCAATTTAAGTTGGCAATTTCATTTCATGCAATCAAAGGCAGCAGAGTTGGAAATTGAAGCCTATCCATTGCTAGATGAACTGACATCCAAGATCAGCACACTCAATTTGGAAAGAGTGCGTAGATTAAAAAGCAGACTTGTAGCCTTAACCAGAAGAGTCCAGAAGGTAAAAGGCATTCCAGATATGTCCTCCGAAATTCTAAATATGAACATTTGTTAAAATGTTACGTGTTCTTGCTTCTCTCTTGGGCCATATGATCCAGGTTAGGGATGAGATAGAGCAGCTAATGGATGACGATGGAGATATGGCTGAAATGTATCTCACCGAAAAGAAAAGTCGTATGGAGTCACCATTTCATGAACAGGGTTCCATGGGATTCAGGTCAAATGATGGAGGGGTATCGGCATCAGCTCCAGTTTCCCCTGTTTCTTCACCCCCTGATTCCAGGCGGCTGGACAAGTGCTTGAGCATTGCACGGAGTCGACATGAGAGCATGAGGAGCTCAGAGAGCGGAACAGAGAGTATAGAGGAGCTGGAAATGTTGCTCGAAGCATATTTTGTGGTCATTGATAGCACCTTAAACAAGTTGACATCGGTAACAGCTCAATTTTTTGTTGCTGTCTTACGTTTTTCTATTTGTATGTTGGCTCACTACAAAATTCTTGTTATTCGCTTATTAATTTTGAGTTTGTTCAGTTGAAGGAGTACATTGATGACACTGAAGATTTCATCAATATCCAGCTGGTACTGCTCTTTCCCCCTCATTCCAGCCACTTTTTTTCTCATCAAATAGAAGCAAATAGAAGTGAAATGATTGTTGAATCAAATCGAGGGGCAACAGTCTCAGTGATCTGGAACTTGAACCCGAACCTGAAGCAAGAACTACATTCTAAGTTGCCATTGCCCATGGGTGCTTGAATGTTGCTTTCACTTGGACAAATATTACAACAGAAGTCAGAGTCTTGTGATTCTTAATACTAAGTTGAGATTCATGGTCTGCAGGATAACGTCAGGAATCAGCTGATCCAATTCGAGCTTATACTCACTACTGCTACGTTTGTCGTGGCGATTTTTGGGGTGGTAGCAGGTATTTTCGGCATGAACTTTGCGATACCCCTGTTTGACAACCCGGGTGCTTTCAAGTGGGTGCTGATGATAACAGCAGTATGTGGGATTACCATATTCTGTGCATTTGTATGGTTCTTCAAATACAGAAGACTCATGCCGCTATAGAAACACCATTTTCGATGTTGCTATTTGTACTGAACAGAGTCTTTAGGACTTCCAAAATTATAGTTGCAACTTGCAATGTCTCTGCAATATGTATGCGAATGGACTGAGGGAAGTGGAAATGTGCCTCTTTCTCTCTTTTCTCTGAGCATTATCCAGTCCCTTTTTGAAAGGGATAATGATTTCTCAAGTCCCTGAATTTTGTTACTTTCAACAAAAATGCCCCCATTTGAGTTTTTTCTTATAGATACGCCCCTGAATTGTTCACATTTTGACAAATGCAACCTCTCGCTAAACCTTTTCTCCGAGCTGTGGTTATACCTTGGTTCCATCAAGGTGACAAATTGAAACGAGGAAAGAACAACGGTGGTGATACCACTAACGTTTGTGTTCGTTTTTATTTTCGCACAAACACGAGCGTTCGAGGCGACGCCAGTCGATAACTAAAGATACTTAGACCGGTAACGCTGAGGTTGTTGTCACAATGAGCAAACTAACGGCTCAATTTGTTGAGTGATACCGGTCGAGACTCAGGCAAGTGAATGACAAAAAATTAATTGGAGGACCTTTTCGTTAATATATAAATAGCTCATGGAGTATTTTGTCCAATAATTCAAGTTGAGGGGCATATTTGTTAATGGCCCTTTCCTCCCTTCGGCGTTCACTCCTTTCCGCAGCTCTGCAGAGGTTTGATCCCACTCTCGCTCGCCGTTCACTAATTAGCTGTTACTCGCGTTCGTCCCCGGTTTCTTGTCTCTCCCTTCAATCGCCATTGTTGGCACCAGTCTCCATCTAGCGACACGAAGCAATTTCATCTCGCGTAGTTCTTTCATTGCCAAGAAGTCGGAGTTTCCTCTCCCTCCCGATCTGTTGTAATCGTTCACTTTCTTCCACTCCCGCCAACAAGCAGTCCGCTCCTGCAGAGGTACGTTTTCCCTCTTTTCTCTCTATATCTCCCGAATCCAAAAACTATGGCGGTATCATGAGCAGTTGATTGATTCGGATAGATGATAGATCTTCCTGATTCTGTTCCGCCGTTGTTGGAACTTCATTTCGTGGAATTCTGAGTTCATTCATTTTTCCTGGTTTGAAACTTTGAAGGGACATGGCGACCACTGCAAGTTTTATCATCGTGAGCCGGAATGACATCCCGATATATGAAGCTGAAGTCGGATCTGCTACTAAAGTAATTTTTATTGCTGCTCTTGTAAATTGGCATTGACAATTCATGTAGCCATTTTCGTTTCGAATTCATCATGAACATATATGAAAATGGAAATCTTTAGATTGAGCATGCCTTTCAGATTGAACCCTAAGAAGAAAAGGTGTTGAAAAAGTTATCTTTCTACTGTATATTGCATTCATGTTCATGTTTCTCTTTTGGATCATGACTACAGAGAGAAGATGCTGCTCAGTTGCATCAATTTGTACTACATGCGGCGTTGGATATTGTTCAGGACCTCGCTTGGACCACTAGTGCTATGTAATTTCCGATCCTTTTAGCCCTGTTCTCATCATTCATCGATACATTTTCATTTTCGGTTTAGTATCCTCATCTCATCGAAATGATATTTGACGGTTTGGTTTATTTCCTTGCTTGTGTAACAGGTTCTTGAAAAACATTGACAGGTTCAATGACCTGGTGGTATCAGTGTATGTTACAGCTGGTCATATCCTTTCGTAGTTTGATTTCCTTTTGCATTCCATTGTCAGCATCTTAATGAGTAGTTGTTCGCAAAAATGAATTATGGGAACTTGGGGAAACATTATCTGAACTTAGTATAACCCTCTCTTACTAGTTGCCCGATTGATTATAGTTTCAAGTTACCATGTATATGGTGTACCTCTTTGATTTCTCATTCCACACTTGTTGTGGCGATTACCATTGTGTCTGCATCAGCATCACAATGTCAGGGTCTCTAAACATACATACCACTCGATTTGCAGTCTGAGGCACTATCTTAATGTGCCCTACTCTTGGATAGATAAGTCAGTAAGTTGCATCAGATTTAAAGTACTCAGAATCAGGTATTTCCTTGACCTTTCCAAACATACGCGATTGATGCTACTTCACGATTCCCGTAACGATGATGGGATTAAGAGCTTTTTCCAGGAGGTACACGAACTTTATATAAAGGTAAACTTCCTTCAACTTGGATGCTCTGTTCATGTGTTGGTTTTTCATCTGTCAATAGTGGAGAAAAACTAGCTGCATTCATTAGTTCAGATGAGCTGAAACGCTGGAATTGTGAATGAGTGAGGGTAAAATGTATCACAGGTTCCCATGACCTATGATTGGAAATGTGTCATAGATTTCAAGAATCAAAAACCAATTTTGGCTACTGTTAGTTCTTCACCTAGATTCGTGGGAGAACCTAAAATATGACCCTGAAAGTAAGATTGTACTCTATCTTGATAGCAATTTTGAAGCTGTACCTATAATAAGATGCAGTTTGTTATCTTTCACCAGACTTTTGGCAACTTTCTGGTGCATTTATCTTCTGCACAGCTCAATCACTGGGAATCCATACACCCTAAATTTTTTAGTTTTGGCATTGTAATCCCATGCAGAAGTTCATATTAGCACTTTTCCGAGTCACTTAAAATCTTAAAATTATATGCTTAAGGTTCTTTTGGAGGACCTTTGGTGTACCAGTACCAAGCAATTCTTCATCCGTTCCTTTGTTAACGTGCAATGATCAATGCAGGTACTGCTGAACCCCCTCTACTTGCCTGGTGCCCGCATCGCTTCTTCACATTTCGACACAAAAGTTCGTGCTCTAGCTAGAAAGTACCTGTAATTGTGCAAACCATACTGAAGGGTCCGATCGAGCTCTTGCCAGCTCTTCAAAGTAACATGATCTGGGTTGCAGAAATGCCTCTTGCAATTCAGCAGGGAGATTCTTCTTACTTCTCGACTCGGGCTCACTGCAATTTGGATGTCATTTGGTGAGATTGGTGAAGTCAAGAAGACTTAATTTTGATGTAAAACCCTGTTTGACCCAAATTGTATCTTTAATGTTTCTCCACATGAACAGCAATGTTGATTATTGAATGTTCAGCATGTGATTAAACATTGAAACAAATGTAGCCATGTTTGAATAATTTTGCTTAAAATAAGTATGGTGAGATCAGGTTGAATGTCATGTCCCTTTCCTTATGTCATTGATCCACAACAAACCCTAGCTCCTATAAGTTTGTTGGCCCATTGGAATGTTGCTCTCCTCCATTGGTTGACCTACACTCGATTTTTTAATATAGTTCAACCAAATCTTTATAGTTGCCATGTCGAATGTACTTCACCAAACCAATTGAATTTTTGTTATTTAAAGAATATACCAACCTCTAGGATTAGAGTTCTCTATAAAACTATATGTAATGGTCAAGTCTTTGATAATCAATTTCAAAATGTAATGATAATAACTAAAAACAAAAACTAATTCAGAGATTTTGTATGCAAATTTGTTTTGTATAATGATCATTAGACGAACTTAAGAAGATGTAGATATAAAACAAATGAAATTTTATGTGGATATCAATTCAAACTTATTAATTTTTTTTATTACCCAGGAACCTTAGCCCCACGTACCACTCTGTGACAGCGGGTCCTACTAAACTTGAGGGCCACATGCAATTAAATTCAACGCACAGAAACTTATTAATAATTTGTCTTTCTTCGTCTTTTAACATTTAGAATCCTTCACATCTGGCTTGAATGTTGATTTTCTTTTTGGCGAGATCTTGGCGTCTATTTTTTTAATACATATTTCCTTGTTCTTCTGACTAAATATTCGCATACGAGATCGAGATGTCTAATCTATTTAGTAATGACAACGAGGAGAAGAGGGTCGGGGCGGGCACAACAGTACTCATATCCGTGCCACACCAAGCGCAAATTAGATTGGGTAATACATGCACGGGTACGAGTCCGGGGGGCAAGTCGACTCATTCTTATATTTTATTTGAAAAATGTTTTATTTTTAACGATAAAAACAAAGATATAATAGTTCATATACGACAAATAGAGATAATAAGTAAATTAACCGAGTTAAAATAGCTGGAAAAATGAAGTCTTGCACTTTTCTAAAGTATCATTAGATTAAAATATGAATGACCATACGTCAAATACGATAAATAAAAATCGACATCGAGACAAATCAAGAAAGAAAGGAGTCAATAACGAGACGGAGCAATGACGATAGCAGGTAACCGATACCTCGCCTCCACACTACTACGAGTTGGATACTACCCACCCCAATACATATATCAATCAACTCGGATAATACTCAGCAGCTACCGTTTCAAATTACCATCACCAAATCCCCCCACACTTCCATTCCATCTCATTTTATCCAGATGGGCAAATTATTATTAGACTTCTTTTCAGAGACAGTTAAAGTTGGGAGGTGGGTTGATGGACCGGTAACCACCAAGAACGGTGATGGAGTTGGGTTACATTAGATCTGACCTTCCCCTCCTGTGACTGTTTTGATTGGCATTTGTTTTTAATTTTTGGTTGCCTCTGTTTCTGAGTTTCTGCATAGAGATGCTCTGTTTCTGTTCTGCTCTGTTCTTCTTGACTGGGTTTAATTTCCCCACCGAAATGGGCGGCCCGCTCTCCACGCCGAGCTATCTATTTCTCAACCAACAAACCGCGCACATTATGATTACTATAAAACCATGATGGTGTCCGGTGGTGCAACATGGAAACCACGACTACTTTCCCCAAGATATGATTATGCGAAAGATATGTGTTATAATTATGATAACGATATGCGAAAGATAATTGAAAATTGTTGTTTTGTAGAACGAGATGAAACTTGATTTCCGACAATTTGTTCATCTTGATGATGATATGAGTTGTCAGGAGAAATTCGATTTGAAATGATACATTGTTTCTTTACGTATTTTTATGAAACATAAGTATAACTCGTTTTATTGAAATTCGTCAAGACTTGTTGTGTTGTGTGTTTGGAGTTTTAAATTATCTCTGAAGAGTGATTCGTCAAGTATTGTACCACAATGATGTAATTTGACTTAATTTCCTCATCTCACGTTGTGACGCATAGTTTCAAAATACTTACCCTTTCATTCAAATTGATGCAAATCAAGATAGTTCAAATTGTATCAACTTGATTGTTGCATCTTCATTTTGTATGGCTGGTGGATGCAATTTAACGTAATTGTTTCATTTCGATACAATCGTGCCAAATTGTCATCCACTTTCAACATCAAAAAGACTCATATGATTATTCCAAAACTTTAATTTTAGTATATTTTTTATTAGTTAGTTATTTAGTTTAGTTAAATGCTAATTTTAGTCCCATAGTTTAGAGGTAGCCTTTATTCGATCGCACGTGACTCATTCCCTCTTCACTTCATCTTTAAGAAAAGAGAGAAAGCTGGGCAAAAGAAGAAATCATTTGCTTTCAATAATTAATTATCTCAAAGCTCCAACTACATATTCAGACTTTTGGGGAATTCTTTGAAACCTTTAATTGCTTCATAACTTTGGAATAGTGATGTTTACACTTTACACAAGTCATAATTCTTCTTTTTTATTTATTACTTGATAATTTATAACAAAATAAACATTAATTAAATAATTTTTCTAAAATTCATTTTTACATTCAGAAGTCGAGCTTAACATACCTTCTTATCAAACACTATCAAATTCTGCAACCCTTTTAAGTATACAATTAAAATTAATTTAAAATATCGTTATAACTACTCGTACTTAAGCCATGAACATTGCAAATAATAATGCCATTATTCAATTTCTTTAACTAGTCCAAACTAGAAATAACGAGTAATCCCAATTTTAGGACAACAACTGATATTCAAATTAGAAAACAAATAACAAATGAGATTAGAAAAAATCAAAAAACAAATGCATAAAACTAAAAAATGTTTATTTTTTCGTATAAATAAACAAAAAAATGTTTCTGAAATTAAAATATATTAAAAAAACCAAGGAAGAAAACGAAACTTCAACGGCGCGGCAGGAGTAGCAGCTTCCCACTCCAACACTCCTTCCCCTTCCCTCCTCCGCTGTTTCCTTCTCCTTCCTCCACAGACAGAGAAAGCGAAGAGAGAGAGAGAGGGAGAGCGAGAGTCAAGAAACCGACGCCAAGGCTTTCTTCCTCCTGTAATTTTCTGCCCTCCTTCTCATTCTCTTTTTTGTTTCTCCCAACATTCCCATTCTCAAGTTCGTTCTTTGTTATTTTTGTGTGTGTGTGCGCGCATGTTTCTATTTTTGGCCATTGAAAAGGAAATTTCTGCTTCACTGTTCCATAGCTCTTTTCTGCTCACAGTTTCCCGCTTTGCGTCACTTTTATTCCTAATTTTCGGGGGAGCTTCGTTCCTTGATTTCGACTTCATTCCTTGAGTAAATAATGGGTTCCTCACGATTTTGCGGCTGAACCCTTTTCCTTTCTCCGAACCAGTTGATCGCAAGGAAGAAAACCCAGTTGCAGGTGTGCTTGTTTTTGTTGTCACTGATTCGAGATTTTCTGAAGGAGGGAAATTGATGGAAGATGAAAAGATGGGTTGGGCTTTGGATTCCACTGTTTTGTTTTCTTCTAAACCTCTCTCTCCCCCGATTTTTCTGAGCCAGTAGACAAGGGTTTTTTGCTTGTTGTTTACTGAGAGGTACAAAAATGGTAGTTTTTAAATGTTTGCATAACGGGATCCCTTTTAATGGCAACGGTTATCAGATTTATATGAAACTCGGGGATGGAAACATAACTCACCACTTGCATTAATCAAATCCCAAAAGCTTTTCGTCCTAGATTTGCAGAATGGAGTTCATTTCTTTCTGTTCCAATTTTTTTCCAGATCAGGGCAGCAAAGCAAGCGAGGAGGTGGAAAGTGGCGTCGTAATTTAAATCACTGGTTCAATCTACTTCCCGTCCCCCCATTACCTTATCTGAAGCTGCCGGCACTGCACAACTGTGAACCGTGTTCACTCAACTTTACTCGTCTAGCATTGAAAACGACTCGGAGTTTGTAGCTACACTTACCATTTCCCTGTCGCTACCTTACTCTTTTGATGCTTCTCTGCTAGAGAGAAGAGCTGGGGACGGGGACCATGAGCATGCAGCAAAAGATCCAAAAGCTTCGCTTTTAAAGTCTCCCAGTTGGGGGTGAGTAGCTTCAACAATTCTCTGGCTTGGTGTTGAAGCAATTCGTCTGGTTTTTGTCAGGCAGCTAATTGAAAGTCCATTCCGCTTGTGGGTTATGATTGGATTGACAATGGCAATTGATGAATGTTGAAGGAATGACGCTTTTTGATGTTTCTTCACTTTAATTATTGTTTTCCCCTTCTTTGTTCACTTATTCTTTATAATGGTTTTGGTTTTCCATATATAAATGATCAATCTTGGGACTAAAGGTTACGCAAGAGTTTTCAATCTTATCTACCCTTCCACGATTATCTTCCTTTTCTCAGTTGTTATTTGCCTTAATTTTCTTTTCGAGCTTCCTATTTGGTGCTCTCGCTTGAATATATATTTTGCTATATCTTCTTCGCACTTTCACGCTTGGCAGTTGTCATTGCCCCATTGGCCTTCTCTTTCTCTTTTCTTGGTCTCCTAAAGTTGGGTGTAAATTTATTAGGTGGTTAGTTAGAGCCAACAATTTTCGCTTATTTTGATGGAAACCTTCGATTAATACTCTGCTTCTTTTACGTCTTCTAATGTGAGTACTTACTCCTTGGGTTAGTTGGATAATGATGGTGATTAACTTCTTGAGTACAGTCAGTTTGGGTGGTGAAGGAAGGGAAAGAATGGAGTGCAATGGCTTTAGCGACAATGCAGCAACTTTACCTATAACAACTTAAAACCGTCTTGCTTTGTGGGGAAGAAGTAGCTAAGTGTGAGTGCTTTTGACTCAAGAGAGTTATGGTCTACTATTTTTACAAGTTTTTGAGACTGATGGGGTTGATTTGATTCAGTGTCGTGAAAACAATGGGGTCAATTGGAGCTGAAAGCTCACCGAAGATGGAGAAGATGCAAATGGCGGCGAGTACACGAGAAGAGAAGATTCTTGTATTGGTGAGGCTCAGACCTTTGAGTGACAGGGAGATCATGGGAGATGAAGTTGCAGATTGGGAATGTATTAATGATACTACTGTCTTGTACCGGAATACCCTCCGCGAAGGCTCCACATTTCCCTCTGCCTACACTTTTGGTAAGTGGATTGGTCTTGGCCAAATTGGTAAATTGTTCATCTCGATATGCTGCTGTTCCTCAAGATTCTTTGGCATTGGTATTCATCTGGTCTTGTTTTTGAATCATCTAGATGCCACCACCCTAAGTCTTCTGTCTTTATGATCCAAACTAGCTGTAGTTAAATTGAGGCTATTAAGGGGTTCTTCACTTCCCCATTCTATTTCGAGGTGATATAGGGTCTTATGGTAAACTCTCGTCCTTGTTGAATGCTTGGATAGGATTCAGTCTATATCCTTGACGTTGTAGCTTCCTGGCTACTTGATCCATTCTTAACGCATGCTATTAGGCTCCAATGTTCAAGTTGCAGAAACAGAAGCATCTGAGGAACTCACATAATACTGTAATGTGGTTGTCAGTGTTCTTGGTTTGGCTCCATGTGTCAGCTGTGTTTTTTTCACTCCGGGCTGCAGTTGCAGGCAGGAAGCTTGTAGCAGACTGCATGATACACTGTTTTTCAGCCCATTAAGGGATTCTATTGAATATGTTTATTATCAAGGCAACACTTGATTGCCAGAAAGCCTCTGATTCTGATTAATGTACTTTCTGCCCTTCTCTTCTGGAGGATAGATAGAGTGTTTCGGGGTGATTGTACGACGAGGAAAGTGTATGAGGATGGACCCAGAGAAGTGGCTCTTTCAGTTGTTAGTGGCATTAATGGTAAGCACGGTATTGCTGTCTTGATTTGAAATTTATCTTTCAATTTTGTAATCCTAACTTGCAATCTCTTTGACTTTTTCTCCAGCAAGCATATTTGCTTATGGTCAAACAAGCAGTGGAAAGACTTACACAATGAATGGTATAACTGAGTATACTGTAGCTGACATATTCGACTATATAAACAGGGTATATTCAGAATTCTAACTCGCACTTCGATCGATTTGTTAGCTTAGAGGGTATTTGTACTTATGAGGAATGTATGTGTTGCAGCATGAAGAAAGAGCCTTTGTTCTGAAGTTCTCAGCAATTGAGATATACAATGAGGCTATCAGAGATCTCCTAAGCGCAGATAACACTTCACTTAGACTTCTAGATGATCCAGAGGTGAATTGTGTTACTTTATCACTTGTTGGCTTGGGCAAAGGAGTTGTTAATTGAGAAAGTTTCTTACTTGCTCTGTATTTTGTTTCTTTCTCATTTTTCTCTCAGAAAGGGACTGTGGTGGAGAAAGCCACTGAAGAGACGCTAAGGGACTGGAACCATCTAAAGGAGCTCCTATCAGTTTGTGAAAGTAAGCATTTGTAAAACACCTTTCCTTCTGAGAAATGATTATTACTGAATCTTCTCTATTGGTATACAGCTCAAAGACGGATAGGGGAGACCTTTTTGAATGAGAAAAGCTCTAGATCACATCAAATCCTTAGATTGGTACTTCCAGACCTCTTTGATTCTTATGGTTTTACATTATCTTATGATTGTATCCATATTCTTCATTCTCTAACACATGCTTCTTGCTTGATTATCAGACGATTGAAAGCTCTTCTCGTGAGTTCTTAGGCAAAGAAAACTCGACCACCCTTTCTGCCACTGTGGTATGTATTGCTTCTGGTTGATGGTTTGTCGGACTAAATTGATAAAATATTGTCCAAGCTGTAGAAGAATTGCTGTAACTTATAGCTTTTTTGGCAGAACTTTGTCGACTTGGCAGGGAGTGAACGTGCATCTCAGGCACTGTCGTCTGGGACAAGATTAAAGGAAGGATGTCACATTAACCGCAGTTTGTTGACTTTGGGTACCGTTATTCGTAAGCTGAGGTAAATGTAAATTCCCTCTGGTGTTTCTATGTATTTCTTTGATTCGCTGCACTTTTATCCTTCAGTTAGAGAACAGTGTAAAGACCTTTTTGCTAAGAATCCTCTTTTCATCTTCTAATAACAGTAAGGGGAGAACTGGACACATCAACTACAGAGATTCAAAACTGACGAGGTTGCTGCAGCCAGCTTTAGGTGGCAATGCTAGAACTGCCATCATCTGCACATTGAGCCCTTCACGCAGTCATGTTGAGCAAACTAGAAACACACTATTATTTGCATGTTGTGCTAAAGAAGTCACTACGAAAGCACAGGTTAATGTTGTCATGTCCGATAAGGCTTTGGTCAAGCATCTGCAAAAAGAGTTGGCTAGATTGGAGAGCGAACTGAGAAGTCCTGCCCCAGCTTCATCAACTAACGATTATACAACACTATTGAGAAAGAAAGACCTTCAGATTCAAAAGGTTTTCCTTCTCTTTCTCTTCCTCTCTATATGTAATTACATCCCTTCCCCAATAGCCAATAGTGTTTGCTTAATTTTATTCTGAATTTTTCCAGATGGAGAAAGAAATCAGGGAGCTAACTAAGCAACGCGATCTTGCTGAATCTCGTATTCAAGATTTGCTTCAAATGATTGGACAAGATCAAAATTCAAGAAGAACGGTATCGTGCCTGGCCCTCGAAATACTGTCCATTGTCAATGACGTGTTAATGGTCATGCTGGACAGACTAATTTACGTTTTATTTGAATCTTCATTTTTACAGAGTGAGATTAGTCAGAATCCCAACCGACAAGGAAGGGGTAGATGGGATGACGACGAATGTTCAGTTTCAGAATCCTATCCCCCTACTTATGGTGGCGCTGCAAGAACACCATATGGAACCCATTTTAATGGAGAAAGTGGGACCTATCTACAGGACAGTGGTCTTGATGATGATCATTCTGATGCCACTTCTTCACTTATGCCATTTGGAAAGAAGATTGATGGATCACATTCTCGCCAGAGCCTTGGGATTAATGATGACGAGGAGGACTGCAAGGAAGTTCAGTGTATTGAAATGGAAGAGACAAGGCAAAACAATCCTGATCACCATTCGCCAATCTCAAATGGTGAAAGTGAAGTACATGCTTCAGTCAGGGCAGAGCAGGAATTAACAACAGCTCAAGGAAATGGTGATAGAGAAGCACATCCCTTCCAGAATAATGGATTTACAAATGATGCGATGGAACAAAGGCTGCATCTTGTTGATGGATCAAGTTCTACAAGCATGAAATTAGCCATGAGCTGGAGTTTGAAAGAGAGCCCCACAATTGGTGACAGCACACCACCCAATGGGTTGGAGAGGAAGTATGCTGGGCGACCAGAGAGCGTCAGGAGGAGGTATCCATCAATGATGTACGACAACGATGCTGCAAGACTGACAAGAAGTGATTCTCAGTCATCTATTGAGAGTGCTGCAACAGTTGAAACTCGGGGTGTAGTGACTGCGGACGAGGATATTCCAACAGTTGAAAATTTTGTTGCTGGGCTGAAGGAAATGGCCAAGCAGGAGTATGAAAAGCAGCTTGGCGATAACCAGGTGAGAAAATACTCCCTCTTTTTCCCAAGTGGCCAAGCATGTTTGATTGTCATGGAGTCCCCTCATGAGATTTGTTGTTTTTGTTTCTTCATGATAGATTCTGGAGGCTGAAAAGAAGAAGAGTAATGTCAAGGACATTGGATTGGATGCTATGCTCGATGAACTAACAACTCCTGATTCACCGCTGAAGTTTGAGAGACAGCAGAGAACTATTATCGAACTGTGGCATGCTTGCAATGTCTCATTGGTTCACAGGACCTATTTCTTCCTCCTCTTTAAAGGTGATCCGTTGGATTCAATATATCTCGAAGTGGAGCTCAGAAGGCTCTCTTTCCTAAAGGAAACATTTTCTGATGCAAAACATGGCATCTCTGGTGGCCAAACTCTCACTCTCGCCTCCAGGTACTAACAATTCAGCTTAGCAAATTCAGCCTTGTTCCACTAGCTCTTACGTCTGAACTAAACGTGCCTACTTTTTCTGTATGGATGGACAGCGTAAAGACGCTTCATAGAGAGAGAGTGATGCTGAGCAAGCTGATGCAGAGGAGGTTGTCTGGAGAGGAGAGGAACAGGTTGTATCAGAAATGGGGTATTGGGTTGAACTCCAAGCGAAGGAAGCTTCAGTTGGTGAACCGTTTGTGGGGCAACACGAAGGACGTGGACCACATCGCAGAGAGTGCGGCCATTGTTGCCAAGCTGGTGAGGTTTGCAGAACAAGGACAAGCACTTAAGGAGATGTTTGGGCTTAGTTTCACACCTCCAAGCACGACAAGAATGAAATCCCTGGGCTGGACTTACAGCAAGTCGTCTCTTTTGTAGTAGTGCATGATGAGTAGAGTATTATGGAAAGACTGGGTTTTCCCACCATTTTATCCCTTTTATGGTGTGATTAGTGATGTTTGAAACAGTATTCGAGAGTGTAGATTGTAAGGTGTAGTATTTTGATTGGCTATAGGCTAGTTTTTCTGGTGAGCTACTACTACTGGATGGATGGGTGTGCTAATGGATGGATTCGTTTTCTGATTTACGATCCAAGAATCCAGATCATTTGAGACTGAGATTACGAGAGCAAATTGCTTCAGAGATAACTGGTTTCTTATAATTAGCAGCTAAGTGTTCACATTGTAGCTCAGTTGTTGCTGTCATTTGCTTCTGGCTTGTTAGTCTTGCAGCTACATTGTTACCAGTTACCACATTGTCGGTTTAGAATCGATTTTAGTCAGCATTGAAATGCATCCAAAATAAAGGAAAGATAGGATCAAAACGTATCCAGTTATGATAAGAGTAAACAATGATCATGGGACTGAAGCAAATTTAGAAGGTTTAGCTACTAAAGTGAAACCACTATCGAATGCTGTTACTTCTGTAGCAAACTACCCAAGAATACAAGAATAGTTCGATTATCCATGTGTGACAGGAGAAAGAACTATATGAGTCTAGAGGCCACAAAGTACCAAGGCACTTTGAAATACAAATACCAGATGTGTCATGCTGATCGAGACGCTAAGCTTAGAAGACAACTGTGTCAAGCATGGTGCCCAAAGTCTGGATGATGTTGGACGACATCAAATTAGAGACGTGTTCTTCGAGGTGCTTCTTGGCATCTTGCCGTCCCACATTTGCAATAGCAAGCTTCTCAGGTGGAAGCTCGTCTTCTTCTTGCACTGCCTTGTTATACTTGACTGCTAAGTTCAACATCTCCTGCAATATCGAACCATCACCAAACAATGAGCAGACAGATGACTTCAACAGCCTTAGCAATGCCTAGCTACACGTGCAAAAAAGCAAGGTTATCTAATTACAAATCAACAATGAATGATGCCAATTGCCAATCGTAGCTAATACTAGTCTGATCCTGTTAGGAGCCTACAAGAGTTGGAGTTGGGCTCATGTGTTGAAGAAATGGACAGTAGATGCTAGGTCTCACCGACGCTTAGACTAGGAATAGAATAAATTAAATTCTCTAGTTTGTTCAATATCACATACTTACACTCCAGGCTAGCTAAATTAAATGAGCTTCAGCACAAAGTTGGTCTAATAGTTAAATTCTTGGTCGAAGATAATCAGCACCCTTACCTCCTCTAGACATTGTAAGCACTAAGCAGGAAAAGGGAAAAGCTGACTTAACATTCAATGTAGGAGAAAGTAAATCTTTACCCACCTGAACAGTCTGCTCATTGGTTTTGGAATGACCATCAAACCGCCTGAGAGTCAATCCATCAGTCCATTTCTTCTTGTGCAAGTTGAGAAGCATTTTCTCCTCGAGCTCATTTTTTCGGTAATTAATGGCAATTGAATAGTAATGCCTATTCAGTCCATGGATCAACGCCTGAAGGTTATAAAGTAATCATATCAGTTATTAGTCGGGAAGAGAAAGAAAAGAAGTTGTCACTCAGTACATAAGATATCTAGGGCAGCATTATTATTATTCACCTGAATGGATGGTTTGTTGAGACTCCCAAGATTGGAAGTTGTTTGCCTAGGTTCTTGGCCAAGCATCATCGTCTGAGGGTTGATGAGGCGGAAAGCATCAATCACGACCTTCCCTCGCACACTTTGAATAGGATCAACCACAACAGCAACTGCCCGTTGATTTAAAGCTTCAAAACTCTGCCGACAGAGATTAAAGTCAATAATAATACTCGACTTTGTGCATTTTTAAGAGAGTTTTTCAAGTAACTTAAGCAATCATCACTAGTTAACAAAACTACGTTATAAGACAATTAGCATAAAAGAGAAACATAGAGAAATGAGACGAACCTGCTGCGTGTTAATATCAACACCAGAAAGCCAGCATCCAAATCCCGGATGAGAATGGTACCACCCTACAACCATCTCTGGCCTGGAACACCAGATCAATCAATCAATTTAAGTTACTGGAAAGAGGATAAAGAAGATGAATTAGCAAAAGTTAGGCTGTCAGCCAGCAAATAGGAGGAAGATTCGATTTTAGTATCCCTTTACAGTAATTCAACTAAAATCAACATGACGTGCTTCTGTACCTGCCCAAGAGCAGGATAACTAGCAAGCTAAACTTAGTAAGAGAGCAACTGACAGATCTCTTGAGCTAATTTCAGAAACTATGTCCATTTAGAAGTTCCTTGGCAATTTCATAAAAATAAAAGAGATCTCTTTCCCGTTTAAGAAGACTCAGCAGTCAGAATCAAGGCAAAATTTTAGCTCCAGAACCGCGCCCAATGTTATTCTATACCAAGAATGTAATCAGTAGAAGCTTACCTCCCAGTCTGTTTGAGCATATCGAGCATGTTAGTCTGGAAAACATGGTCGACAGCTTCAACACTGACGCCAGTACCACTTTGCGGCATTGCAAAGACGTCCACGACACGAACAGTATACTCGTCCACAAACTCTCCGAGCATCAGACCCATGACCTCCATGGGAACTCCAGCTCTTCCTATGGGGAAAAAAAGTAACAAAGCAAAATTACGATCGATCTCGATTTACGATTCACAAATTTTACAGAACCACAGAACGGAAGCACCGAGCCATGGCCATGCGGCCAAAATATGAAGAGCATTGCATCAGCGGCAAGCACCGAAATCACCACACCCCAAACAGATCCCAAAACCCTAGCCCTGGCATCAGCTTGGAGGGAAGAATCGTACCGTGTTTAAGCATCTTGAGAAGGGCGAGCGAGGAGATATAGACCTGCTCCGACGTGTCAACGGCGGGGCCATCGGTCGGGGGATGCCCGAACCCGCCGCCGGCGCCGCCAAGCATTCGCTGGAGTCTCTCGATTCCGGCCATCTTCAAGTTTCCGATGGAGTGGGGGAAAAGCAAAGACTAGAGGGAGAAAATTTGACGAACAGGAAGCAAAAATGACGTTGTTATAAAGTTATGCACTCCTCTCTTAAAAAGAAAGCGACAGGCCCATGGGCCTAAAAAGAACATCCACTCGAACCTAAATTTCAGGAAAACAAGCCACTGAGTTTTGGGCTCCGTGAGCCCATGAAAATCACAAGCATTCAGGCCCAAAATTTGTTGGCCTTTGAAATGATTCCCTTGTTTGGTTTCAGCTCCAACTCTCGGAGGAAGGTGTGAGACGGTTCGATCGATCGACGGGGAGAGAGAGGGGAAGAGAAGAGAGAGAGAGAGAGAGAGAGAGACTGAGAGATGAGTCTGGCGTCAACGGCGGCGTACGCTGCTCGGCGGGCAGCGCAGAGGGAGCGGGTTCGGATCTTATACCGGCGAGCTCTGAAGGATACTCTGAACTGGGCAGTCCACCGTCACCTTTTCTACGAAGATGTACGGTCATCTCTTTCTCCGATCATTTCCCTTCGCGATTGGATCTCTCATTGGCATTACATTTGCTCTTATTGGCCGTACTACGATTTGTTTGATAACTATGCTGACTCATTGGTCGTAGGCTGACAACCTTCGGGCGAGGTTTGAGGTGAACAGGGGAGTGGTACGTTTTCTAATTCCCTTTCTGTGTCGTAATTTTGTTCTTTCAGCGTTTAGGGTTCTTGTGATCTTCTTTTGTTAATGATCTGCTATAAACCCCCTAGCGAGTTTTTGTGCTTTGTTTTGATGCATTTTCCTGAATTCAAACACGTACCTGCATTTTTTGGTTGCTTGATCAGGTGGGTGCTCTTCGTATAATCATATCTGTAGCAATTGTTATGGAAATTGTTAAACTTGACCAGGAAGAGCCATGTCTGTTTTCTGGACTCTTTACTTTTTTCGTCTTAGATATTCAACTTATGATGTTCTGGTTGATGTTATGTCGAAGTCTCGAGAGAAAGGGGGTTTATGTTTCTGTGTTAAATTTACTATGGGGTGGATGAAAATTGATGCGAAGCTTCGATTTCTGAAGCCTTTTTTTTTTGTTGCTTCAGTCAAGGTTCCCCTATTACTATAGCACAAATGCTTCAGTCATGGTCGTTTTCTGATATGTAGGGCTTGTAAATGTTGATATACTGATTAGTCATGTTGCGATTTGTTGTTGATGTCTGTGTTTCCTCTTGCAAAAGTATTTTGGTGCTCTCTACGAGAATTGTGTTTGCTAGTCTTTATCTTAAGCTAGTGATGTATTTTTTCACTTTGTGGCTTTATTTTGATCCTTTGGTTGCTTTGTTGTTGGTTTCTGTTTTGCGGATTGCAGGAAGATCCTGACACAATTGATAGGCTCATTGTTGATGGTGAGGCACAATACAATAAGTGGAGGCATCCTGATCCTTACATTGGTAAATAATCATAACGAAACCTTATTGGTGCGGTTCTTGTCATGGTTGAGCTCTCAGCAGCATCTCAGCCATACATGTTTTCCTGCTCAGATGTTTTGCTTAGATTTTCGGTTTCAGTATTCAAGTTTACTGTTGCTTGAAATATTCAGTTCTAAAGCTACCCATTCATACCTGAAGTTTACTTTTGCGGCTTGTATACAGTTCCATGGGCTCCTGGTGGTTCTAAGTTCACTCGAAACCCAACTCCGCCTGAAGGGGTAATTTCTTACATGACCTTTGCTTCTCCCAGTTTATGATTTCATAAAGCCTTTTGTCCTCTGCTGGCAAGCTATGTCCAGAAGTTGAGTTAATGATCTCTTGCATACACTAATTCAGAATTGGTGTGCCTAAGTTACACAATTATCTATTGAGTTTGTGATGAAAGGGAGAAAATGGATATAGAGATAGTTACATTAACTTTAGTTAGGAATAACATTCCTCCAGAAGTATGTGTTAAATTTTAGTTTCTCTTTTGGTTAAATGAGAACCAGTGACTTCACCTCTATGCACAGTATCAAAGAGCACAGAATGTATGCTGGTAAGTAATGAATGGGATATTGACCCTCTGTGAACCAAGTGATGCCAACTTGCGTAGCCCTTTTTTATATCTTATTCGTGTTCGGTTTGGATGGTCGTAAGGAACTTATAAATCTCCTTTTCACTTCGTTTTGGTCCTTATAGCTCACTCAATACCCTTCTTATTGATGGCTGGCTCTACTGTTTTGGATCAAATGTGCAAAGGTTATATCATCAATTGCACAAAACCAGCCAGATACTTCCTCCACCTGATCTTTTGGTTTATTTTGTAGATTGAGATCATCTACAATTATGGCCGAGAAGATAATGACTGAAACCTGCTTCACTGTCACTAATAAAGGTTAGCTACACCGACATTTGCTTAGCGCCGGAATATAACAACTTATGCCCGAAAGTACATTTCATTTGAGGTTCACTAATGCTCATTTCCCCATAGCGACCACTGTTAGTAACTGTTGACGACCGTATGACTTGGGATTTATGTTGTGACAAGGTTTGTTAAGTTTTGTATTATAAAATCTGCCTTACAGCTTTGTTGTCGAATATGCAGATAGGGTTGATCCATGAACATTGGGGAGGACTGCAACCCTGTCTCCTGTTTGCATGGTTCATTTTGAGGGCGAATGACAGGGATCCCTGTTCAGTCTTTTCTTGCAGCTGTGTATTTGTGCTTGTTTTTTCCTGAGAAGACGTGTTTCGAGAAACTTGGACACAATGTTTTGAATGAAATGATCAAGCCTTAATGTATAAAAGGACTTGTGACTGATTTAATTTTATGCTTGTTTCAGTCACCAACTAAAGCACAGGTGACATATCTTTGCCCTGCAAGATTGCATCCATGTGTCACCCTTGTTGACAATGCCAGAGCTAGCATGTGTCAAGAGGGAATAACTACTGTATGAGCAGTGGCAGTATTAGTTTCTTCAAGCAGAAGTCTCCTTAGCTACTATTAATTATTATATATCAATATAGGTTGTTGGCTTGCTTCCATTTCCGATGGTATTTTCTGGATTTGATGGATTGCATTGCCGCATTAAGGTCAGGAATCAGTCGAGAATCAGTCGAGAAGCAACGACATTCTCTTGACGTTCTTCACCAAAATCGGAACCACTTGGCTCAAGGCTCTCTATTACAACAATCTCGACTACAAACAAAAAGAGCTCCTGGAGACGGTCCAAGATATTCATTGCTAACCTCCCCGATTGTTTCATAATCATCTACCTCATAGAGTCATAGTTGCTTGTAGGAGACAGTGAGGAGCTTTGGATGCAAGATGGTGTATGACTGTACGTGGCTTGGAAGCCTACGATCGTATCAGGTGGAACTTCGTCAAGGATACGACTCCAAGCAATCGGTGCCCCTATTGATTTCGTTGAGCTGGTTATGGCATGTATTTCTTCAACGTTGATGCAGATTTAGTGGAATGAGGGGCTGACTGAGCAATTTCACCCATCTCGTGGTCTTCGTCAGACCTATCTTTTTATCTCCCTACATCTTCACTTTATGCATGGAAAGACTGGGGCACATTATTTCGGAATCCGTGAGGCAGGCACAATGGAAGCCCATTAAACTAACAAGTAACGCTCATGCGCTCTCTCAAATATTTTTTTGAAGACGATCTCATCCTGTTCAAGGAAGCATTGCTGCATCAGGCTGAGACCATCAGCCAATGCTTCGAAGCTTTCAGGGGCAACAAGTGAACAAGTCTAAGTCAAGAGTCTTCTATTCTAGGAACTAGGGCTGGCTATTTGGACCGGGACCGGATAAAAAACCGGAAACCGGACCGTATAACCCGGACCGAGACCGGACCGGGACCGGATAGTAAACAATCCAATCCAATCTTTGGGCTTAGATTTGAGGTAAAAAACCGGATAAAGACCGGATAAGAGAGCTCAACACCCAAAACTTAAGTGTAATTTGCATAAACGGTCACAAACCTTTGCACTTAGTACAAAACTTAACCAACTCCTCACTCTTTTAGAACTTAGGCCACTCAAATTCCCACAATCTCAATATAAAATCAAGATCGAATTGGGACCGGACCGGGTCAAGACCGGACCGGATCAAGACCGGACTGTATCCAATCCAATCTTTGGTCCTTATATTTTCAAAAAAACCGGACTGGACCGGATCAATTTGGGCCAATTTAACCGGACCGGACCGTATAGCCACCCCTACTAGGAACGTGATTACTCAGTTGCGGTATCAAATCTCGACAACATTGAATTTGTATTAGTTTCTATTTCTAATCTATAGCAGCAAATATATTATTTATCTCGATATTTTGTATTATTTGTTCGTAAAGAAAAGCCACTGAAGAGATGATTTAGACATTTGTGTTTTTCTTATTTAAATTTTCTAGCCTGACTTTATTAGGTCTTATATATTATTATCGTATTTATACTGCTTCCATTCGGGATAACTATGATAAAAGAAAAAGATTCGTGCTAAAACAAAGAATGGCAGCGATGAAAGTTCATAGGGGAAGACAAATTAATTACTACATGGATGCTTGGGTAGCCAAACATAAGTTTTAAGTTTTAACGCAAAACTAAAAGATTTGGCAGAATTTGGCACCTCCCTATTTATTCCTAACGAACAGTAATTTGTGGTTGTCAATTAATATATTGAATTTCAAACTCAGTTTCAAAAGGTGATATAGTGCTTGAGCAACCAAAAATAAGGATTCGCACAAAAGAAAAAATGGGAGGAAGACAAGTTTATAGGAGAAGATGCATTAATTAGTGTATTGATGTTTGGGCAGCCAAACATAAGTTTTAACTCAAAACAAAAAATCTAATAGGATTTGGCAGCCCGTCTTTATTCCTAACTAGACAATTGGCCTGCGCTCTAAGGCGGGTTTCAGAGTATGCATCACTCTATTATTTTCTGAAGAAGAATTCCGTGTTAAATGGAGGTGGATATCTCTAGAGAGTGAAATACAATTGTGAGTTTATTAGCTTTTGCGATACAAAATTACTTTTTTTTTTTGTAGAGTAATTGAGTATTTATATAGAACACAACATGGTGCCAAGGTGAATTTTTTTGATTTGGGTGCTTCTCTTGATACATGGACAATTTTCAATAAAAGGAATAATATGAAATAAGGAAATAAATAGCTCAATGAAACAGAACTAAATAGTTCAATGAAATCAAATAACGGTGGTAGTTCAAATAAAATGAAGCTAATGATCCTCAATACATGTAAATAGTTGTTAAGTCATTGTAAAAGTATGACAACAATGGTCCTCAGTTTACAATTCCTAATTAGATAACTAGATGAGAGAAATGAGCAAATATGTCTAGGTGGCAATTTCTAATCCAATTTATCAATCCATTCAAATCCATACAATTAAATATTCAATTAATTCAATCCATTTGATCCAAATTCAATTGGATTGTTGAATTCATGAATTGGATTCATGGATCGTTGGCAAATTACAGTATTAAATTTTACAATATGATACCGAAAATTTATTTTTATACGAAAAAAATTATTTGAAAATTACGTTTTGGTACCTATATAAATTTTTTTATTATGATATTTTAGTACCTGAACTTTACAAAATTTACATATTGATCCAATGATTGTATGTCATTCGGATCCATGGATCAATCTATGAATCCATCAATCCATTTGTCGCTGGACATCTGCTAAGGTGCTATAATACAACCCCTTTGGAGCTCAATGTCCTTGTTGAGATTTACCCCCACAACAAATCAAGATGTAACCTAGAGAGACTGTGATACCACTTGTAACATTTTAGTCCTTTTATGACCAATATTTTGTCAGCTTTGGTTCTGCATGGTTTTGCTTTAAAGTGCGTATCTTCCCAAGAGGTCACTTATATCTGCATTCTCTACGTTAAAAAACTATAGTAAGAGAAACTCATTTACTCAAAATGCGTCTTTTTCAATCAACATTTTGTTGAATTTCACGCTTATGACACATAAATCTCTCTTGTATCTTATCGATGTGCCTTTTCTTTGCCTCCGGTTTCGTGTCGATTGTATGATTTTTGTATCTGGATTGGGTCCAAATTTTGTAGGGGAAGACAAAAAAATAGCAAGGGGAAAATTTTATAGGGGAAGACAAATTAATTCCTACATGGATGTTTGGGCAGCCAAACATAAGGTTTAATGCAAAACTAAAATATTTGGCCGAATTTGGCAGCCCCTATATTTATTCAGAATGAACATTGAACAGTAACTTGCGTTAACCACTTAATATGTTGAAATTCTGGACTAAGTTCCTAAATGTGATATGGTACTTGTGCAACCAAACACAAGGATTCACGTAAATGAAAAAATGCCAGGAAGAAAAATTTATAGGAAAAGATGCATTAATTAGTATATGGATGTTTGGGCAGCCAAATATAAGTTTTAACCAGTTGCACAGGCCCATCATACCATGGGGTTGAGATCAGGTGACTAAGGGGGGTCCCCTTAGTCATATGCAAGGTTGTCAACCCGCGGGTTGACCCGGACCCGGTCGAGCTAGTGGGTCAAGGGTTAATGGGTCAATCGTTTTAGCCCGGTTTGGCCCGGAAATATAGAAAGAGTCATTATATTGTACTTATCCTCATAAATTATATCAAATCTTATCTAACATATGAGTTATAACATATAATATTACACCAAAATAACATATCATACTTAGATCCAACATATAGTGAAAATTCACACACACTTATATAACATAAATATTCAAATGTTCAACTTAGTATTCCAAAGATTGAGTTAGGCGAAAAGAAAAATTGGAAAATAAGCGCATTTCGCAAACTAAAGAAAAAAATGACACAATTTGACCTCCAACCCGGTACCTTATAGCGGTCGGCCCGGCGGGTGTGTGCGACCCGTTTTTTTCACCGGCTCAGGGTCAAATTGGGTCGACCCGTGGGTCAACCCGCGGGTTGACAACCTTGGTCATATGGCTAAGTGAATCTCAGCCACTCAATCTCATTAAAATCCAAGGGCTCCTATTAGTCCAATTTAATGAAGGGTAATGTAGTAATTTCATGTTTATTTTTAATTTTTAATTTTTAAAAAAGTCTGTGCGCCTCCCCTCTCGGTGCGCCGCCGTCGAAAAATTTTTGCGTCGCATCCCCTCTCGGTGCGCCGCGGCCGGAGACGAAGAAAGAATGGGCGCCGCCATTATTCCATTCCCATGGGCGCCATTATTCCATTCCCCATCCCCAGAGAGAGAGCCCCTGGGCGCCATTATTCCATCCATTCCCCATCCCCAGAGATTCTGGTCGGAAAATTTTCTGGTCGGAAAATTTTTCCGGGGACTATCGTGGACGAAGAAGAATTTTCCGGCGACAGTGCCAATTTTGTGATGTTTGTTGACATATTTTGTAATGTTTGTACGCTTTGTTATTTTGTAATGTTCGTAAACTTTGTTATTTTTGTGCACCATGTTTGTCATTTTTGCCCACCATGTTCGTACTGTTTGTATGTCTAAAAAACACCCGGGTTGACTTTGGGAATGAGCCCCTCTATATAGGGATGGAGCCTCCAAAGTCAACCCGGGAGTTTTTTCCCGTTCGTATGGATTGTCGGTCTAGTTTGTCATTTTTGTCCACCATGTTCGTACTGTTTGTATGTCTAAAAAAACACCCGGGTTGACTTTGGGAAGGAGCCCCTCTATATAGAGATGGAGCCTCAAAAGTCAACCCGGTTGTTTTTTCTTTTTGTATGGTTTGTATTGTTTGTCGGTCTAGTTTGTATTGTTTGTACAGTTCATACGTTTGTATGGTTTGTACTGATTATAAATCCGGTTTGTATACTTCGTAATTATCCATAATACCCAAACTACCCCTGTTATTAATTAAATAGCCCTTCCCACTTTTTAACCATTGGATTGAAGTGTCTAGATCTAAGGGCTGGGAGAGGCTTAGTCAAGTGACTAAGCACCCCCCTTTAGTCACCAGATCCGCAATCTCATACCATGTGCTTTAACCAACGGTTAATATCAAGGGTCGTGGAGATTCGAACACACGACCACTTGGCCAAACCAGCTTTGATACCATATCATAAACCAGTT